GGCCTCCAACTTAGTGGATTCATTGACAATTCTGAACATGGATAAGGAATCAACCAGTCAGGAGCTTTCTGGGTCCACAGAAAGTGCTAGTCAGACTGACACCAACAACAACAACAACCAGGTTTGTGTTTTATATTTTACTTTACATATGACCCAAAAAAAAGAAAAAAAACTTTGTCATATGTTAAACTAACAATGGCTGGTTCGACTATCGATACCAAGAATAGACACTGAGTGTATTTGCAACTGTGGCAGGTGTTGTGTTTGGGCAGCATGAAAGGAGAGGTTGTGTGACACCTGTTTGTGCTTCTAGTTTAAGAGTATTAGACATAGAGACACATGAGCTCTGCACACACAGACACACACACGCACACACTCACAGTGAGTTTCTTTTTCTCTCTGATGAGTCACCACTGTAAGACCTGACCTGATGTGACTGTTCCTGTAGCATGTCCAAATACTGATTTATTTCATTGGACAGAAGAAGAATTATTAATCCAAGTTGATTAATCTCTGTAATTTACTGAAATGTTTTGTCTGGATTAGATCTGAAATTTTAATTTTAGAAAAGTTTCATGACAGATTTGACCCTCAAACTAACAACAACACTATGTCGCTCTCAGATGAAGAGCTTGTGGTTCAAGAAATCTTTCTGTATGATGTTAAATTATAGACCTGAAGAGATTTTTGTTCAGTCAGCTCTCGGATGTTTTCTTCAGAATAAAATTGACCAGTGTTCAGGGCTTTGTTTTAAAATGAAAAGGGCAAATTTTCCATCCAACGTTTGACCTCTTGACTACATTCAAATGATTGAGATACTCAACAAATCCCACTGAGCTGGGGGTTTCGCATTACACTCTGCTTATTACGTTCAGGGACTGTGTCACCCCTAAAGAAGAGAGAGGACCCTAAATTTGGAACAAATTACATCATGCTATCCTACAAATTAAAGCAACGCTCTTCAAATACTATCTCAACAGATCCATCTTCACCGTGTTAATGTAGGTAAAGCAGAAACTAACATGAATCTCTGCAGTGAAAGACGCAGAGTGATAAGAGCATATAGAGTTTTCATTCATACAAGTCCTTCAAACGCTTTCATTCAGATGATTCATGATGTTTATTGTCAGTATTGTGTAGGGAACAGAAGCATTCAGAGAATGTCCCAGTGGATAAAACCTCCTCCATATCTCCAAGACAATTAAATCAGACTATTGTGAATGTGTGTACAAATGAGAGGTTAAATGAGTGTTTGTGGTCTGAGCAAACTTTCTTCCTTATTTTTTTACATTGTTTTGAGTTACAGCTGTGCTGCCCTTTAATTTGCCTGTGACACAAAGATTACTGGAGAGGTGATGTGGAGAAGTTTAGTTATGGTCTCCGTAAGGCCAACATTTTCAACCAAACAAATCAAGTTTATTTGTACAACGCCAGGAATAAATGAGAATTAAAGAACATCCCTTTCACAGTTACAGGGTAAAGTGGTTTAAACATGATTTAGTAGAACACCGAAAACCAAGAAAGAAAAGATGCGTGTAAGTAAAGGTTTGTTTGTCAATAGATGTACACGTTAGAAATCAGTGAGTAAATTTAAGCATAACCTGATCAGGTTACTTTTGTAGATGTATTTTTGACACTTGAATAAAGTCTATTTTACATTCTTACACTCCAGACAGATGAACCCAAGCTGGAGGAGGGCAAAGATCAGGGGGAAGAGCCAGCAGCAAAGGACACTGTGGAAGGTCAGGAGGTAGTGGTGGACGAGGCTTCAGAGCCAGATAAGACAAAAGATGAAGCCCAAGCCGGAGAGACAGACAAGCAGGATGAAGGTGACAAAGAAGAGGCTGGACGAGATAAAGACATGGAAGATAAAGACAGGACGGATCCTGAGGTGATGAGCAGAGAAAAAGAGGGGGAGGGGGAGAGTAAGGAAGATGACAAAGGTGGGCAGGTGGAGGAGGTCAAGAGTAGTGAGACTGATGAGAAAGGAGAGGAGATGACGGACAAAACCAAAGAGGAAAAGAAGAGTAAAACAGAGGAAAAGACAGAGAAAGAAGCACAAGGACCAGAAGTAGAAAAGGGTGTGAAAGAAAAAGGTGCAAAAGAGGAGAAGAAGGACAAGAAAGCCAAGGATGCAAATGTGGACACAAAAGACAAAGGACAGACTAAAGAAGTGGAAAAGCAAGGAAAGCCTAAAAGAAAGAGTGGTCCTTCTCCATCTGCTCTCTCCAGACCGAGACCCTCTGCCCGCTCTATCAGAGCAGCTGCTAAAAACGACATTATCGCTAAATTTCAGCAGGGGGCTCCAGAGTAAGTCATTTCAGAAATACTCTTAAAACATGAGAATAATGATGGTGAGGTTTAGTCTGATAAAGGTTCATTGAGTAAAATTGTGACATTTTCAGGACACCAATACCACGCAATTTTAAAATTCAGAAGTCATCTTCAGCTGCAGCGACAGGAGCTTCGATCAAACAGAAGATGCTTCAATGGTGCCGCAACAAGACTCGCAAATATGAGGTGATCATAGTTTTTGACAGAGAACTACAAGAAAATTCATCTTGGTTTGGTTGTACTTTCTCTATCACCCTTTTATGTCACATCTTCCTGTCCTTTTGCACTGCAGGGGGTGAACATCGAGAACTTTTCATCGTCTTGGTGTGATGGTCTGGCGTTCTGTGCTCTGATCCATCGCTTCTTTCCTGATGCTTTTGACTTCAGCTCCCTGAGTCCAAAGGAGAGGGAGAAAAACTTCACTCTGGCCTTCCAAACTGCAGAGTAAAGACAGTTTTATTATTCCCTTTACAGTCTAAACAAACCACTCTAAAAACAACCAAATACAAAGTTACTGTGACAGAAGCAAAAGAGCGCCTGGAATTACACTGAGTATTGAGCTGTTTGGTGAAGAAACAGGACATTTTGTGTCCTGGATTTGACCTGAATTTTATGCTACACTTGACTTTGGCCCATCCTTTAACTGTTTGACCTCAGTCTTTACTGTCTTGTTTCATTTGCTCTTATATTGATATCTAAGTGAAACAAACTTGTGCACATTGTTAGCATGGGCCAAAAAAACCTCAATGCTTATACTCATTAATCAGAGGGGGAATAAAACTGTACAGTACAGTACTGTGAAGTTTTGTACCCACTGATGGCTGCTGCTCATTGAAGATTTCACTAAATTTTGCAAGATATATTTCTGCTTTGCACATAAAAGATAATTAAGCTCTCACTGAGTTTTAAATAATGTCTCTCTCTCCTTAATTGTGTCTGTTGTTCCTGTCTTCCTGGTAGGTCCTTGGCTGACTGCTGTCCCCTGCTGGAAGTGGAGGACATGATCATGATGGGTAATAACCCTGACCCCATGTGTGTTTTCACATATGTCCAGTCCCTCTGCCACAACCTCTCCAAAATAGAGAAAGAGAGGAAGGAAAAAGAAAAAGAGAAGACAGAGGAAGGTGAAGGTGATAAAGGGGAAGATGCAGCAGGGGCTGTGGAGGAGGGGGAGTCTGCTGAGAATGGGACGAGGGAGAGCCAAGAGGAGACACCAAGAGAGGATACAGAGACTGAGGGAGCTGCTGAAGAGGGAAAAACAAATGACAACAGTGAGGTGGGGGCAGATGAAGCAGTCAAGGTTGAAGCTGACTCCTAAAGGCTGAAAAGACCAAAAACAGGTGGATGGTTGATGTACTGTGATGAGAGAGTCTTAGTTTAGTGTTGAATTGACTTCAGACTCGTGATTATTACAGTTTTGTTATACATTTTATGTTTGCTATAAGCTATGTTTACTTTACTCATTTGTTGAAGTGTTTTGAGCACAAATGCATAAATGCTTGTACCTCTTGTTGATGTGCATTAAAAAAATACTGAATAAAAGACTTGTGAAGAAATGCTGTTTGTGGAGTGACGAAGTAATGATCCTCAGCAAATATGAAAGGAGGAATCAAGAAAAATTGTTTTTTGTTGTTAGTTGTTTTTATTTATTCTGTTTATTCTAAGGTGCACAAACCTTTTGAGGTATGACATAGAATATATTACAAAGGTTAGTATACGTGAGAGTGTATGAGAACATGATGACATGTATCTGTTTGTATTTCTACTGATAAGACACTTTTTTATTAAAAGTTTTAAATCCACCAAAAAGTTAATGCAGATGACGATGATACTCTATTTTTGTTTGGCCTTTTAATAATGAAGCCGTTGTTTTTTTTATGTTGTTCAAAGGATGATCTGAGCGCTCAGAGGAAAAGGTTACACTAAAACAAAGTTAGTTTTGAAGAAAAAGAAAACATTTTTTAGCTCAAAAATTTAGATATCTAGACAACTTGTATAGTTATTTTACTCGACCAAATTGTGCATCTTACCGTTCCTGAGGTCCCTGCTGGTAAAATAAGTATTTTAATCTCAGCTATATTCATTCAACAACTTTGTATACTTTGCAGAAAAATGAATTAAGCTTTTATTTTGTAAAACAGCCCCAACTTTCTCAAATCTTGTGATCTGCATCTTACTTATAGTTCTTAAAAGTTGTTGTCATTTATTTGTGTATTTGCAACATTGCTGGGTCAAGACAACCAAAATGAATGTGCCTCTTTGGGCTCTGAGAAGTTGCTAAAATATATCTTTTGAAAAATCACTTGGTTAAAAAAAAAAAGGTAAAAGTATATTAATCCCCAAAAAAAAAAAGAAAAAGAAAAAAAAAAAAGCTCCAGTTATTTCCAAAATAGTTAACTAAAATCGTCCTGTAAATCATCAATTTACGACTGTTGAATTCTGCTAACCATGAATGCTTTAATAACAACTGAATAATATCTGCAGCTGCATGGAGTAGGCTAAGTTTTCCATGTCTGAAATTTAAAATATCTATTACTGTAAACAGTATCTTCAAAAACTTTCATTCCTCGTTTGTTTGTAACTGAGCCAAAGAAGTAGTAAATCTCAGTAGTAAACCAAACTTGCACCTGCTTTCTAGGAGTTACGGTAAACAGCGTCACGCTACCGGAAAAGCCATTGTGCTGTCCCTTTTGTAAGCTAACCCACTAATTTTGCCCCGCTGTTTTCCAACATATTTCTCGGCGGCAGCTGGGAGAAACATGGCCACCGACATACCGCCAGGGAGTCTGGACCTGGAGTCCCAGCTTTTATCCATAATGGACGTCCTGGTGAAAACGGCTGTCACAGAAATCAGTCAGCTGTTCTCCGCGAGCTCGGCGTCCCTGCGGCTTCATCTGAGCCAGAGCCTGAAGGAAAACGAGTCTCTGAGGATGAGGATGAAGGTGATGAGGAGTGAGCTCTTCTCTCTCAAACTGCAGACCAGGACGAACCGACCAGCCAGCCGCTTCAACCCGACGAGAGTAAATCTCACCAAACCCAGGATCAAACCACCAGGTAGGTACCCAGAACTTTTACTTCAATAAGTACTTCTGTCTTTAGAAACAAGCGACGATACAAAAAACTAAATAACTCACCTGTTTAATTAATATTCAGATGGACATTTCTGACTTTATTTTTTTATGAATGGAAAATCCTGCGCACATGCATTCTGCCCCATAGACAAAAGCGATTCCCATTCAGTAAACAATAAACATCTGCTTCTTACCACGTGACTTTTACGTCATTTACATGTATGTAGGTTATATCCGCCTTCTTATAAGCAAATCAGACTGACAATCACAGCACCGATGACATTACTAACAGATTCTGTGGCCATAAAGGGAACAAGCAGTAAACTGCGACGTAAAAATGACACCTTGGCTTGGGGGAGTGATTTCTGTTTTCTTTACTTTTTAATTTTAAAACTTAAATGAAATTGTCAACATTTACCCCATACATGGGGTAAGTTGACCATAGGAGACCACTTCTTTTTTGGCATGCTATATTATCAAGACAGTTATGTTTACACTCATTCTGTTGGTTTGCTGGGATGCACAACATCTTGAAATAAATGCAGATATACTAATAAGAGACAAAACTATGATTACCTTGATGTAGTGATCCAAGATATGACAAATGGCTCATTTTACCCCACTCTTCCCTTTTTTTAAGAGGATAAGACCCTTAAAGTGAATCATCTTTTCTTGAGGGGTCCTCAGAACAATTTTAATGTTCAGTATGTTCATGTCCTCACCCATTCACCCCCCCCCGCCGCCCCACACACACAAACATTTATCACAAAACTAGTAAAACTAAGTCTCTTCCTTCTTTTTTTTAGTTGTCACTAAAACAGCAGCTGCTCAAAAGACTGTTGGGGAAGCAGTTGCTATTTCACTACCGTCAGAGAGCAAGACCCCCACTGCTGCTCCTCAGGTGGAGGTAAACACAGTTCTTAAAGTTCACATACTTTCAGCCACTAATTTTTTGTTTGACACTGTGATTGGACATGTATTTATATTTCTATTTTTTAGTGTGCAGATGTGGAGAGCCCAGATGTTATCCTGATCAAAGATGAAGAGGACATTGGAGAATGTGTGCCAGTTAAAGGTGAGAATCACACTGAGACTGTACTAGTGCATCCGGACACACCAGATAGACTTTTTCCCATATCCATAGTATGAGATATCGTTCGCATCCATACAGGCAACACTCCATTGATGGACTTCAGAAGGGCAGTACCTTTAGAGAGACTCAGGTATGACTGGACAAACATTCTGTCCAGTCATACACATTCAATATAGGCTAATCAAAAGCTACAAAACATATAGTGTAGTTGGTGTGTGCCATCCTCAAAGCAGGAAACTAGCTCAACAGGCAGTCATTATCATGTAAATATTTAATTCTTGCTGATTTGGTCAGTCGAGGATCATGTGTTTGATGCAAACACAGTCTGGCCGATCCATCTGCTTTTCTTGGTTACTCACTTAAAGATAGACTTCTTTTTCAAACAATTGTTTGACTTATGAGTCAAAGTTTCTTGAGTCATGAGGGTTTTTTTCTGTCTCTTCAGGTAGGAATGACTTCAGACTCGGTGCTCAGGGTGTTGCAACAGGGAATTTACAGCCCCCTGGCTCCTCCTGCCTGACAGAAAGTGAGATGGGGCTGAGAATCGTGAGTGTTCATGGACGAGGGGAAGGGCCTCTGCAGGAGGAAGACAGCCTCTTTAACATCTCCCAACTCCAGGCTTTTAGCTCTCTATCTCCTGACCACAACAACCCCCATAATAGTCTCATGGATTTCACTTCTGGAGTCAGTGACAGAGCCCAGATCAGAGGAGTGCAGGAGAACAGTGTTGGAGTGGAAAGAAGCAACACCACCCAGATATCTTCATCAGGATCAAATTCTGCATTACAAGCATTAGTCGGGCCTGATCGTCATGTAGGGCAACTCGGTTTTGTCAGCCAGTTCCCGCAGCAACCGAACCTCTTCCCTCAAACTCTCAACAAATCCCTGGACTGCAGCTTTTGTGGCGAGCACTTCCTCAACCGTGAAGACCTGATTGTACATCGGGCAAGTCACACTGGTGAGTTGCCTGTTTCTTGTTCATATTGTGGCAAGTCCTTCTACAACAAGGCCACGCTGAACATCCACATGCGGATTCACACCGGGGAGAAGCCCTTTGCATGCACACAGTGCGGGAAACGCTTCACGCAGAATGGCAGCCTGAAGATCCACCTGAGAACTCACTCTGGAGAGAAGCCGTACACCTGCAATCAGTGCACCGCCAGTTTCAACAATCCAAGCAACCTGCGCAGGCATATGATCACACACAGCACAAATGGAGCCCTGTGACTATGAGAGAGTCAAAGATTTTACAGCATGTTGTGTTCACTGACACATGCCTCATGGTTCTCAAAGAAAATATGTTTCCTGGGGCACCATTTTGAGTCTTTCTTTTTTTTTTTAAAGAAAACCAGGAATTGACCACTTTCCAGTTAAAGAATGGATATTTTAAAAACTGAAATGCCTTTTCTATCTTTGTCCACTACCTGTGGGACTACCGGAGAGAAATATTTTTATAAAAAGCTGTGAAACTTGTAAAACTTCTGTTGTTTCTCATTCATCTTTCAAGGAAATGAACTTTATATAATTTGGTATATGTTGTCTATTTTTCTCCTTACATGACCCACTCTGCAAATTATATAACTTTAGCTCTATGCCAAGTCATTCATTGTCTAAATAACGTTAATTACAAGTGACCCCTTTAGTTGCCATCTGGACTTTTCTGTCAGGATGAACACTTTTAACTGTGTTTGGATGGCTGAACATGCAACAGATGCATATTTAGAAGCCAGATTGGACAGACATCCACACTGAAAGGAAGTAACAAAAATACAAGAGGAATGAATTTGCAAGTAGGACAAAATACATCATTTTATCTCACAATGGAGAGGTATTTACTGTGTTATAGTTAACACTCCTGAAAGGTTTCAGTGTATGATTAATAAACTGTATGTACTTTCTGAAAATGTGAGTGCTACAGCTCGTGCAAATCTCGTTCATTTGCCTCTTCAAATATATTTTTACACCATGTTAACTGCTCTGTCAGCGCCATTATGCTATAAAGCAGTCCTGAATATTAATTTAACCTCAGGGCTCTGAAGGAAATGTTAAAAGAGCAAATTGTAAAGGTTTCAGAAGTGATCATCTTCATCATCTATCATCAGTTGTAGCACTCAACTTGAGGTACAATAATGTTCACAAATGTATGGTGCTTTAACCTGGTTTTTAAATTTGCAAAATGTGTTTTTGAATCTTAATTTTCCCTTAGACTCAGATTTATCATTGTGATCATGATAATATAGTAGAACTTTAAAAAAGTTTGGTTTGTTGTGAGAAAAGCTGCATGACAAGGATCTGGGAAGAGCAGTAAACTCCTGCTTTCTTTTTGAGTTTGTGTGCTCCTTTCATTTAAAAAGCAAAAACTACCTCTACTGTTGTCTTCTTCGCAGCCCTTTCCGACATTTATACACTTTCAAATAGTTTCATACTGAGCAATGATCATTGAAGTGAAGTAAGTGTGAGTTCTGTTGCTGTGTTTTTAAAATGCTATTTGGGATAAAATGTGAATAAATATATATATTTTTGTACAATTACCCTTGTCTGATTCACTCTTTGCCTCTAGAGTGCAGTATTGTTTTTGCTTGCTTGATTGTTGTGATTCAGGTTTACTCATACTGAAGTGCTGTGGGGGGTGCTCTCATAAGGAAACAAGGAGAAATTCCTGACATTGTTCCTCTTTCCACCCTGACCAAACTAAAGTGTAGTGTATCAGAATCCTGCTAAATGGCTCTGATTTCAGCCAAATGTCCTCAAAGGCGGAAATATGTGTAACACTGATACAAACAATTCAGTTAGCTGTAACAGAATACAGATAAAACGTGGAGTTTGAGTTACAATCATTAAGTCATCCCTGAACTCTACATCAGTCAAGCATGATTTTCATTTCACTTTTTCATTTTCATTTTATTAATCAACTCAACACATAATAAAAAATAAACAAGAGCTGCAGGCCAACATGCCATACCAAAAAACGAACAGAAAAGACCACATTAATTAACATTTATTCACAAATCACACATACTAAGACCTTGATTAACGTATTTCCATGTATTTTTCACCATTACATGAGTTGTTGTTGTTGCTGTTGTTTTAATCTTGCTACTGTCCCCTGTCCCTCTCTCTCTCACCCTAGTTCTCTACTCTCTCTCCCTCCCTCCCTCTTACCTGTTCTCTCTCTCTCTCTCTCTCTCTCTCTCCTTCCCTCTATCTTGCTCTCTTTCTCTCTCCCTATCCTCTCCTTCTCTCTCTGTCTCTCTCTTTCTCTCTCTCTCTCTCTTTGTATTCCTCCCCAACCCAGCAGCAGCCTGGTGGCTGTCTAGCATGACTCTGCTCCTACCCAAGGTTTCTGCCTGTTAAAAGAAAGCTTTTCCTTGCCACTGTCACTCATGTTAGTTAGTAGAAGTCAGCAGCTCAGTGATGCTCTCACTAGCTTTGCTGCCAATGCATGGATTGCAGGACAGGAGTTTTCATTACCTTTTTGTATCAGAGATGGTTGGGGTCCAGTAGTCCCCCAGTTTGTTCACACATCTGTGTCTAATAATAGAGACTCTAAACAGACTTCTTGGGGACATGCACCTGGCAAAAATCCTCCAATGACAATGAAAAAGGTGAACAGAGGCGGTGAGAATTTGAAGCAGCACACTTGTTGCAGATAAATGATTGATTTGAAGAGGAAAACAAAAAGGTGATGTAGCTGGTTGTCCACCAAGTAGAGCAGACTACTTTGTGTCATCATAATTTGTCAGAATATTTATGGATGGGAGTTTTTGACACAATTAAGTCATAAAATATCCTATGCCATTGAAACAGCTTTCGCTGACAAAAGTAATACTGTCTTCTAATGGAGCGCTCACACCAAGCGTGAGTAAAAACATCTAACATGACTATGAGATGGGCCAGACCCCATTTTAGGTTGGGTCTTGATATTTCATCAAACAATGAGCGCGGCCTAGACCTGCTCTGTTTCTTTGAAAGCGTCTTTGGATGACAACTGTTGTGAATTGGCGCTATATAAATGAAATTTGATGATGATTTGATGGTATTTACTCAACATACTGGCATTGACACTTTTTTTTTTTGAAGATAACATTTGATTTAGCTTCTTTATTTTCTTTGTTCAGATTGCTCCACAAACTTACTCCTCTTACTGATTCATAGAAATCAGGTGATTTTGACCACCATGTTTTGTACACAGCTCACACACATGTGGAAGATATTTATGGGAAGTGGTAGTGGTTTTATGTGCCAATAGTTTTGTCGTGTTGGTGAGGAATGCTGTTGCTTTACTTCCCCAAGAAACACTGTTTCCTCTCTGTCTATTGTTCTTGGGCAATCAATGAAATGACATCAGTGTGTGTGTGTGTGTGTGTGTGTGTGTGTGTGTGTGTGTGTGTGTGTGTGTGTGTGTGTGTGTGTGTGTGTGTGTGTGTGTGTGTGTGTGTGTGCAAACTGAGAGAGAGGGAGCGACAGGCGGAAAAAATGGGAGGAGAGAGGAGGCAGTGGGTGGTAGCCTATTTATTCTACTACTGCAACAATTTAAATCCCCCTTTAGTCTTTGAATGATTGTAGTCTTACTCAGATTAGTCCGTGTGATTGAAAAACATCAGATGTATCCCGAATCAAGCTGCGCCGTGAAGAGACACCTGTAACAGAGGAGGAATTCCGCTTGCGCCGTCATTACGGTAAAGCCGCTTGTTGATCCCGCCCTCTCTTTTGATAGAAATCTCGGTGATGTCGCTTCGTCTTTAACGAGCTTGACCCAGAACCCAGGGAAGGAGGGGAAAAGAGGGGAGAAAACACACTAAAAAACGGAATAGTCTGGAGGGGGACGAGGCGGCATTTTTAACCAGCAGGTGAGTCAACACGTAAATGTTATCAGCGGGGTGATATAGCTTGGTTAACCGTGTTTTATCACATAGATAGTGCGAGTACTGCAGCGTTGGCAAGGAGTGGTCACATCACCGACAGATCAGCTACACGACTCTGCTGTGAGGCTAACGATGCTAATGTTCAAGTTTAGGCGGTGTTGCGTGGTTAAGACGCCCTACCTTACACACAGTTGAGCACAGCCCATGATATTACAAGATAAATTTGTTAACTCGGTCTAAATTTCCCTCCCCTGTCTGCTCGGGCGCTAACTTCAGCTCTAACGGCTAATCTGTGTTTGCCATGCTAACATGCTAGCTGTGGTTGCTGGCACGGCTCGCAGTCGCCTCCTATGTGGGTTATTGTGATGCTAACGTAGCAAGACAGCCAAACCAGGTCACACGGGTGCTGAGAGAGCACGCTAACCAACTGGGCTTGATTTGATCTCCAACATTGTCATTTATGTGAGCTGTAACGCCGAGATTACTCCATGCTAAAATACTCGAGTCTTTTGTTCGTGAGAGTCATTTTTATACCCAAAGTCTTTGTGTTCTCGCCTCTGACTGACTGACTGACTGTGTGTGGTTAATACTAGCAGATCCATACGCTGCTCATGCCCTACATTACTGCACTGCGTTAGCAAATCATGTTATAATTATTATAATAACTTTATTTGTAAAGCACTTTTAAAAACAGAAGTTTACAAAGTGCTTTGACATATAGTTATAGACAGATAAAAACAAAAAAGCTCAGTTAAAACCAGATTGAAGGCCATTTTCAGACAATATAAGAACCATGCAAGATAAAATGAGACTATGAGGACCAAAATAAAAACATAAAATAGTTAAGAAAAGAGAAAATGTAATTAAAAGGGGGGTCAAAAGTGTAGACAGGATCGTAAATTTAAAAGGCAATATCAACAATGATAATAAAATAACAACAGGTAATACTTATGATTATAGTATAATAAAATAGAGCAACAGGAATGAGCAATGTAAGACCTAAAAGGTTAATTGAGAAAAGAGTGCAAGTATAACAAAAGGTAAAAAGAAAGTAAAGCCAAAATAAGATAAAGGTAGAAGAGATGACAGATAAAAGATAAATGTCAGGCAGTGAGATTTTGCTCCAGATGGTTCACGACAGTGTCTGCTCGAAGGAGAGCTTTCTTCAGGGAATACAAGTTAACATGCAAATATGAGAGTCAGGTTGGTCAGGACCCTGAAGTAAACCGTCTTTGGTTCTTCAGAAATGTACAGAAAACATAGTTAAAATGTCAGCCAGCGCTGCAGCTGATATCTAAGCGCAGACAGTCTAAACAGTTCATGTAAACAAGTTTAAGTTTGTAGTTTAAGGGTAATAGGAAATCTCTTTTCTTGATTAAAATGTCGACACTGTTTTGTGTTTTTGTGTATTTCTGTGAAGGGTAGTGGTCTTCCAGTAGTCTATCACCATGCTTGTGTTTGAAGTTACCAGCCTGCCATGAACCTGTTGGGTGGGTCCTGTTTGGACTTGTTTTGGGTGGGGATAACTGTCAGCCCGAGTGTGAACAACTAAACTAGCTATTCCCAGTAAACATAGGTTTACTGCAGGTACACACTGCACTAAAGGTAAGCACCATGCCCGTGGGCTTTGAGGAGTATATCCTGGTTTGTATTTGTACAGTATAAGTAACGGGGTCAGAGCTGCAGGTGCCACCTCTCATAACCTCACATCTGATCGTCAATCTTCTCCTGCTACTTATCTCCAAGACAAGTGACCGTTTGATTGTTGATATATGCCCTCAATGCCAGCTGCATTGTGTCTGCTGTCTTGAGGTGTCTAGGTTAATCCGGAAGGGGTCTAACCTGTGTTTGTGTGTCTGTCAGTGCGTGCATTTTAACATTGTGTGTATGTGTTAGGAGGTAAGTGGATTAGCGGGCTAAAGCTTCAATCCCATTACAAGCCTCATTCTGCTTAAACAAGCGCTGGTGGAATCACACTGACAAACTTATTGGCAAACTTGTTGCCTGGAGATGTGCTAACAGGTGTGTATTTTGACAGAGAAGGTGCTGTTTCAGCCGGAGTTTGTCGATGGCAGGTGTTGGCCTGTGTTGTGTTAGCCAGAGTTTCATTAAGTCCACAAAGGTTGCGCTGTTGGTTCACAACAGTGCGTATGACTACAGATGTCTTTTGACATGGCTGAGTGAGTCATGCTGATGGACGGCTGCAGAATCAGATGGAAGTATGTGACTCGTGGTGAGTCAGGACTCAATCAGATGTTGAAGGAGTGTGTGTGTGTGTGATGTTGACCTCAGGGCACTGCTTCACATATTGACCTCGACACACTACGCTTCAGATTTTGACCATTTGTTTGTGAGGTTTTCAGGGTGATAGAATTTTAAATTTTTTAGTTCCTTATTCCAAGACTAAAATTTATAACATGTCTGTTTGAAACTAAACAATAAAACTAACAATTGAATATTAAAGTAAATCTTAATACAAGTTTATCTTGAGATGAATGCTTAAAAAAGACAAATAATCTGAAGCATTATATGATTATTGTTAATTTTGCTGCTTTTCTTTGTTCACTTTATTTAGACAGACTAAAATTTATGACATTTTTGTTTTCAACTAATGCTAAAAATTAAATATAATAGTAAATCTTAGTACAAGTTTGTCTTGAGATGAATGCTTAAAAAAGACAAATAATCTAAAGCATTATAAGATTAATGACGATTATTGTTAATTTTGCTGCTTTTCTTTGTTTACTTTGGATTGTAAATGAAAAGTTGGAGCTCAGGTTCATTGTCATATTAATAAATAAACATGTCCTGCAATAAAAAAAAAACACTAAAATAGCAACAGTTAGTTTCACATCCTGAGAAAATGTCCCCGTTGACCTAGTGATATGATTATAACAATGGTGAAACTAATCGGTTCAGCAACAAAGTGAAGTGTTGTAACTATAAAAAAGTATATACGATGATTCAGCTATGTAGGTCTGCTGAAATTACCTCTAAAAGGTTATAAAAGCAGAACAGAAAACCGAACATGCAGAACAATATTAGCAAAATAGGAACCAGTATGCGGTCGTATGATCATCACATCTACCGTGGGGGATTTTCACCGCAAAAGGAGGAAGCCAACCATCATCAGCCGGTGGTTTATTAAAGTTTTATCCTTATATGCTGTAATGGTTTGTGGAAAGGCAGTCCCTTCAAGGAAAAGGTTATTGGCGAGCTTAAGTAGCCGCAGCATCCCTTTAACTCCTCTCTGAAGTCGAATCCATAACATCCTGTTTCTCCGGATGTGGGTAACAGGGGAAAGGGGAGGGGAGGGGCAACAGACCTGCACTGATTGTTTTCATTGTTCAACGAAACTCGCTGCTGACTTTCAAGGCCAAAACTCACAGCTGTTAAAGAGGGAGACGGGTGGAGGATGCAGGTCACAAGTGACTTTCTGTGACAGAAACATTAGAGACACAGATGAGACTGAAATGTGTCAGATAATGTCCTCGTCACCCTCCTACTCTTTCTCGCACTTGCGTTCCTGGTACTGGTTGCACAAACTTCTTATTGTTCCACTAAACTCCCAGACTGACAGCTGCAAATTCCCTCCCCTAGCTGCGGTTTAAACACACACACAAATGCTCACACACACACACACACACACACACTTCGACTTAAAAATAACATTCCCTTGTACACATGCCAAGAAATATCAATCACAGTTTATCATTTTTCTTGTATGAATGGCGGTCACACTCATTAGTGAAATAAGATAGCATGTTAATCTGAGATAAGAGGAGGAGGCGGTGTTTACAGAAGGCTAATTAACATGGAAACAAGCCAGACGAGGAGAGAATTGACTCTATAATTGTTATGTTTTTCTGTGTTTGGGGTATTTTATTCCAGTTATCTCGCCACGGACTGCTGTGAGAGTACAGTAAACACAGATTTCTATTAGCTTGTGTCAATTTAAGGTCATCCAACACGGTGTGAGTGGGTGGGCTGCTGTGCTGAATTGACATGAAACAATCCCAGGAATGCAAGATTAGCTTTTATCTTGTTTTCAGCACTTCTATCTGTCTCATGACCCCCCTCCTGTTTACGCTCCACTTTACCCTCTCACTCTCCTGAAAGACAGTTTTATTTGTTTGCAGCTCCCGCTCTGCCGTCTCTTTCTGACTGTCTGTCTGTAGCGGATAATATCAGCCTTGTCCTGGCTATGACCATATATAGGCATGTGTGCTACAGGACAGCAGTGTGTGATTTGCTCAGGTGGGAGGTTATGGCTCAGGGGCGACACAGCCACTGGGAGAGAGCTAATGTGAGTGTGCGCATGTGACGTCATGTCTTCCTGTCAGTCCTCCATGCAAATCCTGGTTTTGGTTCTTCTGAATTCCTTTGTCTTGTGAAATATGTTTCAGCCACTCCTCATTTTCTCATCAGGCCATCCCACTTTCCTCCCTTTTTTCCCACACTAGTGGTCACACCCCGACTGAGGACTTAACTTTTTCTTTTTTTTTTTTAACATCATATACATGTGTGTGTTAGTCATTTGTTTAACGGACACACAGGAACACACTCCGCCTCTTGTGTAGTGATGTGTGTTTGTCTAAAGGTGAAGTCATCCTGTCTGGGGTTGTGTTCCTCTTTTTGTTTGCATAGTTGCAAACAGGTGCGAATCATTTATCACCATCTTTTTACTTCACCCATTACTCCTGTGCTGCGTGTCTTTATTTGCACTTGTTAACACTGGACCTGTCATGTCCACAAACACCTGCTGCTCGACTGTAAATGCAGGTCTCTATTTGATCCCATATCGCTGCAAAGTTACAATCAGGAGTGTGTCTGTGCTTGTTGGACAGACAGAGAAAGACAGTGAGAACCCACCCCCACCCCCACCTCGTCCAACCGGTCGTGCAGGTGTGTTCGTGCGTGTATGTGGGTGGCAAAGCCTGGGTTGATCCACCTTTTTAAAGCCTGTGCTGATGGGGAGCCGTGCTGCCGCTGCTGCTGCTCCTTCAGAGGTTGTACCAACAGATAAAAGGATCTAAGACTCCACTTGTTTGTTTGGCTCTGATATAACAATGTCTTTCACTGAGAGCACAGCCAAGATAACAAAGAATAAGGGGGCGGGGGATGAAGAGAAGCTAAGTCAAGATAACAAGAGTGCTGGACGGAGAGTTGAGCCAGAGGTACTGTAGATGAGGACTGATATGAGAGAAACACTAGGAGAGAAGACGGCTTAGCCAAATTGCAGGAGGAGAGATAAGGGAAGTGTGGTTCTCTTTTGGATGTTTCTATCTCTAAAACCTGCGCTCTCTTTCTGCTGACGGTCAACGTTCTCCGTCCCAAAAAGCTGCAGGTTGGTCCACTTCCCACAGCTAGCTACCGCACACGAGCCAAATGTTGTGTAAATATAGGGTGTGTCCCAACGCAGGAACTACTGTATACCCCTGTCTCTCGCTATTTTCCTGCACACTGAGCAAATACAACCCTGCTGACACACATGTACGACATTCTCACTGTGCTGCTGTTTTTCAGATAGAGGTGCCTTCGCTCTTTCTAAAACATTTCTCGTCTTTCTCCTTCTTCTCTTCCTTTCCTCTTCTCTCTCTGCAGTTTAGTCCTCCCTGTTTCTGGGCTTGGTGGCTCTGTGACCTCCTCCCCCATGAGCAACTAGAGCTCAACCTCTGACCTTGGCGTGATCTCTCACCTCTACTACCAGACCACGCCCACAGGTGAAGGTGTGTATCCCCTGATTTTCTCTGAACTTTGCTTCAACAGTGTGCTGCTTTTGTTCTGCTCGGTGCTTCAAACTGCAAATCCAAGCAGACCCCCTTTGATTGTGTCTTTTTATGAAGCATCCCTCACAAAGTGCAAAGGAGGCCTCTCTCTCTCTTTCTGTTGAACATGGCGCATCCTCTTTGTTTGACGGTCTTTTGTGTAAAACTGTGGATCTGTGCATCACTAAAACATGCTACTCAGTGATCCGTAGGTTAGCTAATCTATGATGTGTTAGCTTTGGATATTCAGCTATTACTTTTTGTTCACAATTTGGTCAAGCACTCAAATCCTGAGTATCCAAGCAACCCACTATTTATTATCCTGTAAGATCAGTACAGTTCATTAGAGTCGACCTGCTGCTAAGGTTTTTCTATTGATCGTTCTCTGTAGTTTGTATGTAAAAGAATATTTTTGGATACAAGAGTGAAACGCTGAGATTGCTCTTTCATGCATGAAGTGGCGATATAAATGTAACTAATATTGTGATGTGAATAATATTAAAGGGATAGTCAGTCGTAAAATTAAGTTAGGGTCAAACACACCGTAAAACTGAGTCAGATACCCCCTTGAGAGATGAATGTTGCTGACCACTTGCTTCTCTAGTTATACCAACTTCAGTAACGACCACACAATAGCAATACACAACAGTCTGAGGAGCCATAAACAAACCTCAACCAAAACGCCACTCTATAGCCACAAATAATGCTCAGAACAGCACCTAACTTCATCAACAGTACATATAGGGTCCCAGCCATAGCACTAGACACAAAACATCTTTTTAACTTTGTCTAATTTCTTTAGCAAAGATACTAAACACAACTCACCTGTTTGTAGCTGTTTGTAGCGAGACCTTGGTCCAGTCCATTACCGCTGCAGGGTGAAGCAGCTCAAGGAAGAACATTTATGATCATTACTTTATCATTTCCTTAAAGTGATAATCACCATATTAATCATTTTGCACTGCAGACGTGGTAGTTCTTCTGCCTTAGAGTCTCAGTCTGATTGCATTTCCATGAAGAAATAATCAGAAATGTTCTTCCTTGAGCTGCGTCACCCCGCAGCAGTCCGTGATGGACTGGCCCAAGGTCTCGCTACGAACAAATGGCTGCTGGAAGAGAGAAGGTGAGTTGTGTTTAGTCTCTTTGCTAAAGAATATTAGACAAAGTTAAAAAGATGTTTGGTGGCAAGTGCTATGGCTGGGACCCTATATGTACTGTTGATGAAGTTAGGTGCTGTTCTGAGCATTATTTGTGACTATAGAGTGGCGTTTTGGTTGAGGTTTGTTTATGACTCCTCAGACCGCTGTGTATTGCTATCGTGCGGTCGTTACTGAAGTTGGTATAACTAGAGAAGCAAGCGGTCAGCAACATTCATCTCTCGACGGGGCTGTATAACTCAGTGTTACGGTGTGTTTGACCCCAAATTAATTTTACGCCAGAATATCCCTTTAACATTAATAATAATGTTCTCCAAATAATACCAGAATGATCTCACTGTTTTTGTTCATTAGTCAAACACACTCACTGTAAAAGCTCTGTGTGTGTGTTCAGGTAGCGCTTAGGCAATGTGAAATTTGAGCCCCTGACCTGCTCTCAAGTCTCAGTGTGGTAAACTTCAATGAATGACTCATCGCACCTCGGCAGGTTTTAAACAGAAACCCCAGCGTCATTTGGCAATTTTATATGCCAGAGTTTTAGCCACAGACGTGTCCTAACAGTGGCGAGTTTCATTATCATTATTGAGGAAAGAGATAAATCCCCTGTCGTACAATTCCCAGAAAACTTTCCAAGAGGGGAATCTAATCCTCAGCACCCAAACAAAACCAACAGATGAGTCAGATAGGATCAAATCTTGCTGCACATTACAAGGAAAACATTGAGATGATAATGAAAGTTTTTTTTTCCTTGCACTTTTTTTTTCCATGGAATTTTTTATCATGGTAATTTGATGTTTGTTGATATCTGTTGCTGGCAAACTCATCTTTTGAAAAGTGTTTGTAGCTCTCATGTCCTCTAAGTACTTATTTCTGATTTACTAAAAAATGTCAGAGATCAGGTGAGGCACTTGGCCATCTTGATATCAGCCCCACAAAAACCCCAAAATATGCCTCATCCCTCAGATCTTTCTGTACTTGCATTGAAGGGTCTTCCTGTGCTGTTATGATTAGGAGACTGTATGGTTGTGTGTAATGCCCCCCCCCTGTTTCCCCTTGGGGTCGTGTAGTGTGTATGGAGCAGTGTGAGAGCGCAGCGGCTCTGCTGGAGTCGGTCAGGGAGCAGGAGGTGCAGTTTGAACAGCTGACCCGGGCGCTGGAGGAGGAGAGGAGGAGAGTGGGCCTCCCAGCCACCAGCCCCTCGGCCCTGGGTCGCCCCCTCCCTCATACACAGGTAACACCCCCCAACCGACCCCAGCCCTCCCTGATCACAGTCTCTCGTAGGCGTTCACCGCCCTCATCTTTCATTCACATTCAATCCATGGATCATCATTTCCTCTATTCAATCCTCAAAAGTTCCTCCGACACCTGCTGCATCATCATTCATCTCTCTCGCTCTGCCCCAACTCCTCTCCGCCAGCGCTCAGCGAGTTAGCATCCATGAGTGTTTGTGTACATCATCATGATATACATCTTCTTCTCTGACACCCTGAGTCCATCTGTCTTTCCGCCCTCATCTGCAAACACATCCGCCCGCACATACCTCCACCAAACATGCCTGAGATGGTCATCATGTCAGCATGCCTCGTCTGTCACTCTCCGGATGTGCTCCACGCACACACAAACACCTTTCACGGCCCCTTCTGTGGAATGTCAGTTATTCCCTTTCCTGTCGAAGCATGTTGTGTTTATGAATGAGGTCATGTGTCGTGCATGTGTGTCACATAGTCCCGCATCCAGCCTGGTTTCTTCATCATTAAGGAGGACGTAGTTTTAAATTATAATCCTTCAATTAATTTCTAATCTGTATTTTATTTATACTAAATGTTCTTTTGCATGCAACTTTCTTTTGATTGACAATTTTAAATGCTGCCTGATTCAAGTTAGATGTGATGATTGTCTTCAACAGCTTACATTGGTAATTGCATGGTGTTCACCATCGGATATTTTAATTTTTCTCTTCTTTTAATTTTATTCATTTATTTTAAAGGATCATTGTCACATTTTATCACTGCAGTGTCAATATACCTGAAAACCCCTATCACAATTCCTCAGAGCCTTGTTTTAACTAATAGGCAGTCTTCAGTAGTACAGTTACTACCACAGATGACAAGATGATCAAGAAGTTTCTTCATATCGGAATTTCTGATTTTTTTGAATAATGGCTTTTTCTGAAGATTTTCTGATATGTGATTTATGACTTTTATGTTACAGACCACCAGGTGTCTTGCTATGGTCATAACATCATAATTATTATTATTATAACAGTTAACATATAACATTATTATAACAGTTCTGATAAAACTCAGGTTATCTGGTTAAACAAAGCCCCATTTGATGCCTTGTTGCAGGGTTCCTACACAAGTATGGAAAAGTATGGAAGTCGTTCGATCAATTTCCAGGTCTTAATAAAGTATGGGGAAAATATTTATGTTCCCAGACTCTTACCACAGTTCAAAAGTACCGTTTTCTACAATAGAAAAGTAGGTATTTCCAAAAATAATTCCAAAAAGTAGGGTATGGAAAAGTATGGATATTCCAACTGTAGGAACCCTGTTATTGTTGTCCTCTTTAGTTGCCTCTATCAAATGACTTCTCTTTTCCAGAGAAAACGTTGCCTTAGTGCCTCTGGGGCTAAAAGAGCAATTAAAGGAAAGCCATTATCAGTCTGCCTGCAGCCAACACTAAAGGTCAGGCTGGGCTGTATCCAGGGTTGACATTTTAGAACTTGTTTAATCACTGAGTTTCAAATGTTAGTAACTCTGAGCCTGTTCCCAAATATTTCCCTTTCTTTAAAAACCTTCTACAGTGATAAGTTTGGATGTTATGTCTCTCTAGAGCCTTGGAAGTGACATATTTGATAAGTCTATGGCAGCTGGAGGGTGAGGGTGACCGGGAGAGCAGGAATCAGAAGTTTTAGCTGAGTGTGCACTGAGAATGATTTTATATTGAAACATATTCAGTGGTAAAGCTTCTCGGATCCAACATAAATGCTGATAAATGATGTGGTTTTTACAGAAAGACTAGCTGCAGAGGAAGTGTGCCCTTCTTGTACTAAAAGCATAATCTGCACTTGTATTGCTCTTAAATAGCAGACCTGCCTCCCTGTGGACACGAAATAAAGTGCAGTGAGGCATCACACAGCAAATAAAGTCAGAGGCAGTATTCGATAAGGCTCACAACAACCTGATCTTTTCCTACATAAGTCAATATTATCACAAGAATACTGAAAGTCTTGGTTGGGGAACAGTTGCTGGAAAATATCAGCCGAGTTACTCAGTGAGGATGTATCAGCTGGAGGCTGTTTCTGCTAACTGAGGCAGTTATGTTGCATAAAAGTGAGTGCTGCTCGAGGTAAGGTAGAAAGTGTCCAAGTCATGCAGGCAGTGTGACAGTCATTGGTTATGTAAGAGAAGAAAGCAGGAGGAAGTCGGGTGTGAGGATGAGTGGCTGCTCTCCAAAATGTCCTCCCTCATGTCTGGCAGCGTTTTCTGGACCATCAACATGCAGGGATGGTTTGGTCAGCACTGAATGTGCTTCAGCAGCAGTAAAATCATCTACGTGGTCGAGAAAGTAGACAGCACTGGCAACTGTAAAAGCATGCCTTCTCATCACATGTATATGTTGTTGTTTTTTCAACATGTTTGATGTTTATTTCTCTTTCTTTGAACGCAGAACGGGCGTTTAGGGGATGCAGACATAGAGCGACTAAAACTCACTGACGCATATATTAACGGCACACAGGTTTGTGTTTGTGTCATCATTCATTTATGAGATACGAAGTAGCCATGGTTTGAGCATGTAAACATATTCAATGTCTCTGCTACAGTACAGAATGGTGGACCCTGCACACGGCGCTCTAGATGAGAGCTACACACCAGAGGACGAGTCCCAGGAAGTGCACTCTGTGTTTTCAGAAGAGGGAACTGCACGGCGCCAAGACAATGGCGTAAGTGACATCACATGGGCTCTGGCTAACATCTGATTTTAAAACTCTGGTAAAAGCACATTTAAAAGAGTTCATTATTCAAATGGTTGAACTGTGATTGTTTTGATTCATCCAGATGAAGAAACCAGTCTCACGCACAGTCCTGCCCTCGGACTCGATGTCTATCGACGGGGGCTTATCGGTGTCCGGTATGGGCGGCTACAGCGCCACACTCGACCGTCCTTATAGGCCGCCTGTAGCAGGAGACTACCCCACAGCCACAGTGCCCAGAAACTACCACTATGGCCCTGTAGGAGGTTATGATGATTACCGTGGAGGCCCACCATCAGAAGCATACACCAGCCTGAGCCGGGGTTCACACATGGACGACCGCTACAGGTACAAAACGAAGGCTTTGAACATTTTCATTGACGGTATATATTTTTTATGAAAGGTTTTTCAAGTTTTTTAAAGTATAATGTTGTTTTTGGCACCAGTGAGGGGATTTCCACACAAATTTCATGGTGCTGCCAGATCAAAAAAATGATATTTTTACATCTGTCACACACACACACTGGAGGAGGAGACACCAGGCCTGTGATTAGTCACTGTGTGTGTGTGTGTGTGTGTGTGTGTGTGTGTGTGTGTGTGTGTGTGTGTGTGTGTGTGTGTGTTGAAAATTATAAATGTTTAATTGCCATGAAATATGCCGCTGACACGCTGCATTTACTCCATCATTGTGGATTGAATGGTTAAAAATTCTGAACTTCCTTTCCTTCCTTCTTTAGCCTTCATAGACAAAACAGCTTTACACTCCATTTCAATTATGAAGCATGTCTGGGATTGATAGGAGCAGAATTTATATCATAGAAACATTTAATAACTTTCTGTACGGTGATCACAGACAGACCTTTAAATTCTTTCACACCAAATTTAGGATTGTTTCTGTGTCAGTCGGTGAAAGTGAGATATATTACAGGACTGGGTCTCACTTTTAAGCCTTTCTTACTTTTGTTTTCCCTTCTTCCTACAGGCCTGTCGATGGTTATAGGACCCTGGACTCAGGCTACCGTGCTCCGAGCCGGCAGCAGCTCGACCCATATGCAGCACAGCCTCAGGTGAGCCGAGGGATGAGGGCTCTGGGCTCAGCCATGGAGATGCGGTATGGCCACGCTCCTTATGGTCTGGAGGATGACCAGCGCAGCATGGGATATGATGACTATGGAATGGGGCCCCCACCCATGCACCCCGGTGGCTACGGCACTATGCCACGCCTGGGGCCCGGACCCGGGGGTATTGACAGACGAAGACTCAGGTAACCCCCCGCCTTGTTAGCCCATCTGATGGTCTCTGCGAAGCTAATAGAAAACACTGAATCAATATTTTGTGACAAACTTTGACAATGTTCCTCCGTCCCTCTCTCTCTGGCGTACAGGAGCTGTGAGGACACTTTGGATGGTGACATGGGAGGCGTTGACCCTTACGCCTGGGCGCCCATGGCGATGGAGAGGGGAAGCATGGCATCACTGGACAGTACACTAAGGAAGGGGCCTTCTGGTCCATGGAGACAGCCGGATCTCCCTGAGGTCATCGCCATGTTGAACTACCGTCTGGACCCGGTCAAGACCAACGCCGCTGCCTTCCTGCAGCATCTCACATTTAAAAACGATAAGGTGAAACAAAGATGAAATGCAGAACAGAAGAACTTCACAAAAATGTGTCTTAAGATGTTAAAATGATTTCTCATATTCTGTATCAGAGCCTTAGAATTTATTTTGTCTGTATAGGTGAAGTCAGAGGTGCGGCGCCTTAAAGGTATCCCAGCTCTGGTGTCACTGCTGGACCACCCAAGTAAGGATGTGCACCACTCAGCATGTGGAGCACTGAAGAACATTTCATATGGGAGAGACCAAGACAACAAGATAGCCATCAAGAACTGCGATGGAGTGCCAGCTTTGATCAGATTACTAAGAAAAACCCACGACCAGGACTTGACTGACACTATAACAGGTATCTACGTCCTGTTTAACCATTTTCTTGTTTCTCTGCTCTGCATTTTAACTCGCAAAGAATCTTTTGGTTGAGTAAAAAAAACATCAGACCATTTGAAAACTGTAAAAACAGTCACTCATAGTTGAAATTTGATTCATTGAAAGACGAACCCCCTTTTTTTCTTGCAATAGTCGTAACAGAAGTAATTTTAATCCCCCCAGGCACCTTGTGGAACCTCTCATCCCACGACTCTGTAAAGATGGAAATTGTCGACCACGCCCTGCATGCCCTGGCTGATGAGGTGGTCGTCCCTCACTCTGGCTGGGAGCGAGGGAGCAACGGTGGAGAGGAGAGCTGCAAACCACGCCATCTGGAGTGGGAGACCGCCTTGACCAACACTGCTGGCTGCCTTAGGTATGCAAGGGATCAAGGGATGGAACGTGGAAAATTTTGAAAAGGGTCAAAAAGGGAGTTATTCTGAGAAGGAAACGTATAATTATGCGCTCAACTCGTCCCTCTCCAACAGGAATGTGAGTTCAGAACGCAGCGAGGCCAGACGAAAGCTGAGGGAGTGCACAGGATTAGTGGATTCACTCATGTACATTGTTCAATCCCAGATCAACCGCAAAGATGTCGATAACAAGGTACCAGACGACAGGTTTTAAACAGACTTACTGATTTTCTTTTTACCCTAAAATATTTCTCACTTCGTGTCGGTCTGTGATCTTGTCGTTCACTCCTCCTCTCCTCCTGCAGTTGGTAGAAAACTGTGTCTGCCTCCTTCGGAATCTCTCCTATCACGTTCACCGCGAAGTCCCCGGCTGTGAGCGCTATGCAGAGGCCACGCCTCTTAACCAAGGGCCAGTCCCCGCTAACAAGGGTGGCTGCTTCGGATCTCGAAAGGGCAAAGGTCAGTGTCAAACAAATACTACCGCTCAGAGTTACATAAGATTCGCTGTTGATATGTGGGGAGCTGCTGGTGTGTGAGCTTCTTGGTGGCAGATGCACCTGTCGCTATTTTTCACACTCTACCACTGTTTCCCTCCTTCCCCTCTCCTCTCTCCTCTCTCCTCCCACTTCCCTCATACCTCCCCCCGTTCTTCCTCCCACTTGCTTTCACTTCCTCGTGTCTCTGCTGTGTTTAGATGAGTGGTTTTCCAAAGGTAAGATTCTTCTCTTGGTGTTCTCGTAAGCTTTTTGAAACTATTGACCACTCCTGTGGTAGCTCATTGTACTAACACAGAAAACAGGACAAATCTAATGAAAGAGGAATGTAAAAGAAAGTCGAGTTCACGTCCACTTCATTAACACGATCGCCTGACGTCACGCAGATGGCATTGCATGTTCACAGTGCCCGCTCCACCTGTTGCATGGTCACTTATCTCATCCCGGACCTGCCAGAACAGAAGACTGAAGAGAACTGACTGCTCATCTCATCCCACTTCACATTACTGCTGTCGTTTCTCCAGCTAAAACATTCATGTTCTTTCTTCTTTCTTTGCTGCAGGTAAGAAAGATGGAGACGATGGGAGTGGAGATCAGGTTGACATTCCAAAGAGGACAACACCTGCCAAAGGTAACCATGTCCCACCTGCTCCAATATAAGACAAACCTAGTTTTTGACTGTTTGTGTTGAGGCAACAAATAAATGACTTTCTCTCTTCCTGTTTCAGGTTATGAGTTGTTGTTCCAGCCAGAGGTCATTCGCGTTTACACGTCACTGCTAAGAGAGAGCAAGAACCCCTCAGTCCTGGAGGCTGCTGCCGGCGCGATCCAAAACCTGTGTGCCGGCCGATGGACTGTAAGTGTGATTTAAGAAGATGAAGGCTTTGACTTTGAAATCAATGAATGAAGGTTTGGTTGTCGTTCTTCATGCAGTGTCAGAGTTGATATTTACAGCTTGCTCTCTTTCTTCTTCGGCTTCAGTACGGTCGGTATATCAGGGCCACCGTGCGTCTGGAGAAAGGTCTTCCCATGATGGCAGAACTGCTGGCTCATGGAAATGACCGAGTGGTAAGGGCGATGTCCGGAGCCCTGAGGAACCTCGCCATCGACAACCGTAACTGCGAACTGCTCGGTAAGGACGTCTTCTCCTCTACGGGATTGTGACTTTATCTTTCCCTTTAAAATCGAATGCTCCATAAACCTCGGGATTTGTAACACTTCAGATATTGACTTATTTGTGTTCATGCTGCAGGGTTGCATGCAGTGCCTCATCTTGTGGCCAACCTTCCCGGAGGCCAGAGTCAGTCTGGGCGCGCTCTGTCAGAGGAGACAGTGGTGTCTGTACTGAGCACGCTCGCTGAGGTGCTAGGTAACAGTCTGGAGGCAGCAAAGACCCTCCGTGCGTCACAGGGCATCGAGAGGCTTGTGCTTATTAACAAGGACGGGTACGGTTGCGCTGCTCAGAAAGCTAAGATTATGATTGAGTGTGTGTTTACTTGTAGTCGTTAGCATTTCTAGAAGTTTGTGTTACACTGTAAAAAACTTAAATTCTAAGCACCCTTTACGGAATCAGGAGTCCAAGTTATAGTTAATGTCTTGAGCTTAACATGACATAACAAAAGATCAGGTCTTTAAAGACGAACACCTTGCTAATCTCTGCAAAAATATTTGCGTGTTTTACAGGAAGCGCTCAGAACGGGAGGTGCGGGGGGCCGGTCAGGTGCTACAGCTTGTCTGGGCCCACAAAGAGCTGCGTCGGCCTCTCGAGAAGGACGGCTGGAAGAAGACAGACTTCATGGTCAACCTCAACCCCACCAGCACCACCAACGGCCCCAGCACCCGAGCCAACGGCACCTATGAAGATAGCACCACGCCATTGTTAGACAGAGGTTGGTCCGACAGTACGAGGCTTCTAAAACCATTTCAGACCCACATTCTGGTCATAAAATGCAGATTTCAACGATCAGGTACCTCATGAATCTCACTTTGGCTTCATTGCAGGAGAAAAGAGGGATGTGATTCCACTAAACGACCTTGGCCCTGGTTGGTTGATTTATCCTCCAGTATTTTTTAAGTATCTCATATAAACTGTGTTTTTAAAGTTGGTGTGTCTCATTTTTATCGTCTTTGTTTATTTCTCAGAGGCCTACTCTACACTGGACCAGAGAGAGAGGAGGCACACTCTGGATGAAACCACAGACACTTTACCGGTACTTTAAACTAGTCTGGAGCTTGCTTCTCTGTTGGGTTGCTCACTTAACGACACTAATCCTCTCTCTCCTGCACTACTTTGAGTATTTCCTGACTTAAACCTTTTTCGTTTGGAAACAACTTCACTTTTACTGACATTGGTCTTTTCTCACACTCACTCCCTCTCTCTCTTCTCTCTCTGGTTGTCTCTCAGCGAGGGGTATATGGGGGCAGGAAGGGCTCCTTGCCCCTGTTGGACTCCTACGATGGTTAGCCCTCCCCCCTCCCCTCTACCCCCTCTGCATGTAACAGCATGGTATGTCCAACTGACCTCTCGTCCTGCATGGACTCAGTCAGCTCTCTTCCTTTTGTCTTTATTAATTCAAACCCTCAGTAAAACCTGGTCTCTGTCTATGACGGTGTACTAGAACACTGGTGTAGGTCTCTGTACTGATATTTAACTCTACTAAGCCCCGATGTCATGTCTACATGCTGGTATAGTATGCTGCAAGGCTGGTGTGGTTCTCCAGTCTGCCAGTGTTATGATGAACTCAAAGCTTTATTAATTTTTCCTCAGAACAGGAGATTTAAATCTGTGCAGTAGATTTGTTTAACTTGGATATTTATACTTGTTTAAGATAAAGCATTAATACAAGAACTACTGCACAACACAGGGAAAAACAGAGTTAAATGTTACACATCAGGGTCTTTTTTATCTCAGATTTATTTTTATGTATCATCCAATACACTCCCCTCAATATAAGTAAACATGTTTTAAAGTTAATGTCCTCTAAACGAAAGCCAAGCATCAAAGTTTTCAGATGCAGCTGATCCTCTTACCAGCTGTTCCCATCAATCATTTAGCCGTCTCTGAGTGCCCTCTTGTGGCCTTATAGGGCACAGCAACAACAGTCGTTGACACTGATGGATAATTTTCCAAGTCTAACAACTCCAATATTGATTATTGACTTTTTAAAGAAATATGTGTACACAAATGCCTGTATTTGAATTGATGACATTCCATAGCTCTGCTTTTAAATTATCTTTGCCAAACTTATTGAAGACAGAGACTAAAGGATTCTTCACTCTGTAGATTTACAGCCTTACAGCTGCTTTACTCGATTTTTCAGGCTGAATGTTTTTCTTATTTTGCCACAAGGTTCTAGTCTAAGACCTAACACCTTTAGTTACTGATAACAGTCATTTTATCCAATAGAAATGACACTTTACTCTCAGTATACTCGTTTTCACACATTGTAATGATATTTTAGAGCAGTGGTTCTCAAGTCCAGTCCTCGAGCCCCCCCTGTCCTGCATGTTTTGGATGCTTCCTGCTCCAACACACCTGATTTAAATGATCAGCTCGTTATCAAGCTCTGTAATGGCTTAATAACGAGCTGATCATTTAAATCAGGTGTGTTGGAGCAGGGAACATGCAGGACGGGGCTCGAGGACTGGACATGAGAACCACTGTTTTAGATAAAGTTATGTCGATATAGTGTGTCTTTGTATCTATTCACAGAACAAGTGTCTGATTACAAACAAAAAACAGTCTCACATTTTGTAATGGGTTATATCTTAGTGATGTAATACTAATTATGAATAATAAACTCTACTTTATATTAATGTTGAAGGATTGTTGACACTCACTACTGCACAGTGTGCCATACTTATACCACGAGTCCTTGTGTTGCCTCCGTGTGTAGTGTGTAAACCTGATATTTCAGATTCTGTGCTTGGGTTGTGTCTTTGGTTAATCATCATACTTTTGCTCTGACTCCCCAGAAAAACTGATAGTGTGCATCACTCAGACTGGGCCGTCCCTGCCCTACCACTGCTACTGAGGAGAGACGATCCAGATGCACAGACTCTCTCCCTCTAATCCCCCCCCTCCACACCCCCTCCCCCTTCCCCCATCAACACACAGATGGGATTAGAAGATGAGGGTTGGCATCCAAAGAAAGTGGCTGTGTTGCAGGCTTTTCATGCAACACACACACACACACACACACACGAATACAGACATGCATACACACGTACTTCTTACAAATTCATTGAACTGTAGCAGAAATGTATCCAGTTTTTGAAATATAATTTTTTCTGTAAAGGCAATCACTTTTGTGGACAATCATTTGATTCTGGTGTTGTCACCCTGCTTGTTTCTGATTTTTCTTGTTGGAACATTTTGGTTATTTTCATCATGGTCAAGTGTTTGCCAACTCCCATATCCTAACGATGAATTTGTACGTAGACTTAAATGTAGGGTATATACTGTATATAAAAAGAAAATGGGATGACTGCATTAGTTTTGGCTCATTAATTTAAATCGTCCCTTCAGTGGGATTGTTGGGATTGTTGGGATGGAGCTATGGACCGCCCTGTAGGTCGAGAATGTTGTTTATAGAGGAGTTATTTTCCTGTCTAGAGTTATTTTCTCTCGGTTGGGATGAGCACAGGTGTCAAGAAAGGGCAGGAGCGTGTGTGTATATTTGTCGTACAGTAAACCTGTGGGCATGTGTGTAAGTGTGTGCAAGTGAAGAATGGATATGGACCTTGAAGTGAGTGCATTTGTGAGTTTGTGTGTGTGCTGGACCAGACCTAAAAGACCGCACGTTGATAATTTTATCCGTTTTTGTCATTTGTTTTTAACTTGTGCTTCTACTCATGTGACAAAGCATTGTTTTTTATTCCTTTTCATGTGCTGACTGCCTCTTTTGTGTTTTATACTTTCACTTTAAACTTTTGGTTTGCTCCCCTTTTGTAGAAAACACTCAGCTTCAACGTCTTTAACTGACCAGACCCCATTAAATGTGGCTCTGACTGGTAAAGCTGGAAACCAAAACACTAAACCACTACAGCATTTTTTGACACATGCTTCAGAAATCATTCCTGGCTCTACTGTTACAGATTTACAGTTTGCAATACGCTTTATTTTTTTTATTTAGATAAGGTTACAAACACTTCAGGAGGCTTTCTGCTTTAAATTTGAAGCCCTAAATAAAGACTTCTCGCTGTTTTCTGAAGGCCTTTGTGGTGAAACAACACTTTAGGTCAGGGAGGCTTTTATCCTCAGAGTGGACTCCAGTTTTAACAGATACTGACTTTTAATTTAATCTGGGAGGTGGACAAAAGGGACATTTTTGTCTTATCATCCATGACCTACTTTTGTTTTTACTTTTCACTTCGTAGTTTGTTTCTCATTTCAAGGTTTGTATGCAAGGCGGCACTGGGTGAGATCATTATGCAATTTGTTCAACTGTTTTTAGTCTGAGTTTTACCGTTTAGTTGTTTTTTTGTTTTTTAAAGCAAAGAGACCAACCGTCTTTGTGTTTCTTTCTCTTTTTTTACTCTCCACATACAATATATTTGTAATGCCTATCCATGTAAAATTATGATGTACCATTCATACCTGCCTTGGCTCTGAGAAGTTGCTTTTTTCAGTAAAGTATGTATCTGGTAATACTGTTGTTTTTATAAATAAAGATCTTTTCTTAGACAACATTTGGCGACCTGTGATTGATGTGGCTGTGTGGTGAAGTGAGGAAGGAGTGTCGTATCGTGTAGATAAACACGTCTAATTAAAGAGAGCCACTCTGTTCATCTGGGTAATTTCATCCCCACTCTTGTTGAGGCAAAATAGCAAACACACATTTGACACCATGTCAGATATGCTCCCTCTTACACCAACAAGCATTTTTTTTTCTTTTTTTTTTTACTCAGTTTTTGCCTTTTTATGCCTTTAATCTAATATGTCAATAGAGTGATGAGATTTTAAACACCACAAACATTCACCTCAAAGTTTAAGAACTGAAACTTCACTCGGGTCTTCCTGCTGATTAACTTTCAAACATTACAGCACTTTTCAGTGTCAATCTCCCTGTTTGGGTGTTGTCCCACATTCTGACTGAAAAAAACTGCTGTGTGTGCTGTCTGTGTTCGCCTCCAAACAGGGGCTTGTTTGAGGACATGAAAGGGTTTCAGCGTTTCCAGCGTACACCGAATTAGAGGAGTATCCCATACTGACTGGGAAGCAGCTGCTGGATCATGAGGTGAATATTAGTCAGGTTATGTGTATCTGTGAGTAACTGACTGACCCACGGGAAGTCACAGGGGTTTCAGCAACATGGGGGAGTAGATATCCTGTGATAATCTAATTTGATCATCACAACACTAAGATGGGAGGTATTTTTGAAAGAGATATTCAAACTCATTTTAGAGGAATCATCACTTTGTCAAAACTAATCTACTATACTTTCAGGACGTGCACCTTAATCACTGGGTTACACGAGCACCCTATGAATAAAATATGAAAATTACTGTTGGGAAGGGGGGCATATTGGGGATTCATGACCTAAATATATCCAGAATCTTTGCTATGGTCCCATTAAGATCTGTAATGTAGAATATGTGTATAATGTTATCCCAAAGGCTGCATGTGCCAGACAGACATAATTAGTCGTACACAGAAACATAAACGGTTTTGTCCTCTAGCTGCCATGAGGGTGTATCTTGAGTGACAAGAGCGCGTGCACGTCTGCATTAGTCATCGAGCGTGTGTGATGTTTCTAACCTGTGCAGCTGGTACAAACATGCACACACCCACAGCCTTAAACTTGAGACCACCGGGCGCAGCAGATTCTCCCTCCCTCCCTGTGTATCACCGTTTGGTGTCATTTCTATTTAGAGCTCCCCCTCTGTTCTTCATTTCCTCACGATCACTCTCTCAAGCTCAAAGACGAGCAGCAGCAGCGTTAGACTCCAGCACGTCGGATCCACAAGAAATATCTCACGAGGAACCATCTAACGGAATATATCACCTGTTCGGAGTGGGAATGAATGCTGAGAGGGATTTATGACTGGCGACATCACATTGATTCCACATTAGGAACTTCATGCAGGATAAGGTAGGGGAACCACACCACTGGGACATTTAAGCGTGGCCTTTTTTCCCTCCTTATGATTGGAACTGATTTCTGGAGTTGAATAGGAAAGGTGCTCAGTGTTGAATTCTAACTCATGGGTGTCTCTAGTTTTTCCTCTTCAAACTCAGATGATGAGTCCCCTGATAACACTCCAGCCCCTGACACCTTACGCCACACGTCCCATACCAGGAAGCAGAGCGGGCTGGGTGGCCTGGGTTACGGGCTGGGGGTAGCTTGGCACCACTTGAGGCCCTTCGTCCCCTTCTTCCTCATCAGCTTCATGGTGGTGGCCCTTGTCTATCTAATGCAGGCTATCATCTATGGGGGACCATTCAAGGATCCGCTCTTCTTCGTCAAGTTCAATGAGCGCTGGCCCCGGCCTGCCCCAGTCCAACAGGACACCCCAACACCCACCAAGAGTTTCAGTCCGGTCCCCTCCTCGTCCTTCGAACAAGTCCTTTTTGAACTTCACACAAACAACGAGACAATATGATGGAAACAAGAACTACAGGAGTTTTTTCTTTCCCTGGTGGATATGAGAATCAAGTACTCTCCTTGGATTACACCAGATCCTCCTTGTGTTACAAGGGTGCAGACTAAAGCTTTGATATTCTTGGCAGTGGATATATCGCCTGTCTGTCCTTCTTATCAAAGCCTGTAACTATAATATCATGGAATGAAAAATAAACTGAAGGTTACCTGCTCTAATCTTTGAAGAATGTGCAGCTGAACCGGATGCTTTTCAGATCAAGGTCAACAAACTTTCAGTGACTCAGTCTGCTAAAGATTGTCACGCTTCAACACGAGGGACAATGCTATGATGTGATCACCTAAAACAACCGCCCAAATCGGCCCTGCAGTTATTCATTTTAGAAGTAGTTGATTTTTGTGGTTTTGTAAATACTTTAAACCAAAGTGTCTCAGACTCAAATGTATCATTACAATTTTTTTTAAAAAGACAGTTCACATGCCTTATATGAACAGAAAGCAACACGTTTGTTTTCCCTGTTTTTCTAGATGTGCTTCAGCAGACACTGTTATCCCAAAGGTAATCTAAGTTTCAGAAGCTTTTCTATTTTTTTAAATCATGAATCTCAAAAGATACAATATTTGTAATTACAAATTTCCACTTTGTTTACTACTTTCCCTTCACTGTAGCTCAAGCAAACATGTGAGTTCTGACTAAAAGTTTTACACCAACCACTAAGGAGTCATTTTTATACTTCATTTCAAATTTACTGAGAGAGGACTCTTCATCTTACTTCTACTGAATGTTCAGTGTAACCTCATGATCTGAAGGAATAACACCGGCAAAAACAAACTCTCACCAAGTTAAGAAAGTGGTTGATGCACTGAACCGTTCATAGGTGTTAAATTTGATTAAATTCCTGTGATGTTGTCAGATACTCTGGTTTATTTTGAGAATTTAAAATCAAAGTGTTGACTGGTAGTGGTCTTTGTATTACATATCAGCAGATATAAATAACACTTTGTTAATTTGTTTGTTCACATGACTTAGGAGTGAACGACACAAGGTTGCCTTTTATAAATTGTTTACCCCATATAACATCTTATCCAGACTGTGGCAGTGGTAGGTGGCAACAATAAACACGATGTTGTGTCATATCAAGTCTTATCATGGAGTATCTTTAGCTCGAGTAAAGTCCCAGTTTTAGAGTTGTAAAATTCACAGATACACAGCCAAATAAATAACCACGTGACAACAGTTTTTAAGTTTTACCATCAAAGAAACGTTTCCAATTACATGTCTGACAAATTTCTACAAAAAAATGTGTCTCAACAGAAAACAAACAAGAGTAGTTCACATTATGACTGAAAATATTTCTATAATTGGAACTAGAGATGTATTTACTCAAAATCTGGTATAACACAGGGAGGAGTTAGCCAAGTTTAAGCATGTTAATGCCAGACTAAACCAATAATCTGCGTTTATTTCCGTTTCTTTTACATTAATTCATCCTTCATCTTGCTTTCTAAACTGTTTTTCTGAGCTTGTGAAATGTGCACCACATACACAATTCATGGTTTTGAGAAGAAGATAACCCTACTTAATGTTACAGTACATTAAGCTCAATTTTAAGATCAAATGCTAATCTTTGTAAAGAAAGAAAATGATGTGTGAAACACGTGTTAAATTCTTCTCACCCTTCATTTTTGCTGTACTGTAACAGCAGGGTAGAGCCTCTCCTGCCCCCTGGCGGTGGAGCGACGAACAGCTCAATCAAAGTGTAATCACGTCCACCGCCGCTAATCACGCTGACGCCTGGATGACCTCAACAAAACCAGCAGAAATCATGTAAACTAGCAATTTCTGCGTGTTAGCGAATCAAAATCTAAGTTTTTGATTAAGTTACCGTATTACACTCAAAAGTGTGGACGGATTAATGACGACTTTTAGAAGTTGAACTCGGTAAGTAGTAACATGTCTTGTCACCTGCCCGCGTTTGTACATGTGTGCTGTAAAAGTCCGCGGGAAGAAAATAGTTCCTACAGCTCTCATTCAAGAAAAAGTAAACAAATGTGCATAAAAATGATCGCAAAGAGGTGGTCTGTTATGACTTCTTTATATCGCAGCATTCAGGGGGTCAAGGTCTGGTTGTTTTCTGCTATATTAGCCGGTTGCTAGCTGTCAGCTGAATGCTAACCTGCAGGTGTGTCCTGGTCTCGTATTCTCAAGTTAAATAACTTTATGTGCAAATAAAAGAGAAATTAACGCTGATTTAAGGAGCTCAGAAAAAAATTACATGCTCCTTAACTGGGAAAAAAATAAATATGTATGAAGTAAATGATAAAGGTCCTGGAAGTATATGCTCCCTTGTTTAATAAGTCAACTGGACTCAGTTTTTACTCAACAATATTTTTATCATTTTTATACAGAACAAAACAGCACAGTGAGCTATTGAGAGAGCACAAGATACAAAGGAAACATTAGTCACAAACACCCCCAGACCCTGTCTACCGCTGGATATTCCTGTTACTGTGCTTAAAGAACAAATTCAACAAAATGAGTTAAATGAATTACTGTGCGGTAAGAGAAATACAAATGTAGAGAAGTCGCTAGAAACTTAAAAAGTCCAAAAAAGAGAGAAGAATTTAAATTGTATGATTATAAAACATCACAGATATATATATCACAAAAAAACTGGAGTGTGAGAGGTAAACGTTTCTACTAAAATAACAACTCAAGTACCACATTAGAGGATGCAAAATATAGTTAGTCAAACTTAGATTAAGTTAATGCAGTGAACAAAGTGTGAGGTTAAGCTTACTGTAGTAATACCAACTGAGAAGTGCAGTGATAGTGTCCTCCACACTACACAAGGGAACATGTAGACGGTCATAAAACTAGTTCTCATGGTACTGTAAGGTCCATTATTGCTTTTCATGGGTTCTCATTAGGGCTGGTCATATCCCGATATATTTAGGCTGAATATCAATATAGGATATATATCCTGATATTGTTTTCGCAAAGTGAGAGCAAATGTTTCGTCACAGTCAAAGACAAATATGGCATGTCACATGTCTTTGTTTAAAGCTTTTGTGCGAGAAACACCAGCCTGTCAACAACAGCATCAGATATCTGTACATCGATATGTGATATGGTCCAATTCCACATCTTATTTAAAAATATATTGATATATTTCTTATATCGATATATCGCCCAGTCCTAGTTCTCATATAATCTCACTGTTTCCATGTTTTAGACCAAAATAAGTTTTCTTGTTGCAACTTTAAAAAAGTAAAAGACATTTTCCAAAGTATCGTGTTCTGTTCTGAGTTGATTCAGAGGAAGTGCAGAAAGACTCTTTTCTTCAATCTATCTATCACCACCATTATTGATTTGCCGTCACCCTCTGGGGTCCTCCTCTGCAGCGAATGGGGAGATGTGGTGTTACCAAAAACCCGACTATGAAGCCCTCCTCCTTGCAGAGCTGCAAAGACAGCAGCAGTGCAGCCAGTTCTGTGACACGCTGCTCAAGACAGAAGGTATGAAGACAAACAACAGCTCACAAACAGCAGCCACTAACCCACTGTACTCTTGCTGTCACTCTGATAATCACTTGGTTCTGGAGGCATACACAAGCACCACTTGCAAATGCTCCCTGTGTTGCCATCCTAACATGTCCTACCATGTTGTTTCATGTATCTGTGGAAGCTGTTATTATCCCTCCCTAACTCTCTCTCTTTCAGGTGTTTCTGTACCTGCTCACAGCTGTATTCTTTCAGCCATCAGCCCTCAAATGTCCTCCTCCCTGTCCGCCATGCCGCAGCCCCCTGCAGGACAGAGTCGTCTCCTGGAGTTTCAGGCTCTGGGCGCCAGCACTCTCCTCCAAATAGTTAGACTGCTGTACTCAGGAAAGATGGTGGGGCAGGGGGAGGAAGAGAGGCACGAGGCTGTTTCTGCTGCAGCCAGGCTGGGCATCCACGGGCTGGTGGAGGTTATTAGAGGAATAAGTGGTGCAGCAGAAAGCCGGCACAAGGAGGTCGGTGTGCAGACAGAGCCGATGATTCTTGGGGAAAACAGAGGGAGAAGAGGTTGGTGGAGCAGAGAGGAGAGGGATGGAGTTACTTTTCTGAGGAGAGGGTCAGAGGGTCAAAAAGATGCATGGGCTCAGACAGAGGAGCCCCAGGTAAACACCAATCCTCCCTTACATCAAGCTGTCTCCTATGAGACCATTGACGTAGGTGCTCTCCAGACATTAGGATCATTAGACCTCCATCAAATTCAGACCCAATTCTCCTACATCCCAGTCTCTCATGTCTACCCACCAAATGAAAACCAAGGCGAAGCAACTTCAGGTGCCGACCCTAGGAGCTGGTGGTGTACATCTCAGGATAACATCTCAGGATTCACCAGCTACTCCCAGAATCCTCCCAGGAGGGAGGGCCGCCGCAGGGGCCGACCACGAGGTAGCCGGGCTGTAGGAACTAGAAGTGCCAGAAGAACTAGGTCCGAAGCGAGAGGAGCCAGTAGACCACGAGCAAGCACAGGAGGGAGGGGAAGAGGAAGGGGGAGAGGAGGTATAACACAAACTGTGGATGTGCAGACTGTAGGGGTGGGCAAGATTCAGAAGATGTTCCTGCAGAGGTGGGGAGTGAGAACGCCCAGGACTGGGCAGGGTGGAGGTGCTGTGGGACGGATGTTGTGTCTGAAGACCAGAGAGATTCTGAAGACGACCAAGAGCTGTACACGGAGGAGGCGCGCTCAAAAATGGGACTTCGGTCAGAGTGGAGATTTGGGAGAGAGAGGAGGAGGTCAACTGCGGCAGGTGAGTGTGTGCAGCAGTGTCAGTGATATCAAAGCCTGACGAGGGGACAGAAAGTAGTAATTTTAATGATTTATCTGAACAAAAAGTTTAAGGTCCAATTAATGAATTCACTAATCCACAGTTTAAGAGCAGCTTGGATTCTAAAACAAGACATAAAAGGCTTCACAATCCAGGTTATAGATAAAGACGATTTTCACAGCAGTAATGTGAAATCGACTAACTTTGTCATGCTTTTCAACCATCTCATGACCTTTTTTCTCTCCCTCCCCCCACCTCTCATAAAAAAATATGTGGAAGGATTTTTTTGTAATTGTCCCTCTTTTCTTCCCGTTACTACAGAGCGACCTCCCCGCTCAGAGAGAGAGAATCACACCAACGTCAGCCTCCTTTTCTTCTCCTCCTGTGTGTTTTTACAACGTACACCATACATTACCAGCCTCCAGCCCCGCTCTCCAGCCCTCTCTATCATCCCCTGCAGATTTACACCAGCATCCAGCACCGTCCCTCCACCACATCACCTCCCTCCCATCTCCAAACCCTCCACCCAATGAGCCTGAACACATTGATCGCCTCTTGGAGGAAGTGATGATGGGCCTTAACATTTTGCCGAACCAAACCAAGCACCAAGAAAGTACAACTGTACTTGTTGAAAGAGGATCCAGACATGTTGGTGGTGGTGGTGGTGGTGGTGGCAGCTCCTCTGGCTCTGCAGTACCTGTCCTGCAGCAGCAAGGAGAGGGGGAGCTGCATGACATGCTGGAGAACTTCCTCCAGTCTTTTGAGCAGCATCTTCACAGCTGTTCCACCACAGAGGAGACAGAGAAAGATGGTCAGAGCAGCGCAGATGCAGCTCTGAACAAACACAAAAGAAGGACCAATAAAGCGGACACTGTGCAGAGCAGCTCACAGCCACGCAGATCTCCTGCTGTTCCTCAGAAACCCACAGAGACGGCGACACGTGTCAAAGTACGTCCTAAACGACCAAGAAAGAGGAGAAAAAATCAGTATCTGTTTACAATGGAGAGAAAGAGGGTAAGAAAGCGTGTGTCTTCAAGTAAAGCAAAGGACAAAACTGTCCCTGATCGAGGAGACAGGCAGCTACAGCAGATGCCTGTGGTGAAACTGGAGAGGAGTGGCCCGCTGCCAGCCCGAGTTACGCTGCAGGGACTCAGCTGTCAGAGCCAGGAAGAGGTGACAAACATTTTGAACAACTCTGCTCTCATGCCTCTGATTATATCCGCTGTCATCATCACACACACATGAGATTACTGATGTGGCAAAGTATCTAAATGAAAATGTATGTGGTCTTTTTTTTTTAGGGTCCGCTAATAACAAAGAGCAGTTCATTGCCAGAGACGGACACGAATGGAGGCTGGACGAGAAAGGTTTACCCAATCAGGAGCAGATTCAGGGAGGCACACATCACGGTGAGGACGAATCTTTTAACAAGGAGGTGTCATGGTCCAGGATGATTTATCTTTATAACTTTTGTGATCTTCTAAGCTTTCCTCTAGCAGCAATATTTCTTCATCTACAAGAACGGCACACAACTTTTTCACAGACATCCACTGGTCCTCGGCAGTGAAATTTTATCTCTGAGTTTGCATGAAGCATTGTTTGGGGGTCTAAACCTGAAATCATCATGACCAAATTTAGATATTTCAGTTCTTCCTCAGTTGCAATACAGTTTGTGTGGCCTTGCATACTGAAGGTCTTTAACACAAGTAAGACATTTTGCTGAAGCCAGTTTCAAAAGTGTGCAGACTGCATTCCAACACATCTCTCATAGCCCTGACCTGCAAAGAACCGACCCTGATGACTTTAGTGATTGTTGGCTCATGGCCTTGTCAAGGGTCAAACTTACAGGAGAAATATGGAATCAGATTTGTGTCAAAATAATCAAACAAAACTTCAATTTGTAGCAAAAATAAGAATTTGAGAGAAAATAAAAGTCACTGAAGCAAAAAAAAAAGTCTTCTCAAAAGTAAAATATGTCACTTGCAAACAAATTATTTGTGCAATTGTGTAAACTACTGGTCTTTTACTTTTTGTCAAATATCCTTTTGTTTACAGTTTCTTCTGTTTCTTTCTCCCTGACCAGATTTTCGCTCTCACTGCCCGTTTTACAGTCTTGCTGCCAGCTCTCTCGTTAGCGCTCTCTGAGTTTTTGTCTGCGGTTCTGACTCAAACCTCTTGCGTGGGTGGGACTTTTCAGGGGTGCAGGGCCATTGGCTGGTGAATTTTTGTGTGACACCTCAGTGGCCGGTGTTGTGCTGAGAAATAAATACTCTCTGCGTGTTTATGTCTTCAGCTACATGTATCCTCATCATCAGCATGTTGGTATTGTTTTTATGATTTCAGAGCTTTAAGCAGGACTCTTGACTCTATACTTATCTATATAATCTATGAGGGTTCATTTCTTTCACAGGACTCTATGCCCTTTCTCCATGAACCACTTCTAACTAAACAACAGCAAACAGCTGATAAACCATGTTCCAGGCAAAGCAGGTCCAGAAATAATGGACAACTTCACGGCGTATGTAACGGCGAGAGTTCAGTGTCACCAGTTCAACAGCAGCAGCAGCAGCACCCCCCCGTGGATGAACAAGAGGAAAATCAAGAACAGCACGAAGAAGGAGAAACAAATGTCCAGCCACATGGAAAGGCGAAGGGGCTCAGAGCGACCGGAGAGAAGAGGGGGGCTGAGTCAGACGAGGAGACAAGCGAGGATACCAATGAAGCCAAGAGGTTGTGTTTAGAGCAGCCAACACAAGGAGAAACCTCTGTGTCTGCTGAATCAGCGACCACAGAGAGGCCACAATCCACAGAAAATCTGAACCCGGGTTCCACTGGAAGCTGTGAAGGAGACATAGATGAGGACATCGATGTCATCGGAGGCTCCAGTCCTGTCCCTGATCCGGTGATCATCAGCTGGTCGATGTCTTCAGAAGATGAGGAGGAGGAGGAAGGTGAACCAGATGAGGATATTGACATTATTGGAGACAAGACAAACTACGGTCCGTCAGCGTTTTCGACTGCTGTGAAAGACGAGCATGAAAACAACAGCTTGAGGTCCTCTTTAACTTTAGTTTGAGTTAAACTCCTGTCACTAGAGGCAGAAAAACATTACTGTATTTCTTTTAATTTCCAGGACACGTTGTTGAGTTCGGTTTTATTTAGCTTTGAGCCAAACTTTGTGGTTTCATCAAAGATGTTTTTATGCCAAAGCACACGTGTAGACACACTTTACGACCACGTGAGGGGCTTTTGCTTTCCTTTTTCTACTGTTTAGGAAAAAACAAAGTGAGGTAAAGACCTGCTTCATTATGCACAAAGACAGTTAGTGAACTATAATCAGAAACAAGACAGCTATTCAGTTTTAGCTCTTAAGTTTGTTTTAACCATCTGTTAACCAGCAAAGTTGACTGGGAGAGTTTGATTTTTGTACTTTTAGATGTTTGGATTTTACAAAAAGACAAAGTTGTTACTTTGACTGTTCAGTAAATTAATTTGTTTACAGATTCGTTCAGCAGTCAGTTCAAGTTTCAAAAGACATTTCGTACCACTAAGAAAAGAACAATCAGGTTAATATACTGAAAGGAATCAGTGGTGTTTTATTACATGTAAGTACAACTATTACTGTATAAGCTGTAAAAGAATTGATAATGTCCCTTCTTTGTTCCACAAGTTTGTAAATGTTTCAGGAAAAACTCCTTCTTGTTTTACTTTGTGTTCGATAATGTTTCATGAAGCACTTTCCAGATTTTGACTGATATTTACAGTAAAAAATACTTCTCTGTACTCCTGGTGTTGCAACAGTTTGATTTTGTGACATCTACAGGCTCTTCATCGGGTTTTCTTTTGCTTTTCCCGTTTAGTTTTCTCCACCCATTTATCTTCTGGATCAACAAAGAGACTGTGTGTGCAGTCCAGTATCCACACCCGTGTTTTCACATCTTCTTCACCTACCAGTTTGCAATTATATTTTTTCCTTTGTTTAAAACTACTTCTTTAAATTTTGGAGAAAAAAGAAAGAAAGTATCGATAATATTTGATATATACTTTCATGATACTTCTATCAATTCAATATGATAAAAAAATTACAAAAAAAACCCACCTGAAAACAGTCGGATAAATGATAAAAATGTCCTCTTGTCGATTATCAGTTTCCAAAAAGATCTAATGTATCAAACGAGGTGAATATATATATTTGTTAAATTCTAAGGACATTTTGTAGTAAGTAAAATAAACATTTCAGCTCCAAAAAAATTTGAATTTTCTGGCCATAGTTCGTGGTTTCAGGCACTTAAGGGCTAATAAATTTACTTAAGGTACTGTATATGCTGATCATTTGTTCCATGAGTAGTTAGGATCACACGTTTGTCTGTAGATGTGGATACAATGAAGCAAAAGTTGACTAGAAATAGAAACATGATCCTAAGGATTTAAAGTTCAAGAGAGCATAAATTTCATATGACTTTGTTTCATTACTTTAAACAAAATAATCGAATTTTTTATCATTATGCTACAAAGAATCTTAAGCATACTAAATATAGAGTCTGTTTTAATGGCATCAGTGTTTACATTTGTAAGCAGACAAAGCTAAGCCTCGCAACTTTGAAGCTTGTGTTGTTCTGTGACTGTACTTAAAAAACTTATTCTGCACAATTATTGAACATTTATAAAAACAGAGCGGTGTGTGTGCTGGAGAACTGAAATCACACAAAATTACACATTTTTAGTTTATTTTCAAACATGTCTGAGTTGATGTCTTGTATATTTGACTGCATTGTTCATGAACTGCTTATATTTAGTATTATTCAGCCAGTGTTGCGTATATTAACCTTTGTCTTCGTTTTGTCTTCGTTAAATCGTGGTATTGAAATCACACACACAGTTCTATAACAGAAGAATAAGACATGAATTGAAAATGAGTTTATTAGTTATAACCTAGGGGTCGACCTCCTACACAACAACAACTGAACACATCTGAGCTGCACTGCAGCACAGTCTGCTGCACTGAGGGGAGTGAGGGCAGCTGAGAAGGAGGTTTTCTTGCATACGGCGCCATGTTTGAGCTTCATCTCCCTTCTGAAGAGTCCCTACTCTCTCAACACCTTTGCCGCTCATCACCCAGCTCAGGTGAGAGTACAGCCCAGGTGTGTGTTTGTGTGTAAGTGTCCTGGCACCTCTAAACCAAATAAAAAAGACACAATGTGAGTGTCAACTAAGTCAGCATGAGTGTGTATGTGGTGTGTATGTTTCCCTGTGGTTTAACAGTGCGATATTGTCTCTTATCACACTCTGGCAGCAGCAGCAGCAGCGGTGGTGGAGAGACGGGTCAGGGTGGCTCAAGTCATGAGGAAGAAAACAATAAGGAGAGAGAGAAAAAGGAAGGGGTTATCGGTGAAAGAAGAGGTTGCTGTCTCAGTCTCATCCTGTCCTCCTCTCAGTGCTGGATACGCCTGATGGACTGGATCTGAGGGGTCTGACAGTGGGAGCCCCAGGACTTGCACTGCTGGTAGTCTCCACTGTGTTTCTCACACTCCATGATGTACTGCTGGCCCCTGTAGCCGGGGAACTGGTAGCACACAAAGCTGACAGAGGAGCAGAGAAGGTACAAAGTGTTAGCAAGACTATTTTAAGGGCCGCTGTGACAGAGTGGGATGTAGAGCTTTAAGCAGGTATGCCTATTAAATAGAAAACATGCTTCTATAATCCAGCTTCTTTTCTAAGACTAACACAGACCGACAGCTTTGAAACAAGATTAATCAGTGTTGTGATTCAGTTTCAGGAGCTGCATTATTGAAAAGGTGCATCCTGTTACTCATTCACAGGTACTTACGCGCCACACTGCACATGCATGGAGCCGACCTCTGGCATAATCCAGCCCATAGCCTGCAGAGAGGGGTAGTCGTCGCAGATCTCCACACTGCGACCCAGGAAGTTCTCCTTCTCAAAGATAATCATGCGACTGCTCTGGTGAGACTATAGAAGGAAGGAGAGAGATGAACAGCTGGGTTTGTTTTTTTCCTCCCGAGTTAGGTGTCACCTGAGAATCTCTGATTAGCAGGATGTAACTCACAGCGCAGCAGATGGGGCGCAGAGACATAAGGCGCTCCACGTGGTAAGAGAGGGATCCGCTGTAAGCATCCCAGTGAGGGTACTCTCCTCTCTCCAGGATGAACTGCTGGCCCTGGAAGTCATGGTGCTCAAAACCCACCCAGCTGTTCATGAGAAGAAAAAGAGCCGTTAACATCGCACTAAAACTCCTCTTGTCACACATCATTTGTGACGCAGAACTTACGCCCCGCTCTCCACCCTGATGGAGCGGATGTTGTCCAGCCCACACTCCTGGATGTTGGAGCACTCAGAGGTGAACTCCAGGCACTTGCCCTGGAAATGCTCCTGCTCAAAGACAGTCACCTGTGGGTGTTGATGAGAAAAAGGCAACAAGGAAGAAAAGGCAAGTTAAGTTGACAGTAGTATTACACATGCAGAGACTTTGGATACAGACAGAGTGACATTTAAATCTGCTTGATCATTCCTGCTATTAAAAGAAAGGTGTTGCTATTTCAATATAAATACCTCCTCTATCAAGACAAAGACAACATAAGAGTTAAGAGTTACCACATAAGGTTGGAGCTCTGCCACAGTCACCTGATTTGTGCTCAAAGAGTTTGTGTTTACCTTGAAGAAAGGAGCCATGCCCATTCCTGAGTTGACCAGAGGCTGCATCATAGGGGACCTTGTAGTTCTGTACATTTTTACTCCTGAGGTGACAGATGAGGACAAAGACAGGCAGGTGAAGTCAGTGGTGAGAGGTTTTGGCTAAAATAGTTTACATCAAACAACATCCATGAGAAATCATTGACTGAACAGTTTCATCTTTGGGGTTAAATGTCGTGTTTTCTTCTTCTTCAATTTTACACACACTTCTATAAATCTGAACAAAAAACTAAGAGTTTGAGAAAACGATGAATTGACTTTTAAAGGTTGAAATGCATCTCTCTACAGACATAGCTTGTAATTCAGGTGTTTTACAAAGTGTCTTTGGGTTTCCACCTGTCTGGTCTCGTCTGTCTGACTCTGTGTAGTTGTAATAGAAGCAGAGGTGCAGCCTTACCTACTTTTGCATTAATGAAGAGCTTTAGAATAACGCGCCTACCGCCTGCCTCGCGTAAAGCTTTGAGTGCACCTGGCGCTTCAGTTTTATATGGACGGTCGGGGAGCGCGCCTGCTTGTGAGCGCGCTTTCTTTAAATCTCGTACTCCATCCATTGACTCTCGGTGGCGTTAGTGCGCGCTCCCGCATTTGCCCTGCAGGCTGCGCTCGGTGTTGTCCATCCACAGGAGCCAGCTCAGCAGATCCTCTGAAACAAAGGTGCACTGGTATGTTCGGACCCCGGTCAGCAGTCCGGCGTGTGTCCCGGCACAAAGGGCCGGGATCGGGGGAAATAATGAGGGGATTAACACCCCAGCAGAGAGGCCCCGCTGAAGAGGGGAAAACTAGATGGATCTGTGCACCAACGCTGAACAGATATAAGTTTCATTTTAGTTTTGCCCACTCACTGGCATCTCGGTGACACCCCAAGGATGGAGGTTGTGTGGTTTTGGCAGGAGGAGTCAGGAAGAATGAGTTGACCTTTAACGATAAATGCAGCAGCTCCCAAGACAGTTTCCCAGGTACATCCTTATTCAAACACTTCTCCTGTGTGGGATTATTGCAGATTTACTAAAACGACACTTGAAAATCCTGCGAAATGCGGTCTTGTACCTCAGTGTGGGGCTCTTATAGATGGAAAGTTTCAGGAGAACTGGCAACTAAAAATTCCATTCAGTTTTATGTATCAGATGTGGATTTTAATGTCTGATATGATCTGAAACAAGGCCTGAAAATGACATTTACTGTGTTTTTGACAGATGTATGAAGCCACACATATTTAGCTACAGTCACAGCTGATACTTGCAGTGAAAAATAGATAATAGTTATTTGAATAGGAAGTGGTAGAGATATGTGAGACCTAACAACTACATGCTGTTTAACCTTAAATTTTAATCTCAACATGATTTAAAAATAGTGTCACTTTGGTCCGTCCCCCAGCTCCTGTCCTCTCTGTACCCGCCCATGTCTCCTGTCACTCTCTGTGTGATGACGAGGGGTTTCTTTTGTCTTTTCTCTCTGACCTCAGCAGTTTTGTTTCTCTACCCATAATCCCTCGCCCATGGGCGCCAGCATATAAAAGGGAGAGGCGATCTCGGGGCCACACACTCTTGAGTGAGGCTCGCCGCAGGCATCGCACACACAGACAGGTAAGGTTTACAAATTCACACAGATGCTGGTCACCGTGGAGGACGAGGCGTTGGTTACACAATATAGAGATCATTAGTAGAGTTTTCTTCACTAAGTTTGAAACTTCCTTTGTCATATCAGCATACATCTCTGCATTATTTCCTTCTATCTCCCTAACCAGTAATCATGTCCAGTGGAGATAAGTCAAAGACTTCATCCCAGACAGATGGGAAAGCTGCTCAGGGCAAGAAGTCAGAGATGGGAATGATGAACTACAAGGTAGGCGACTCTTAGATGGTCTCTGGTTTTAAGTATCCATGTTGAGAAACACTCATATCACAGACTTTTGCTGCTATCTCTGAAACTCATCTGTGTGCCTTTGTGCCTCCAGTTGCTTGTGTTTGACCAGGAGAACTTCCAGGGTCGCATGATTGAAATCAGCAATGAGTGTATGAATGTCTGTGAGCTCGGCATGGACCGTGTGCGCTCTCTGCGCGTTGAGAGTGGACCGTAAGTTTAAAGGATTTATTGGAGCATTTTTGTGTTCAAATGGTTGTCTCTGCGCATTGTTTGAAACGCTGTTTCTTCTGCAGCTTTGTGGGCTTTGAGCAGATGAACTTCTGTGGTGAGATGTACATCCTGGAGAAGGGAGAGTATCCTCGCTGGGATTCTTGGAGCAACAGTCAGAAAAATGACTACCTGCTATCTTTCAGGCCAGTGAGAATGGTAAAAACACACCTGGCCTTTGAATCTCAAATGTTTCTCTTTTTTGCTATTGAAACCTCCTTCATTCAGGATAATGTTTTCTCTCTCTAAGGACCCTGAGAAACACAAGATCTGCCTGTATGAGGTTGGAGAGTTCAAGGGCCGTAAGATGGAGATCATGGACGATGACGTCCCCAGTCTATTTTCTTACGGCTTCACCGACAGAGTGGGCAGCATCATTGTTAGCTGTGGAACGTGAGTGTAGCTTTTATCTCCACTATCACACTGAGAATCACTGATATGGACTCAGGGTTACAAAACCAATCCTGCACCACAATATCTCCTCTTCTCTCTCCAGTTTTGTTGGATACCAGTTCCCTGGTTACCGTGGCAGCCAGTACCTGCTTGAGAAGGGTGACTTCAGGCACTTCAACGAGTACGGCGGCCGCACTCCTCAGCTCCAGTCCGTGAGGCGTATCCGTGACATGCAGTGGCACCAACAGGGCTGCTACACTATGGCCAGCAAGTGAGGCTCAGGAAAGGAGAGAAAGAGAAAGAGTGGAAGTGAGGGAGAGGGGCGGAGGAAGAGGGAGAGGGGGAAAGATGTCTGAGGCTTTATCTCAGCACTTGGAAGGTCTATGATCTATGGCAGTGAGGGGCAGGGTGAGGATCTAGATCTGCCCCCTGATCGGAGACAACATGAAAGTGGAAGGACCAGCTGAACCACCCTCCATCCCTCTCTGTCTCTGTTTTCTCTTTCTCCCCTATGGGCTGAGTTTTGCTGTCAACCCTTTTCTCCTTTTTTTTTTGTCCCTCATTTCATTCCCCTCACAGTACTCTGAAATTTCAGAGTGGGACCATGACACCTCTGGTTGTTTTACACACTCAGTTCTCTGCCCAGGGTTCGAGGCACTAAGGGAAACTAAATCCCTAGAGCCCCCTTACCCCTTGACTCCTCTGCTGTACAGAATCCTGGCCCAAATTTTCAATAAAAAGACAAAAATCTTAATTAAAAGATGTTTTTGTTGTTACTTATCGCTGAAAAATCAGCTGGATGATATTATTTATTAACAAAATATTTAAATAAAATTGTGAGATTGATCATTTTTATTGATTGGATTGATAGAAACAAAATACAAAGTTCCCACTCAACTTTAAAGATTTCAAAAATGTTTGAACAGATATTTTCAATTTGCCTGATATTTGGAAATGTAACAAAGCTAAACTGACTTTGAAGCCTCCCAAAAAACTTTGAAGAAATCACAATTACAGAACATTGTGCAGAGACAATGTGCTTGATTACTAAAACATCCAAATACATTGTTATATATATTCTGAGTTATCAGTGCGTTTGAGTTTTGGACTTGTGCATGTATCTTTGTCAAACAACACTAAAATATTATAGCTGAATTAAAGCTATTCTGACTGTGAAATCTGCATTTACTATGATTTTACAACAGACCGTAAATAATTTAGAGCTTTCTGTACGGATCTCAGTTTTTACCAAATGTGACGAGTGAATGTGTGTGAATATTTATGTTGTAACTGAGAGAAACTTATTCTGTTGTGGATTTTTCTGGAAAAAAATAAAAGTACAGAACAAAGATCGAAATGGAGGGGTTTCTTTAACAACACTTACATTTGTGTGTATTATATCTGCCATGGACACTCATGGACACCGTTACTCATTAGAGAGGAAAGACTGTATCTGTGTTGATGACTGAGTTAGACGACAACAACATGTTGTAAGAGGTTTCAGCTTTAATATCTGTTTAATGTCTATAAGTAGGCACTTCAAATTATACATGGTTTGTTTACATAAAAGCATAATTGAACCAGATGAGCTTGATCAGGGTAGGTCAGAAAAAATGTCATTTGTTTTGTGGATGTCTTCTTGTGAATCAGGTTTAAACTGTGACACTGTAATCATAAAATGGTTTTAAAAGACTGTTTTAGAAAGACTGCGAACTCTTTAAAAGTAGAAAACCTGATTCAGGGGGTCCCTGAAGGCATCTTGGTCTGAACTGTCGTTGAACAAGACGGTATATGAATGTGCATGCAGGTGAACACACATGTCCAAGTACAGTGGCTGCCCAAGACGATGCACATAGTCCAGAGAAGAAGACTCAAGTTAGACTCACTTCTGTTTACTGGTGTTACACAACCAACTTGTGATTACAAAAGAAGACCAGTGAGAAAGTCAGAGATATTTTTCTGTATGGCAGCTACATGTATGTTATCAGGAAAAACTAAAAATATCAGTGTGTGTGTATTTGATTTTCTCCCGGTGAGCACACCAGGAGAAAAGGTTTACATCCGGGTATTCACCTGTAAACCCATACTTGTTCAGAGTAATTTGACCACACATCAAACTTTTGCACATGTCTTTAATTATTAAAATAAATTAACAATTTAGAAACAAGATTTTACACTCAAAGTACAACCACTTAAATATAAAAATACATCTAAAACACAGTCATAAATGTTGTCTATGGAGCTTTTGATATGTATTACAGCTGTTTGAATATTATATATGTATATGTTGCACTCCAAGTTTGTATATATTTATGTCAGTCAGAGGTTTAGTGCTACTCATCAATCCTTTTTTTGTGTTTTTCTTTGTTTTATATAAAAAATATAATTTAAGATACATGCTCTAAAGAGCAGATAAAGACTGTACACTACAGTGTAGTGTGGTCCCTAATCCAGCAGTAGTCGCACAATGTCTATTTGTATCTCTCAGATTTGAGCATCCAGACAGCTGCGGGTCAGCGAGACATCATCCGCACAAACTCTGAAAAGACGAGAAAAGCATTAGAAGAAGATTCACATTGTCTTCTCAGAGATCAAACAAAGACAAAGAGAATTTGTCTCACCCTCAAAGTCCACCAGACCGTCTCCGTTGAGGTCAACATCTCTGAGGATCTCGTTGATCTCTCTGTTGGTCACTTGTTCTCCCATCAGCTTCTTCAGCATCCAGACAGCTGCGGGTCAGCGAGACATCATCCGCACAAACTGGACACAGAGAAGACGGATGATACTTATCCTATCCAAGCTTAGTGGTTGCTTTAATTATACTTGATAAAGAAAATGACAAAACTTAATGAAAAATATTCAAAATGCATGTGCCATCTATCTCACTGGATGGCACAAAAGAAGTTTTCAAATTACCAGGTGCTGTAGAAACAAAGTTTGGTCTTATCAGTAGGTCTATATTACTTTGCAGCCTCTCAGTTCATGTTCACTTTCTTTCTTCTTTTGGGGCTTTTGACACGGCAGCTCGGTTAAACTAATCTGGCCATCACCGTTTGAGTCAAACTGGACACAGAGAAGACGGATGATACTTATGATGATACCCCTGCTTGTTTAATATTTATCCAAAAGCAAATTAAACTCTCATCAGTAGTCAGCAGGCATCTTTGCTATTTACATAATCCATCATTGGGACTTCAACTTGCCTTGTGTTTATAATCTACTGTGATTGGGGAGACCTAAAACTGGTCACATGAAAATCTAAAAAACAAAAAAAAACAAATCTGGATCTTTTTCAGCTTGTGTTTCCTTATTGCAACTTCTTGCAAATGTTTTTCTTTCTCATAAGAAGTTGATATCTGTGCCTATCACACAAAAGACACGTATCAGAGTCAATGGTCTCCTCTCAGTAACTATTGCAATGTATGAATCAACAGTGTCAATATCTGTAATGAAAACTAGTGAACAACATCTGACTTCCAGTAACAGTAAGTACATCCTGACCTCCTTGAATGCGTCTCGTAATTCTTTGACTCCGATCATGTCAGCTGTCTCCGCCAACATCTTGGGGCCCATCAGCTCCACAAAGTCCTCAAAGTCCACTTTACCTCCACCTGCAACAAGAATATTATTGAATTGCTCACGATCGTGTCCAGGAAGTTTGATGTTGTGTGTTGTAAGCTGTCCTGCTCTGCTCTCTCAGATGTTTCTACACTCACAGATCTGCTGGCTCAGCTCAATGAGCTCCATCTCAGTCGGCATGTAACCCATGGTCCTCATACATTCCCCGAGGTCTTTATGACTGATGTAGCCTTTTTTGTTCCTGTCAAACTCCACAAACGCCTCACGGAGCTCTGAGTGAAACAAACAAGAAAACCTTTGTCAGTGTTTCATTACCATCTAACATCTTAAAGGGATATTCTGGCGTAAAATTAATTTAGGGTCAAACACACGGTAACACCGAGTTAGACACCCCCTTGAGAGCTGAATGTTGTCGACCGCTTGCTTCTCTAGTTATACCAACTTTAGTAACGACCACAGGATAGCAATAAACAAGGAGCCATAAACAAACCTCAACCAAAACGCCACTCTATAGCCACAAGTAATGCTCAGAACAGCACCTAACTTCATCAACAGTACATATAGGGTCCTAGCTACAGCACTAGCCACAAAACATCTTTTTAACTTTGTCTAATTTCTTTAGCAAAGAGACTAAACACAACTCACCTGCTCTCTTCCAGCAGCCGCTTGTTCGTAGCGCGACCTCGGGCCAGTCAAATACGGACTACAGCGGGGTGATGCAGCTCAAGGAAGAACATTTATGATCATTTCTTTATCATTTCCTTGAAGTAATAATCACCATATTAATCATTTTGCACTGCAAACGTGGTAGTTCTTCTGCCTTAGCGTCTCGGTCTGATTGCATTTCCATGAAGAAATGATCATAAATGTTCTTCCTTGAGCTGCGTGACCCCGCTGCAGTCGTTAATGGACTGGTTGAGGTCTAACTACAAACAAGCGGCTGCTGGAAGAGAGTAGGTGAGTTGTGTTTAGTCTCTTAGTACTGTTGATGAAGTTAGGTGCTGTTCTGAGCATTATTTATGTTTATAGAGTGGCAATTTGGTTGATGTTTGTTTATGGCTCCTCAGACTGCTGTGTATTGCTATCGTGCGGTCATTACTGAAGTCGGTATAACTAGAGAAGCAAGCGGTCGACAATATTGAGCTCTCAAAGGGGTGTCTAACTCTGTGTTTTGGTGTGTTTGACCCTAAATTAATTTCACGCCGGATTATCCCTTTAATGAGCAAAATTTGATGAAGAGAAATCATCTTACCATCAATCTCTTCTGGTCTCAGCTCTCTGTCCTGTAAGAGGATGCAGAGAAACATATTAGCTGTAAACTCCTTACTGTATTAAACTTGTCACACATACACACACACACACACACACTACAAGCGGACATGAGTATGTTTGTTACCTACATAATTTCATAGATTAAACACTCAGATGAACACTAAACAGAGACAAAGTGATCACCACAAACATCAAGGGCCCAGAGGGAAATCCAGAAACGATGGATGGGAGTTTAGTTTATATGGATCATGAGAAAAAGACATGAAATGTTGTCAGCTTAGACTGTCCCGTTCTTGTCTTTCAAAACTCAGCCCATTAAAGTATTATAAGGATGTATACAGTAACATGGTTTTCAAATTCTTCCATAAGCTGAGTGTATTTAAGACAAAGCCAGTTCATCTCCTAATGAAAACAGTGATTATATGTATAATATGTATTAAGTTGTGTTGCATTTCATATAGGAGTCAACAGATTATTTGTCGAAGGTTGCTGGGCAACAAACATCTGGAGATTATGAGATCTGGGGGGCTTTAGTTGGCAAAGAGACCCTTCAAATACACGTATACTCAATATCCGTGTTCTGTCTTGCACGCATAATGTGGTGCTCAAGCTCGCACGCATACAGAAGAATGAAGTCAACGGAGAGGAGGTCCAGTGTTGAGGATGTTAGAGTAAGAGCTTTAGAGAGAGAACAACGCAGGACTAATCCTCCAGATCATCCCTTTATTTACTATTCTTCCGCCTCATTTATTCAAGACTACAAAATAAAAGCATGAATTCAAATCAAAGTACAATCTGAGATGACATGTTCTAAATTGAGAATAATGAGCATTAATTGATGGAGATGTCCACTGGCGCTTGTGTTAATGTCACATGGTTTAGTGTCGAATTGATTAACAGCCGCTGTTGTGATGGTGGGTCTTATCTAACAGGAGTCGCAAACAGAAGTAAGAAGACGCAAGAAAACAAGCAGAAAATGAGCTAGTGACTCTCCCTTTTGTGATGATAGATATAGTATATCTATGCACTTGAACTTAACAGAGTCTTAGAGCCGCGTTCACACTCTGCTACACTCACACTGTCCGACTGCTGTTGCAAATGGAGCATGAATTAACAATACTTTCAGGATTTTGTTGCCTTTTTCTATTAATTTGTTTGCTTGTACAGCGTCTAGATGTAAAGTCCAGAACTCATGTGACATTACAATAATAGTAGTCTGCTGAAGTTTGCGCTCTATCAGCTGGTTTGTGCAAGTTTCAGTCACCTCAAATCTGTTTCAGAAATGACTGAGTGAGGGTCACTTAGATTTTAGATATGAGCTACAACAACAACCGGAGCTTTCAGGGGCGCATATTTGTTCTGTTCTGCCCCAACCTCAGACAACCCTGTGACGCACAGCTGTGAGGAAGCTCCCCATACACCAGTCAATAATTTCCATGGAGCTGAATGATCGATCCCTCTAAGCATGTGCTGTGCCAGCACTTTTTGATCATCTCTTACAGACCAGTGATTGGATGACACAGCTGGTTATGCATGGAGCAGATGAATCAGCCATGATGAGGGGATGCTAATGGATGATACAGGGTCCACATATCTCATGTGCTCATGAGCTCAATTACATACGAGCGTCAGTGAAAAGCCTTCTTTAAGGAAAACGCAGGCTGGGCCAACAATGTGCAGCATCTTGCAATTCTTCACCAGTGCACCAAACGCTTCCTTGTACGGCTTCTCCTCCACGGCCTGATCTTCCTCTCCCTCCAAATGAAGACCCTGCTGGCCTGTTGGCCTCGCCTTACCCTGCAGGGGCCCATCCATGCCCCCCTTCAGAGGCAGACCAGACCATTACTCAAAAACAGTCTTTTCATTATGTTGTCTTTGAAGGAACACAGCTGAGCCTGAGCTTGACTGTAGATGAGACAAACGACGCTGCAAACTTTGATTACATAAGCTGCTCATTATTTCTTTGCAATTGACTCATTTATAACAAATATTGTCCAAAACTTTCCCAGATTTTCATCCTTTAACTCTCTCTACTATTGATGAAAAGGGAAACAGTACACTCAAATGAAAGTGGCTGTTTTTTTTTTTACAACAACAAGCTCAATAAATTTATCAATCACAAAAATATCTTTGTTTTCTTGCATTTGGAGAAGGAGAAATTATTTTAACCTTTCTTAACAGAGAAGGTTAGGACATAAAGTTGCCTGAAAGATTCAAAAACTATCTCTGTTTGTTAAAAAAATAAGATTAATACGGATAAAAGCTTCTGGTTTCCTTCACAACCAGATAAGACAAAGCGCTCTTACCTTCTTCATTTTGTTTTTCTTAGATGGTTTGGTGCAGTTGCCCATCAGCCTCCTGCCCTTCTTAACCAGAAATCTTACCCCGTCGGTCTCCGCCAGCTTTCCGAATTATTGTCCCTCCCTCTCTTTTTCTGTGTTTCTGATCTGTTTTAATCTCCTCACCCTCTTCTCTCCTCCCTCGGGAAATCTCAGAAGTCCAGCTCAAACTCAAACTCTGACTTCTCTGAGTGTCCCATGCTGGTAATCAGTCATCACATCTGATTCCACACAGCTAAAAAAAAAAAAAAAAACTGCTCTAATCCTTGCATGAGCAACCCTGACTCCACCCATCTATACTATCCATGGTCTACACAGCCACACAAAAACTCATGAACTCCCTGATGCAGCTCGCTCATTTGATTTGTAATCCTCTCGCCTCCTCTTTCCCTTTCAGTCCCCCCTACCCTCCCTCTCTTTATCCACATGCTGCGCGAGCATTCAAATGACTTCCTCTACAGTGCGAAGAGTTTTAGAGTGGGAATTAAGAAGATGTGAACAGACGGGTTAATCCCCGCTATTTCAGATTAAAGGGGGAAGATTGGGGGATGAGAAGATTTGTTAAAAGAAAAGATAAAGTGATTTGGTAATAAGATGGGAACATGAAACAGAGGGACTGAACTGGAGGGCTGTGGACTAAAAGTTCTGTTTTTACCGGAAAAAAAAAGAAATTCAGCTCAGGACTTTAATTTACAACTCATAAATGGGTCTCTTTAATGTTATTACCACTATTTATTCTGTCTTATCTGCTGGAAATAAAGATCCTGTAGGGGGTATTTGGTTCGTGTTAACTCTGTTGTCTCATGTGGACAATATTTTACTTTATACATCTTTGCTGATCTTGTTTTGTAGTAATTTCCGGTGAAACATTTCCTCCAGTTTTCCCCCCCTTTCCTTTACAGTCATTCATATGACCTCTCGTCAAAAAGTGATGTAACAGGAAAGATCAATCTTACCACTAACGGTCTCATTTGTTTTTGTTAGTCATTAAAACACATTACTACCAAGAAGTCAGAATTAATTTCATCAGAAAACACAACTGATGCATATAGAGGGTGTGATCCCCCTGTAGGGTCATGCTGCTGTTGGAGGTGTGTCCTGTTGGTTTCTCTCGTCACACCAATCAGAGTAATCATGCACACCTGGGCCCTGGGTGCTGGGGGTATTTAAGCTCCCACAGTTACTCACACTCCTTGATTTTCTCCTGGCCTCCTTACAGGTGTTTGGTTTAGTTTAGTTTAGTTTAGTTTAGTTTAGTTTAGTTTACTTTGACTTTGGTTTGGTTTGATTTGATTTGATTTGTCTTGGCTAGGTTTGGCTTTACTTTACATTGCTTTGTTTCGTTTTGCTTTACTTTACTTTACTTTGCTTTGTTTAGTTTGTTTTTGTCTTGGTTTGGTTTGGGTGGGCTTAGCTGTAGTTTGTTTGTGCTGTACAACACCCTCACACGCATGCACCTACTTTCCACTCATGCACACCTTACACACTACTGATTTTACTGATTTATGCATCTCATTTCTTCAATGTTCTATTTTTGTTTAATTTGATTTAATAAAGATTTGTTTTTAATCTTGTACATGTTGTGTGTCTTCCCTTTTTTTTTTCTCTGTGACAACCTGACCAAGGTCATGATAAGGAAGGACTGCTTTGATCACAGGGGCGCCAAAATCAACACAAACAGAAAGTTCCTTACAGGAGCTTTAATAACTGATTCAAATTCTCTATAGGAGCTTTATTTACCTGAGGATAGGGTAAACCTTAAAATAGACATGAGACAATGTATTAAAATGTGAAACTTTATATGTTTTGTTTTAATAACTTCTTACTTATGGTGGTCACATCAGAGTTCACATGCTACAGTAAATAAGAAACATTTTACTTAGACTAACAACCCATCCATTAAACATGCAGCTACTGAGGATACAATTCTCTGTTCCCTAATTCCTGAAAAGTTTAATCGTTGATTGCTGTGTGTGTTAAATCTTTTCAGAGAAGAATTAGCAACTCTTCAAAGTTCTAACTCAACTTAGAAACTAATGAAAAACAAATGAGCTTGAGCAAATGACAGCTTATGAAACCAGCTTCAGTTTCTGCAGGAAAAACGATTCAAAGACAGGGTTTGACTGAGCTATGCTCTCTCTGAGCTCGACCTTTGATTTCCTATCTTGAATGAGTTTGGCCCAACCGCCTAAACGGCTGAAAAACATAAAGTCAACATATTGATGTTATGAGTGCAGTTGTAAGTGGTCGGCTAAGCTCACACAAAGCATCTGTCATAAATCTCTACGAAAGCCAAAAGCAGATTTGAAAACGCTATTGCTGCAGAGCACCCATATGGAAGGCACAGCTTGTGTGTGTGTGTGTGTGTGTGTGTGTGTGTGTGTGTGTGTGTGTGTGTGTGTGTGTGTGTGTGAGAGAGAGAGAGAGAGAGAGAGAGAGAGAGAGAGAGAGAGAGAGAGAGAGAGAGAGAGAGAGAGAGAAATTTAACCAGATCCCTGTTTATGATGAAAATATGTGCATCAGTCATTTAAAACGCTGACTTTCTGTCTCTTCATGTAACATTTTCTGTAGATTTTCATTTGCAGTCTGAGACTGATGATAAACCTAAATTTGGAAGATACCATGTTGTACTTCAGAAAACTCAAAGCTCAAAAATTTCTGTCAATCTATCAAAAATGTCCAAATGATAATAATTTCTCGTAATAACACTGGGGAAGCAAATCTACTCTTAAATGATCTCACAGCAATGGAAAACACTCACATAAACACACATTGTTAATTTTATACCAACAACTAAAAGAATAATCTCGAATTTTTCGTTTAGTTAGTCCAGGCACTATAAAACAATGTACATGGCTTTATGAGAGAATAATATCTCTGTTGTTTTATGATGGGCTACCTACATTTCTGTTCTCTCACGTGGGAGACGTCTACACTTAATCACAAGTGTGACATCTCCGTCTGTTTCCATCAGCAGCATCTTGCAGTTACCAGCTATTACCACTAGAGGTCGCTTTGAACAGATCTAATAACTATTTTTAGCAGCCCTCTGAAAAAGATTAAAATGAACGACATCTTAACCCTGAAAAAGATCTTAAGTAGATAGAAACAGACTGTTTGGGCTGGAAAACTCTAACAAGGGGGATCTAAAAGGCATTCAGGCAGGAATGGAGACTGGAACAAGATCACAGACTGGACCAATTAGTCATTTCTACAAAAAATCAAAATGACCTTTCCTGCTTTTCTGTTTTCTGTTCGTAAAAACAGGCAACAAACAGGCAAGTCTATTACAAACTTTGGCTTTTACTTTCTTTTAAATTAATTTAACAAACCCCTTCCTAATCCCACAATGAATACCGCTGCAGATATAAGCTGCTTTAAAATAGAGTAACAACTCCACAAAAATCCAATTTTTTTTAAAACTCAGGAGAAAATCTACAACAAATAATGACCTACACCCATAAAATTAAACGTGTGTCTGTGTAAGAACCAGTGTTTACATGCAAGCTGCTTTGTTTTGCTACTTATGTTGCCTGAAACAGACCTACAGTCTTATGTAATGGAGGTACTACTGAATAATGAAGGAACTCGTGGTCTGAATGGAGAGTTTTAATATCTATACTGTTGGATGTTGGGTCGTACTTGTAGGGACTTGTGTAGCATAAAAGCCTGAGATGAAAGTTTTGATTGCTGCATCTGTGTGTGCTGATCATAACCTGTATTTGATCAGTGCTAAACATGCACTTACACGTGTCTTTAGCATACACTTGACCCTGAAACTCAGGAGATATTCATGATGCTGCTCCTTAACTACAGAGGGTCACACCTATGATTACGATCACAACACATTTCTATCGACAAGAACCCAGCCAGCGGCTCGTAGAAAGGTCATGATCCAACTTTACCAATAAATTTAAGTCTTTGTCGACTCTTGAATAATGAAAGTGACACCAGCAGCTACATTCATCAAGACAAAACCAATACCATTACTCTGGATTAATTACCAGACTGATTTTCCATTACAGATTGTTTCAATTAATCAGGAAAATGAGATGCCTTAGTCGTGTGTGTGTGTGTGTGTGTTTGTTTATGTGAGTTGGTAAGACAGCGAGCAGGGTAGTGTCCATGTAAAGTGACTCTAGTCTTTGTTCTGGACTCAGTGTCCACCCTGTAACAAACAGACGTATCATGAACTGATCTGGTGTCAGATGTGCACAGCGGGTGTCTGCCATTGACAATCATCAGTGTCCACTAACGAGGGCTGTCAATCAAAGAAATAAGAGATGAGACAGACGAGACAGAGCAGGGAGGAGGAGGATGCACGTACAGTAAGTGCATGTATGTAACATTAACAGCCAGAGGCACTATGGTGAGGGAGGTCACCAAAAATATCCAAATGATTGATAACATTTGGAGTGAGGCGCTGGGCTCTGGTGACACTCCTGCAGTCACCGCTGATCCATAAATATGTGAGAATCAGTAAATTCAGTGGGTCAAAGTTCATTCAAACTAATTCCTATACAGTAAAACTCCGGAAAATTTGATCAATAACCATGATTTATAGTTTACACTTTAAAGGAAGGGGAAGGAAAAGAAGATATCAGCGTGTTGAGTTGAGCATGTGTCACTGTCTTTAAGAGCAAAATAACTCCAAGACGGTTAACCCTCTTTAACCCTTTAATGCCCTTTGTACCATATTTGATACATACTTTTATGATACTTCTATTAAATCAACACATTACTATAAAAACTCCTTAATACAGTCCAATAATGATAAAAATGTCCTGTTGTGGTTTTTCAGTTTCCAAAAACATCTCATGTATCAAACAAGATAAATATATATTTGTTAGATTTTAAGGACATTTTGATTTTGGGGGGTTGTTAGTAGTAAGAGAAATAAACATTTCAGCCAAAAAAAATTGCATTTTGTGGCCATAATTTGTGTTTTCAGGCATTAGAGGTCTAGAAATAGTGCAAAATTAAAAACAGAATTTAAGCACGGAGCGTTTTGCAATAGTGGCTGGACAGTTCTCATTTAACAAAATGTACATCCTTGAGTTTAAGTGGTTTTATAATTGAGCGTTATAGAGATCATGTTAAATATAAGAAATAATATACAGTACATATCTGTATTCATTAACTGAAGTGTGTATTATAAGGGTGGGATTTGACCGTACTTATTTATTTATTAGTTTGAGTTCTGTTACCTTGCTTTTCATTGCTAACCTACAGTATGTCTTGTCCTTTTTTTTAATGAAATATCTCCTTAAGAAGATTGTTTTTTGTAAGCCTCTTCAGGTCTCATAAACAGGGGGACTAAGGGTCTTAAAGGTGCTCTCTCTGGCTGATTCACCAGTCATTAAAAAACGAGGTTCAGGACTCTAGGACACCCTGCAGTGAAATGTGAAAATATAACTCCTCTCTTCTCCCACGCGCTCAGCCATCCTTGTCTCGTTTTAGCTCACTGGCATCATCACTGACATCACATTTTCTCTCTTTTTGAAACTCAGGTGTTTTTTATCATGTGAGAAAAAAAAGGATCTCACAAGGAAGTTCATTGCAGGAGGTGAGAGAGGCTTCAAGTTCAGAGTAATCCTTTTTAGTTTGATTTTCATTTGCATAAACACGCATGCAGAACTGGCATTTTCTCACATCATGACCCCACATGTCTGACCTTCGGGTGACAGATGCTGTAATGTTTGTGGCCTACTGTGTCGTGTCGTGTGTCACTGCTTACCATGTGAGTGATAAGATACTGAGATAGAGTCAGATCTGTGGCTGACGATGGCCGTATCCGTTACGGATTACACTCTCATAATGTCTCCCAAAGGAAAGGAGTTTAAATCCTCTCAAACACACACGCTATCTGGATCCTTGGCTCCAGCCTTTACTCGTCACAGCTCAGACTTGTCCTTGACAAAAAGGCAAAATTGGGAAGGGTCGTGTTGCAGCTGCGTGATCTGTGGCCCTTTGTGGGGTCAAAGAGGTCAGGGGTCAAATGAAGGACAGCTACTTACAAAATCTGGTGAACAGCCAGGCTTCAAATTTGACTCAGAGGCTTAGAGTTTCAATCAGGACATTGGCGGGACATTCAATCAGATGGAAAACTTGATGCAGACACACACAAATGAACTCATAGATCGCACACAAACACACACACACAGTGAGGACGGTACGGGACAGCACTTACCTGTCCAAACACTGAGTCCACTATGGGCAGCAGGTCGACAGGCTCCCCCTCCTCTTTCTCCTTCTCTCTCCTCGGTGGTCCCTCCATCATTTCCCCCAGCGTCCTCTCCAGCTCCTCGCTCTCCTCCATTCCCTCCACCTCAGACGCCTCCGCCTCCTCTGGTCTCTGAAGGTGAGGAGGCAGAGGTTGGGTGATCTGAACGTCTGCAGCACCCCCTCCTTGGTCACCGGCTCGCTTCTTCTGCTTCTCCACCTTCTTCTTAATGGCGGCCTGCACCTGGAGATATGGACACGAAACTTTAGTCATGGTTTAAACATATTGTAGTAGATTCTAGTATTTCCACTAAGTTAAAGGATTCAGGCTGCCAAATGAGAAGAATATCATTTTTATCTCCGCTATCCTTAGCATGCACAATAACCGCACCGAACATGACTGCCTTTGTCGCACTGATCAACTTCATGCAAACATAACATACTTTTTCACCCAGCAGACACACACATATAACCTGTCAGACAGAGCCCAGGGTGTAATGGATGCTTTTACACCGTTTTGGTGGCATGCCGTACACTTCAGGTAGAAAATAGATTCTTTTTCACCTCTAATCTGACATTAAATACAAAAAAAAAAAAGAATTGTTAGTTGTAATTATTTTCTACCATGAAAGAAATACTGCAAACACACATACTGCAGTTTTCTCACCAGCAACTTTTCCTCTGTTATTTCTATTAAAAACATAATTCTGGTCGAGGATCATCTTTAAACATCCAGTTTCACAGTGAAGTCTGAATCAGTGCACTCAAGAGGATACCAGTTGTATTTAAGCACAGAGAAAAGCATAAAAAAATGTGCTTATAAAGAGAGAAAATGGGGAAATTACACACAAACATGAACACTGAACACACACAGAGAGACTTTATATACATACCAACAGTTATGGACAGCTATATTTACACACCTGTTTGGTGCTCCTTTCCTGTGGCGCGCTCATCGCTGCAGCACTGCTTCCTGCAGCGGACGTCTCCCGAATGATCATGAACATCTCAGAGGCACAGGCTCGCTCGCTCCCTCACTCTCTCTCTCTCTCTTTCCTGTGCTCTCCCTCCCCCGCCCTCACCTTCTGTTTGCCTCTTCCCTGTTCTCCTCTCCTTCTATGTGAATCTTTTTCTTGTGTTTAAATGTTAAAAAAAACTCTACACAATCAGCAAAAAAGGTAATAATTTGTTGATTTGCTTTGAAATCTGTTGAAAAATCCTCCCTGTGAGTAAATCAGATGTCTTCTCTGTGTCCCAGGTACTTTGTTTTTTTTTGTAAAAAGGGAGGTTTCCTGCAAAAATAATGTGAAAAATATTCCTCCTCTTCTTCTCCTGCGTTCTGTTCGCGTGTTTCCTCTTGTTTTGCTCAGTGTTGCACTGTGGCGCTCTCCATATGTGTCTCTGTGTTTGTGTGCAGGTGAGGAGGTTTTATGATCAGCTGTTGTCTTGGCGCTGGGATTGAGTTCCTGCACCTCTGCCCCCACTTGCTCTCTCCTGGTTCTTTAGGCGACACTCTATACCCCCTGAACTTAACCTCTCTCACATTATCTACCTGTGACACATCGACCTCTCCTCTTCCTCTCTTTATCTTCTTCTTCTCCTTTCACAACAGTTGAACACTCCTCACTTTAGATGTATTTTTCTTTTATTTATCCAGGTTCTTTCACTCATCTTTTCACCTTGTGTCTTCATTTCTTCCACCTCAAAACCTCACCTCTAGCTTATCTTCATCATTTACCTCTGAAAGTAATCAAATCCCTTCATCTTAAATCCCTTGTCCTCTCCTCCTGTCATATCTGGAGGGTTTTTGTCAAACAAATTGGATTTTTTTTTCAGAGGTGGAGAGGTGAAAGCATCACAGAAAGAGAGAGAGGGATACATCAAACTCAGCGCTGTGGTGTGATGATGAAAGACAGTTTTTATCTACAAAACATCTCTTGTTTTCCTGCATGCATAATCTCATCTGGCAAGCACGGCTGAGCACACACAGGTGAACATTTCACCGCTGACCTCTATTTTTAGATATGAACACTCACACGAGCGTGTAAACATAAAGCTGTGCTTTTCAACTCTCTAAAGCAGCTTTGTAGATTTTATATATGCAACCAAAATTTGAAGCTTTAACAAATAACTGGAATACAAGAAGCTTTTTGTATAAGTAAAACAACCTCTCATCATTTTTTAAATACCTAAATCATTGTCATATCTGCCTATCCTGCTCTTTCTTTCATCATTTTATACCTTTCTGCCTCAGCATTAGTCTGACCCTTTAAGACATGTGGGAGTTTAATGTATGGTTAGCCTCTCTTGAGTTCCTAATGAGGTTTCCATTAATCGCGTCTTTGAGCTTCTCGGCCTTTCATCAGCCCCTCTCTGTGTCCCTCTCCTCATCGATTATTGAGGAGGAGAGGCAAATTCTGGAGCGGAGGCAGAAAAGAGATCCATTACACAAAAACTGAGTGACTGACCAGGGGTTAAAAATAGAGGGATGTATTCTGGGAGAGGATCAGTCATAAGAGAAATGGAGGAGGGAGAAGGAGATTGAAGAAAACAGGAAAGATTCATGAAGAAAGTATAAAAATATTTCTGTCTTTCACCTTGACCCCTCGCTGAAGCCGATGAGAGGCGAGGAGGGGAGTGACAAAGGGAGCGGCAGAGCAGTAATGTAGAAGTGAGGGCTTGTGTTACTGCATGTTGATCTACCAGAAATAAGATCTAATTACAGATCAGGAAGAAAGAAGGGCTGGACTTGACATAACCTTGACAGTGAATGGTAAATGTACAGGCAGATGACTCACAAAGACAACAGATCTGCGTTATGTGGGTCAGAGAACTCTCATTATTTATTAGTTTGAAACAGTAGTCACAGATATGCCTGATCGCTCTATTGGGACAAGGGATAACCAAGAAGAACTAATTAACCTTGTTTAACTGGACGCTGAGAAAGGACACTTTGTGAGAACAGTAAACAAAAAAATCAAATTATTTTATAGACAGATTTGACTATTTTCCCTCTCTTTTTTATTCTAGTAATACACAACCCCCTGGATCGTCAAACCTTCAGTCAGATTTCATGCAGATTCACACACATGATTAGTCCTCCCTGGTGTCTCTTGTTCGAGGCGCTGTTTTGTGTTGCATTACATTTCAAAGTTTATCGATTACCACAACAAACACTACAAAGGCCCATGAGATGAATTTCATTTGCATCTTCAGTTGAGAAATCTCTTAAATATTCCTCTTCTCACGTGTTTAAAACGTCACCCTGATTTCTTACGATGAAGAAATGATGATGAAATGTTGCTGTTAGTCTGTAACACTGTGCACAGGACTTGTGTATTTGTCCATCAGAGGGGATATCACTGCTCTGCTGCTCGGCTTCTTCCAGATTTCTTAAATGGAGTATTTTTTTAGGGGATGTTTTGAAAGATTGTGGGTTTAGGAATAGAGGGTGTCACATCCTTTAAAGAAATTGAATTCCTTGAGGTGAATTTTGGATTTGAGAAACTTTGGGATTTATAGAGAACTCAAATGCAAACCAGATTATTTATGAAAAAAATCAACTGGGGCATAATTATTTGGGAAGATGATGAGCATCAAAAATTAGTTCTGGCGCCCTCTGGTGGAAAAAAATATACAAGAAACAACACCTGAAGAAACTTCAATCACATAAAAAAAGGGCATCAGGGATGTAGAGGGCAGATAGATGTGAGGTGACTTGTTTTTTAATAATGGCAAAAACATAACAAGAAAAATCTGATATGTGGTCCTTGATATTATTTCAAAACAGAAAAATTAAAAAGTTCACTGATCCGATTTTAGAAAACCTCTGCAGAAAGTGTTGCTTACAAGATAACTCGGCTGAAACATTCAGCATTGCCCAAAACATGCTGTGCACCCTGAAACTGCAAAGCATATTTTTCACATTTGAAAGCATAATAACCTGTTACATCTTTTTTTTTTATCACGAGCGGTCGTCTTTTAAGTTTGCTCCCTGTTTTCCCTGCTTTTGTTGTCACATTGCAGCCTTGTATTTGCCAACCGTGGATCACTCTGTGCATGAGTCAGTCTAAACTACATGAAAGTTTGTTTATCTTTAAGATCTTAGTCCTTTCACAGAACTGTCTCAAAATCATGTCTGTAAGCTTATCTCAAAAACCAAAATCTAAGGATAAAAAAAATACCCAAAACAATAATGCACTTAACTTTGCAGCACACATTACTCAATGAAGAAAATTGCTTGATTCACTTGGGACTACTTTCAGGTGTGCAGTGATACATATCAGGTGCTCTGGATTGGTTCTATCACTGTAGCAGTCAAAATAAAGTGTCAGTGTATCATAATGGCTGTGTGAATCACTCCTAGTGAGCTCAATCACCTGAGGTTTCAGACACTACATGACGCACCATTGTGACGTCACTGCTCAGACTGCCACTGGAGATACAATGCATGACGGGATGCCCACCACCGGTGAGTGACCATCGGATGGTCACTACATTTTGCAATGCTCTATGGGAAATTTTGAGTCGCCTATATGGGGTATTGGAATTGATCACTCAGGTTTCGGACACCCCTCAAAATGGCGCTAACCCCCATATAGTCGCCTATGTAGGGGTTAGGGATCCATTTCCGACACAGCCATAGAAACTTTTAGAAGCAGTGAAGGTGTTGCTGGTGTAATTTTTCACAGGAATAACATACATCACTTACATCATTGGTTACACACAATTCTTGTTTAAAAAAAAGTCTTTTTCAAGAAAACCAAAAAAAGATAAAAGGTGACTTTTATATGTTTTTGTTCTTTAGTAGTTGTAGCTCCTTATTTACACTGCATTACCTGTGTTCATCATCAACCCATCAGTGATCAAATCTCTGTATGATGAGGCTGATGTGGGAATGCTTGTTAGATGAGTTTTTTTGAGATCATAAGTTGTCTGATCTTTTACAGTTTAAAGGTGAACCTTCTGATGCAGAGCGTCAGTCCCCTGATGAGCAGACATCTATCCCCAGTGTGGCGTTACTATGGTGAGTGCCTCCCGGTTATATCCATTAAGAATCGGCCAGGGGTTGAAGTATGGGTAGACGGGCTCTTCGAATTTTGCATCATAAAAGGTGAAGAGGTGACTCATGTCTCCTGCATCATAAAACCCCACCTCACCACGACTGTAGTCCAGAAAGACACCCACCCTCCTGGGGGGTTTATTGGGATAAATCAAGCTGTCCTCTGAGTCGGTGCACGCTTCATACTCACAGGTGCCATCACAGTTGTCCCTCAGCACCACGGTCCAGAAACCGTCATCGGGGCAGAGGCTGATGTCTTCCTTCCTGTTCACAGAGGCTTTGGCTACACCCAGACCCCACGCTGTCTTGGTGCCGACCTCCACCTCCCAGTAGTGTCTACCTGAGGAGAAAGCCTCAGAGCCCAGGACGATGTTGTAACGGGTGAAGCGCTCCGGGTTGTTAGGCAGGTTCGGCTGGATTTTTCCCACCTGTACGCTGGTGCCGCATGCAGATACCCACAGGCAGGGGTAAGCTGTGTTGGGGTCGAAGGTCACTGGTGTGATAGCTGAAATAAATTTTTAAAAAGTGTTAAAATGGATTGAGGCAACATCTGAAATTAGCTTAGAGAGAATGATCCAAAACAGACTCCTTAGCAGCAACCTTCAGCAAGATACTGAATACATTCTGCACAACAAATGTAAGAGGAGCAGAGAAAATAAATAATACTGCATCAAGTCAGAAAAATGAAGTGTAAATCTATGTAGTGGTTACAACCAGTGCTGAAATTTACTGTTACACAATCAACAGTAGGCAATGATGAGGTGGCAAATGTCAGGAAGTGGTCTTGATAAACTGGATTTGAGCAACAGATAAATGTGATGAAATGCAATCACACTAAAAAAAGGTCCGATTTTTATTGGAGGTGGGTTCATTATGTGTGTGTTAATATGTGTGTGTTGTTTGTATATGTATTCATACCTGGCCGAAAAATGTTGCTCATTCTCCTCCAGGTCCTGTACTGGAGCGGTCCAAGGAACTCTCCAGTCTGCACACTAACATCCACCTCAGCAGGAAGCTCAAACAAGCTCTCCACCCTGCCAGAAAGAAGAAGAAGAGAGATCAGAGGAAGAAACGGCTTTTCAAAGTTTATCCATATCATCTGATCAAGTCTTTTACAGGTGTATACTTTATGAGATGTAATTCAATTACAAGATATAAAAAACAAAATATGTTACTGTAGATTTTTTGGATAACTCATTTTATTTCATTAAAAGAGGCTCTGTAATTCTTTCAAATAATGCTGTGTACAAAAGTATAACCGTGTAAATTTCTCTTTTGTTTTTCTCACACCCTGTCCCTGTACTAGATCTACATTCTCAGACAGCTGTTTATAAGGAAACAGGGAGAAAAAAAAAAAAAAGAAACCCTTATGTTTTGGTTTAATGTCGTATCTACTAGAGCACTGTTAATTTTCTCAAGATTATTCTGTCTTCATCTGTCAGAACAAACTGTGTGACACGGATGACTCAATAAAAGTCATGCCCTAAATGACGGTTCATTACAAAACAACACATCATTTCCTGTAACTCCTGGGGTTAAAACAAAGTCAGCAGTTGAGGACAGATAGAGGGGAAATTACATGGAAATTAACCAACAGCTTGGTGAGAAATCAAAGCGGTTGACTGGTCATGATTAAGATAGTACTTACCCTCCAATGAAATCTTTGATTCCCTGAAACAGAGCAGATAAGACAAGACAAAATGATTGAAAAATACCACTGTCTGCAAGATGAAGATAATATCTCTGATACAGCAGAACAATATTCTTTGGTATTTTCAGCTTCCGCTATTCTGAAATTCACATGAATTTATCAAGACTGTAAAAAAAACTATCAGTATCAGCTATTTCTTCTCCTCCTCTTCTCTGACCTTTAGCTGCTCTGGGTTTTCTTCTTCCCTCAGTTTGAGGCTGAGCCGGTCAGCCGTACTTTCCAGCTGGCTGATTTGCTCTGTGGTTCTTGTGAGTGCCTCCTCCAGCTGGTTGAGCTTCTCCTCTTTTTGTTTTTTCAGCTTCTCCTTGATGCGCTCCTCCTCCTCCTGAAGGAACTCTCTGAGGAGGCTAAACTCCGCAGTGACCATCTCCTCCAGGTCTCCTGCTCGCCCCTGAAACATGAGGAGGACTCTTAACGGCAAGAACATACAAGACTTTCTGAATAACAAACTTAATCTCCATGGCAAAACACGTGGGGAGAATGCCATTGCAGCGACTGCTTTCCCTCAACAAAAAAGGTCGCTGGGGTTTAGGTTCGCTTGCATCTGTGACTCGTTCAATTATCAGTCCAGTTTGAGTGTTAAAAAGTAGTTTATTGTTCATAAAAAAGGAAAGAAAACACGCTGATCCATGTCCAAAACCTTTGCCTTCAAATAAAAAAGTAATATGCTGAAATGAGGTTCAAACAGGATGAGTGAAACGGTGAAAAACAGTCAACAGAATATTATCAGAGCTTACCAAAACCCATCGTCTGACTACACCGGTGAGATTTCAATAACCCACCAAAAATCCCAAAACCACACCCCTCAGTGACAATCCCCGGAAGTGACGTACCTATAGAAATCATATCCTAAACAAATATATTTAGGCTCTTACAGGCATGTTTAGTGAGTTAAAAGATGTGACACAAAATATTCTACATTTTTGTTTGTTTTCTGTATTTAAATTTGTTTATTGTTTTCTGTTTTTAACATGACATTTGTTTTCCACATATGAAAAAGCATAATACAAAATGTCGCCTGTCTGTCAAAATTACTAGTTCTGTCACAATTACTATTATTTTACCATTTACGCTTGAATTTCTTTAATACGTCATGTACATGGTTTCTCCACGTAAGTGCTTCCAGTGTAGAAATGTCACATATTGGCCTTTTTATCGTGCCACAGGAGAAGAGCTTTATTGTCATTTTGATGCTATATTTTCATCTTCATGAAACATACGTTACCCACAATGCAACTGAATGATTACAGTTGATCAAGAGCTTCTGCTGCGTACAGTTGACATAAGACATGGAGTGAGTAAAGCTTCTCAAATTTGGCCAAAACCAAGACTGACTTAAGTGACAGCACTAAAAATGTTCAATACATAACCTAAAAATATTTAAATCAAACTATAGAGAAGTATTACAAGATTCATATAAGTAAACTAACATAAAATATGGTTTCATACTAGATATACTTGATTACACAGAAGTAATATTAATTCTGAATATTATAATGCTGATTATTATTATTATCATATGCAAATTATTATAATAAGTAACCTATGTAGTGTTGAGCAGATATCTTGTCTATAATGTGTAGGTATTTATACAGATCTTTGTAATTTATACAAATGGATTTTTTTAAAGGAAGGGGCAGGACTAAATAAGCTCTTTACTTCATTCTGTTGCTTCTCAAACTGTGTATTTTGACATACGTTAGTGTAACTTTATCTTTGACATGTACAGTTGTTTATTGTTTGGTGTACATATGTATTATTTTGTTTGGTGTTTTTGTTTCTAGTTGTTTGCTGTTGTTCTTAAAGTTTGAGATAAATAAAGAAAGAAAGAAAGAAAGAAAGAAAGAAAGAAAGAAAGAAAGAAAGAAAGCATTAGATGTTATTGATTTTCTAAGTAGACTTAAGTGAACTCTCTGATGATTCACAATTTTTAACAAAACATTCAGACCTCTTAACAATACGTGAAGAGTAAAATCCTCTCAGTTTCCTTTTAGCCTGTAGCTGAGTTTTTGATATTGCAGAATGTTTTTAAAGGTATGGACTCTGAACGCCAATAAAACTTGCTGGGATGAAAGACAAGTGGGCATACGAGGTGACAGGGCCAGGACACACACACACACAAAGACATACACACACACAGAAAGAGAAATAAGCAGAAAAAGACGGATTGACAAACTTCCTCTTCACCCCGCTGTCCACATCCTGTCACGCTGGCAGAGAAAGAGAAGTGAAAACCCGTGCATGTGCACTTAAACTGGGTCAGACAGTGAGACAGACAGGAAAACATAAATACTGAGAAAAAACTGACAGACAGACAGGACAGATGGTGTGAAGTAGCTGGAGGGGAGACACACGCAGTAATCGGCTGCAGAAACACTTCAACCTAGTAACACGTTACGCTCTTATCTCTCTTTAACACACACTTAAAGAGAGAGAGAGGGAGAGAGACAGAGGGCCAGAGAGAGATCTGTTTAAGGTGAATGCTGCTGTTGCGGTGAAAGTCTATGCTCTGTCTGCTCCTTTTTTTCCATGAGGGTGTGTATAAAGTAACCATTTCTGAATACGCTGTTCATGTGTGTGTGTGTTTGAAAGATGAGAGCGTGAGAAAGTCAAACATGACAGGGCTTGAATAAAAGTCTATTAAACCTTCATTTTCAGGAAGGGCCTCTGCAGCTGAGACACATGAAGATCTTCACATGCAAACAATGCTGAGTAACAACTTGTGTCACCATCAGTCATAATTAACATGAGTCATCCATCACTCACACCGTCCGTCAGACAGGTAAAGGTGGAGGAATGTAGGAGAGTGTTGCTTGGCTACCAGATCATCTGGTTCTACATAAAAACACAAAGGTATTTTCTTTCTCTCGCTCGGGTTGTTTCAGGATATTTTACGTCTTTGTCAAACGCTCCAAAAACACACGTTTAAATATCTGTACCTTAATGAGGAGGATCTTTTCATTGGTCCGTGTCTGAAAGCGCGTGGCCTCTTCAGTCTGGATCTGAACCCTCTCCAGAGCAACAGACAGCTTATCCTGCAGCAGAAATAACCAATCACATGGAAAACATGGTTAAAAGATGAGACTTAGTCCAAACTAGATTAAACAAAAAGGACGGGTTAATTTTATTTGTGCCTCAGTCTGAACAACATCTTTGATGGGAGTCATATGATGTCCACCCTTCTCAAATGAAACCTTTGACCCGCAAACTCAAACAAAACAGGAATTCAGCGCCAGTAAAACATGTTGAAGACCACTGAGAGAAGCTTTCAGAGTGAGTCTTCAAACAAACAAAATGAGGATGGTCAGGTTTTAAAGGGGGGGGAGCATGTGAGCTCACAGTGGGCTGCTGAATTCTTCTACAACAAGAACCCGAAGGCTACAGCTGCTGCTGGGGCAAACAAGGCCTCTGCCTTTAAAAATGACTTCCATGTCAAAATATGTGCTCTTGGCGAGCCTTTTCTATTTATATGGGAGCAAAGTTTAACAAAGAAGGTTGATTTAAAGCAAGTCAAGTACAAGGAGAGAAATGAAGGGTAATGATACACCTCAAACTGAACTTTTAGTTTGTAGTTTCAGATATTGTATTGAGAGCAAATATAGTACACAACACACATAGTTTTAGAATTTGAAGGCAAGTATTATATCCCAGAGAGTAGTCTGTACACGCCTGATCTGAAGATTGGAGATTCATATAGCAGGAGATCAAGATTTACAGAGACAGACCTGTCTGGACACATCCACTGACACAGTACCTTGTAGTTCTCAAAGGCTTCGTTGATGGGTATGACATTGTGAGTCTTGTGGTCCCGGGACATCCCACATACTAGACAGATTGGCAGCTGGTCGTCCTCACAGTACAGCTTCAGTTTCTCCTCATGCTCCTCGCACATATCCAGACCCTGGCGAGGCCAGTGCCCGATGGACGAGGCCACACTGCTCATACTTGAGCCGCGCTCCCGCACCTCCTGCTCCTCCAGGGCGCTCAAATGATCCCACTCGATTGTCACCACGGAGGGGTCCATGACCCCGGCTCTGCGCACACTGTCCACGACGTTGCAAAGTAAAGAGTTGGGGCGAAGTTTACGCGCGCACGTCTTTCTACACTTCGGACAACTCGACAACTCGTCCGCCTTGGCTTCCCAACACTGGATGATGCACACTTGACAGAAGTGGTGTCCACACTCGAGGATCACCGGGTCACGGAACAGCTCCAAACACACCGGACAAGTAAGCTCTGACTGCAGTTCTTCAAGCGCGCTGGCCTCCGCCATTCTTCGTAGCGCGCATAGTCCGTAAAGAGAAATGACTGGTGGTTACAGAGTGAAGACTAGACTGCTTTTTCCGCTCACAGTAAGAGAGAGAGGGAGTGGTTTGACGCTGTCAGCAGAGCAAAAGTTTTCGCGGAAGAGACGGAGGGCGTGCTGCGACAGGCTCATACAACTGATGGAGCTGCTCAGTCACCCGGTTAGTAGCCTGGAGGGGAAACAGCTTTTCTAAAGCAAACATCATCCAAAAAACAATCAAAAGTTGCTCGAAGGCAAATTTATGTAACACTATAAATGAGGTGTGGCCCTTTGTTATCAATTACGGGAGAGTGGGGTAAGTTGAGCCACCCCCTGTTGATTGGAAATGGTAAAAGAAATTGATCATGTGACCAAATATTTAGGAGATGGGCATCAATTCATGGAGTCTGTGAAGGTTAGAAGCACATGGATGAAGGGGTTAGAGATTTATTTACAACAAGAAAAAAACATTTTTCACTCTTCAAAGTGAATCTAGTCTGTCATAAGTTTTATCATAATTGTGTTCAGACCAAAAAGATAATTTATATTTGTTTTATACATCAGTTGTGGTATCTATGAGCTACAACATGAGGTTAAAAGTCCACCATTTTAGCATAGAGGACTAAAAAAGTCATAACAGTAGTTCTGGGGTAAGTTGAGCCAGTGACTCAACTGAGAAAGTAAAGCAGTCTGATGAGAGGATCAGAGTTTCAGTTCAGATTGTTGAAATGTGTTACTTTTTCTTTTTCAAAGGCATTCTCATGTTAAAATGACTTCACAAAACAGTTTTTTAGCAGTTATATGCAATAATAAAAAACAATTATTGTACCTGTTGAATAGTGTATAATAGATAAAAATACACATGAAAAAAAGAAGTCTGTCAATTGAATGTTAAGCAAACTATGTATAAACAGCCGTATTCGACTTATTTTGATTCATCAGCACAGGTAAATTCGGGCCTAGTGGTGAACTCAGGATTTTTGGGACAGGGGCAAAAGGAATATTAATAAGAGACCTGTTGAAGATCTGCCTCTAGCAGCAACTTGAGGACTGTTTGTATGCTCCTTTTATTTTGTCTCTCCTCAGCACTCTGTAATCATCAGGTTGTTGCACAACACACCTGAATCTAGCCTGTCCAAAGGAGGGCTGGGGATAATTTTAGGAAAGAAACATTGACAGTGGGGAGCCTGGAGGATACAAACCACTTGTGTCATACCCACAGGCAAGGGTTCATTTTAAAGTCTGTGTTACTCTCTCTCACTGTCCAGTCCCCTGTAGACTATACCTGTCACTTAGTTTTAACCCATAACACCCTGCGACCAGAGACAAGTTACTTTTGAACCTGCCTACCATGCAGTGGCTCCAAAACTTTTTCTGCAGGTACACAAAAATATCTTTAAGGCCCCCTTCCTCTCATCCTACACACTGATGAATAATAACTGATAAAGGGTGGACTACAAGGTGGCTCTTGTAAACAAATCCCTACGTTTTGGGAGTATTTGGAAACATACAGAATTGCAGCTTCAGTATGGACGTTTATTCCTGTCTCTTATCCCCACAGGAAAGACCATTAACCCCAATTTATTCCCAGTGCTGTGCCATTGACATAAATCAAATGTGTAGTTTGATATAAAAGTGCTTTAAGAGGTCTTTTATAAATACAGTCTGTCTAGTGTTTGTTTGAGAAGGGTTCAGCACTGGAGGTGTTGACTCTCTGCATAGAAAAAAAAAAGTGAGAATCAGCCCCTTTTCCACCCCTGATATTTTTGTACTAACAGTAAGTCACATAAAAACACTCCTCTGTGTGGAAACTGAAACTTTGTGATTCACGGTCATCCAAAGGTTACAGCTCATCACTAGTGACGATAAATCGCTATTACTCACAGTTCAGCCAGTTTCACTGACCCCACCGTGATTAGTTTCTGTCTCATGGAGTGTTGTGACTTTAAGTGTCCACTAGGTGGCCATAGTAAACTGCCTCTAACCAGGATACATTTCAAGATGTGTCATACCTTTATTATTTACTGCACACTGAAAATGAAAATGTGGTCTGAGATTAGTATCAAAAGGTGATATTGAAAAGTTTCCAATAACCAATCACAACGGGGATTGATTGGATATTGTGTCAAAAAGGAACATGAACCTCATTTACTCCCAGACAAAAGCAGCCCAACCGAGAATGAAAACATCAGTGTCTTTAACTGTAGTTTTTTAAAATCAGTCCTGATGGCACATATACACAGAAAAATACCTGAATGTACTGGTTTACTTTGATTGGTAGAGCAGGCCCCCCATACACTGAGGCTAGGGTCAAAGGTTTGGACTCTTTATCTTGACCCAATGATGCGCGTTGACCCCACTTTCTTCTCACCACATTTCTTCTTTTTCTTCATTTGTCTGTAAAGAAAAAAACTTGGAACCAGTAGTGTTAACATAAAAAGGATAAAGTTCTGTAAACTTCTATACCAGGATTCAGGTTTACCTCCTGGTTTATTTCCCACAAATAAACATCTTCCAGCAATTTGACAAATACTAAATAAAATGAGGGCAGAAGCGTGGGACTGAAACTGGGGATTTTCTTTCTTACTTGACATTTAGCTCAAGAAATGAAGGACATGAAACATTTCTGTAAAATAACAGTAAGGAAATGGAAGTATTGAACAAAGTGCTATACCTTCTGGGAAATGTTGATGGTTCCCACAATGAGGGAAGTTTTAATGACGGAAGCAAAAGAAAACCAAACAGAAACTACAAATGTACAATTAAAAAAAAATGCTGACCTTCCCTAAGGAGTCGAAACATGTGCATCAAACAGATAATAACTCTTGACAGAAAATCTGGTGTTTTAATATCAAATATTGGTTTAGTTTGGGGCAGTATTGTATAAATGTAAGCTTTCTTTTTTTACAAGCAAAGCTAGTGTAGCATCAACTTGTAGTCCATAAAGTCCTCCCATCATGCTTCACCTGTAAGTCCGAGGGCAACTGAACTCATATGGTTTAACGTAGCAAAAGAGGTTGGACAGCAACTTCTAAAACAGCCAAGAACCACTGACGTCAATGTTTATTGTTGTTTCTTTAATCGCCTTTTTTGTTGCCATGTTTTTATGTTGAGTGTGTCAGTAGTCACAGCTGTTTGCAACATATAGGAGTTTCTAGCAGGAAAATAAGAATAACTATAATACAGATCATTTTTTGTCAAGAAAAATTTGGGCACTTAAAGTTTGGGGTTCTTCTTACCTTGCCGCAATTACCAGACAGAAAAACTCCAAATAAGATGTTCCCAACCTTAGCTGACTCAGCTTAAAAGGGTATGAAGTGGCATTTCCAGGAAGGGAGCCTGACCAGCAGTCAACAGGGGAAGTTCGAAGGCAAAAAGGGGTAGGGGGTGGGTCCAAACTGTCACTCACAAGGTTTCTGTCGACAATGTATAAAGACACAAAACGAGGCTCATTAACACTTCGACCCAGACGCTGAATAGACACTATAGGTCCTATAGAACTTGAGAGCTGTGTGTGAGAGGAAGTAAGTCCACGGAGTCTTTGCATCCATCACTGACCTGCTACTCTTTTGTGCAGACTGTCTTAAAGGAAGATGCTGCAGTCTTTCACAGGGTCTCTCCTGCTCCTCCTGCTCTGGTTTGGTGCTCCGGTCTGTTGCGAGATCAGCAGCGACTTTTCCCAGTGCCTTGATTTCTTCTATGGAAGATCTCCACCACAGGGCATCACTGGGGCAGGATACCAGCCAATATGCCAGCGCTACAAAAACCAGTACCACTTTGCCAGCCTGTACCATCGACAGAGTAGAGCACCGTTGTACTCTGCGTATGTACTCGGCCCTGCTGAAGGCAAACGGCCCAGTTCCACCTGGTTGTATGAACCACAGGTAAGAGGCGAACACTGTATGGTATTCAAAATTCACTAAAATTTGTTTTTCACAATGTTATTTGAGTTTATATGATTACTAGCTGCTACTTGTTACATCTGAGTCTTTTACACTTGTTACATCTTTAGTTTTTTAACCAAATCCTATTAAAACTTTTAGGCCTTTTATTGATTTTATTGTTTTTTCCTACTCAAATTTGTTATTCCATTTTATCATTACTATTACCATCATTATTATTATCGTCTTTTTTATATTTACTGTCCTGTTCCCTGCTTTCTACTCCCCTTTTTTATTAAATTTCTTTTTGTTACCTATTTAATCTTTTTATTTTGGTCCTCATGGTCTCATTTTATGTTGTAGGGCTCTTGTATTGTCTGGGTTCCTTATGACAAATGAAACTGGCCTTCAATTCGGAGGCCTTGTTTTTATCTGAGCTTTTGTTTTTTATTTGTTTTTATTTCCATGCGCAGATGTTCTGTGCTTTACGACTGTTTGTCAAAGCACTTTGTGAACTTCTGTTTTTAAAAGTACGACAAAAAAAAGTTATTATTATTATTATATTATTAAGTCTAATGCAGTCCAACCAAACAGTCCAACAGTAGATCTTGTCTTCATAGAGCAATCAATTCTTTCTGTGGCGATTATGCAAGATGTGTATTGAATCAATTCCTCTAAATTTCAGCAAAAAAACAGAAAATGCAACCCCCATATTTCACAAAAATCTGCTTTCCATACTGGGATTTTTTTTCCACATTTGAAGGCTACCAGACACAAAGTGATGATTTTTGTTGGACGTCAGTATGTGTTTAAAAAGCATTAAAAACAATTCATTTTTTGGTTGTAAAAACAAATATGCATTTTTATTTTGTTTCTGTTGAGGTAAAGAAGAAAGGAAAGTTGCATAGAGATTTTTTTTTTGTCTTCAGTGAACCACATGAGTTTGTCAATCAGTCACACACGTACTTCATATAGCACCTTTAAAAACAGAAGTTTACAAAGTACTTTGAGGAACAAAGCAGAGTCAATATTTATGACAGCATAGGAGGAATCAACCATAAGTCATAGAGTAGGAATAAAGATTCCCAGAAGAGAAGAAAAAATCAATAAGGGACAATGAAAATAAAAATAAAAGGTAAAAAGGTAAATGATAGAGTAAAAATGGATTTAAAGATGAGGGGCAGTGAGGTGCAAATCAACAAATAAAGTCATCCTTCACAGTATCACAACACTAAAATGAAATAAACTATTTAAAGCTTTAAAGTGGTTGACATGTTCCACTTTCTCTCTCTCTGCCATGAAGTTGGCCTTCTCTCGTGCCAACCCAGAGATGAAAAACTTCAGCATTCCTGTGGACCAGAATGTGATTGAGAGCCAGGCAGTGCTTCAGGACTACAAGAACTCCAACTTCACCAAAGGCCATCTCAATCCCAGCATGCACCAGAAGACAAGAGAAAACCGGGAGGCCACATTCACACTGACAAACATCGTCCCTCAGCGAGCGGGCTCAAACTCTGGTCCCTGGAGCCGCCTGGAGTCCGAGGTGTTGAAGAAATTTAAGACCTTCTGCAACGGGTCGATGTATGTGATCACAGGAGGTCTGCCATATGAGGCTGAGCCCCGCTGGATCAACAACAGGGTGTCTGTTCCTGAGTACATGTGGTCTGCTTACTGCTGCCCATCCTACAGTGCCAGCCTCCCTACGAGTATGAGAGCGTTTTTTCCAACATACGCCGCAGTGGGAAGAAACGACAAAAACAGCAGTGAGGAGATAGTGCCAGTAAACATCAAGGCGAGAGCATCCACCAGGGGCTATGATGTGAGGAGGATGTCTTTAGAGACCCTGGAGGACATCCTGAAACAAAGACTGGCTATGCCTATCAGTCTGTTTCAGGGGCAGTGTCAGGGGTAAAGGTCAAAAGCTCTACTTCCTGTTGACATCATCCGCTCTGGGTGTGTACTATCAAACTTACCTCACTGACAGCCACCTCTCTAAGTGCTGAATGGGGGTTTAATCACAGAGTAGTTATCTCTTTAAGCTTTAAAATTAATTTCCAGATGATTTTGGTATTGAATGAATCATTTCTGATCTTCTTAATTTTATCTTGTGACATGTCCAACATCAGCTAATCATGAAACAAGACTGTAAAATGAATGGAGAGTCATCGAATGACAAAGATCACTTGTGAGGGATTTCTGAAGTTATGAAACAGACTGAGTATGACCTGCTGTGATGCATCTCTATGATGTACAAAAGCAAGCAAGCCCATTGATGACAAGACTGGTAATTCCTATACTGTGATTTTTAATGCCTATGACTGCTGTGGCCTGTGTTACTGTATCCACCTACAAATACTGAGGGGAGGTCACTGAGTAATTAATGTAAATCAACTAACAGAAGAAATTGATTAACACTTGAATCTAAATAAAGACTTTCTGAGCATCGAACTTGGCTCTCAAACCTTGCATGTTAACTAAACCTATCCTGTATAATGTGGCTAAATTACAGTGAGCTTACTTATCACATTAAATCTCTGAGACAGGTATTCAGAGGGCTCTTCTTCACCTTTAATTTTTTTATTGGATGTGCTAGCAGGGCAACCAGAGGGCACTTTACATTTCACATTTGGAGAGAGGTTAGGGTTCTAGCTCTTTAATGCCTGAAACAACAAATTATGGCCAGAAAATTCACTTTTTTTTTTTGGAGCTGAAATGTTTATTTCACTTACTACTAAAAACCAAAATAATCAAAATGTCCTTAAGATTTAAAAAATATATTGATTTATCTTGTTTGATACATTAGATGTGTTTGGAAACTGATAATCCACAAGAGGACATTTTTATCATTTATCTGCCTGTATTATGGTGTTTTTTTTAGTAATTTGTTGATCATATTGATTTGATAGAAGAATATAAAAGTATGTATCAAATATGATACAAAAAGCAATAAAGGACTAGTTTAGAGTTCAAATCCAGTGTAGGAAAAGTGCATGGCTGAGGCAGAAAAAGTGGAGGGAAGAAGCAAAGACAGAGCCCTCTCTCTGGAGACGGGGTAGAGGCAGGGAGAGTGAAACCCACTAAAAGACAGTTTCACTTCATAATGTATAGACTGTCATTACTAACAGTAATTCCAATGTTTCCTTTAAAAAGAGATGTTATTATCAGCCAAGTACAGTGAGGTTAGACTTGCTTTTCGTAAAATATATTTAAACAATATCACACTAGTGATATTGTTCATTCATTGAAAAAAAGTTCAGAGACTAAACTTTCCTGATTTTTACACAAAGCTATGTCTCACACGTTTTACTCAAAGCAGTAGTGCCCCAGGTTTAGTGACGTTAAAGGACCACTACTGTTTAAGTACCATCAATTTTGCTGTAAAATCTGGGATTTTAATCAGGCAATTTTTCATCTTTTGGGAGAGAAAAAATCTAATAAAATTTGAGCAGTCATGGGTGAGCAGAAAATCCCTTAAATGTATGAAAGAGCAGGCACTGTTCTGATGAAAATGGCCTGATTTTTTGTTTGTTTGTTTTTGTGGCGGGTACAGTGTGTAAATTGACTAAATTGAGCACTTGTAGGTCTTATGAAACATTCCTATTTCGATCCATATCCGCTTGTGCAAATACTGTTTTTGGGCACTTACTTTTGACCAAGGGTTTCTCTTACACCTGTGAAGAAAAAGAATCCTGTCATGACCTTTTTCTCAAAGTAAAGATAATAGACATCCACACACTGATAAAACTCAACTCAAGCATCAAAGAGGAGATTTCTACCCTCTAAAAAGTGAGATCTTCTTTCCTTACTGATGTTAGGCAGACGTCCTTAGAGTGACAGACCAGTTTAATGTCCTCAGCTCACACTTATTCTGCCAAAGCCAGCAGTCAGCAAACACACCACACACTATTCAACGGCTGAATCACCACACAAATCAAACTTGAGTTTTTCCTCAGGAAGGTTAAAATCATTCTTTCTTATCAATACAATTCTGCAATGTTGCTTTGCTTTATGTAGGGAAATCCTGTGATTACACGAGAAAATAAGAGCCTTCACAAGGATTCAAACATTTATTTCTTCGTGGTACGACCAAAACACAGACATACAAAATACCAAGCTGTCAATTATATTGTCAGCAAAAAAATGAGGGTATTGGCTTCAACATGAGTAAATTACTGATAAAAAGAGAGGAGTTGTATTGTCATTGATTATCATAAATAAGAAAAATGTTTTTTTTCTTTTTTTTTTTTACAAACAAATGAGAACGCTTCAGATAAAAATGGCTGAACATCTGAGATTTGTATTTCAATAGAGAAACGCACAATAAGACTGGTTTCCTGTAAAACTGGACTGTTGCCTTCTTCATTTACTTCATCAAGTATCGAGCGAAAAAAGGCAAATTCATGTTGCTGAGGATAAAATGTGCATCAACCAATCACATTCATCACCTACATTCTACCACATTCAGAGAAACACTTGTGTTGAGTTTCCAGTTCAGTCAAAGGTGTGAAGGCGAGGCTTTAAAAACAGCGGTGGTTTTTCAGCTGCTCCACATCGCTAAAGCCACTCCCACAGTTAGAGCACTGGAGTGTCACCTTTTCACTGTTGTGTATAAGCTGGTGTCTCTTTAAATACTCCACACGACTGAAGCGCTTCCCGCACGCTTCACAGCCGTATGGACGTTCACCCGTGTGGATCCTCTGATGCCGTTCTAAGTTGCCAAGTCGGCTGAAGCTGCGTCCGCACTGGGGACACCTGTGCGGTCGCTCGCCTGTGTGCACGAGATGATGGCGTTCTAGCGAGCGTGAGTGTGTGAAGCGCTTCCCACAGATCTCGCAGCAGTGTGGACGCTCGGCGGCACAGGCGCACTCATGGTTCTTTAGCGCCCAAGCGTGGCTGAAAGTGTTTCCACAGTGAGCGCAGGGGAAAAGACCCTCCTCTCCTCCACTGCTCCCATGCTGAGAGCCTCCTAACGGACAGGGGTGTTCCTCCAGCTCTGCCTCAGATGTAAAGCCTCCTCCACACTGTGGACAAAAGTGAAGCAGATCCCCGCCACCCTCCTCATCTCCGACACTCTCTCCGACACTCCCTGGAGCAGAAAGGTGAGGTGGGTGCTCTGACTCTCCCAGCTCCACCACATCTTCTTCTTTCATGACCCCCGACGAGTCCCCCTCTCTTGACTTCTTCGGCCAGCCTAACCTCAGATCGACCCCAGCCCTCACACCATCCTTTAACCTGCTCTGCCCCACCTGCTCCTCTCTCTGCAGGGTGGGGGGCTGAGGCTCCAGTTCTCCTTCCTGTTCCATCCCATCCAGACCGATGTATTTTGGAGCCAGGCTGATCTCTCTGCTTGACGTTGATTCAGGGCTAACGGGCTCGGAAGTCTTCATGGCGGCCTGTTCGCGGCCTCTCTCAGCCCTCAGTGCAGACTCAAGGCCCCTCAGCTCGTCCATGGTCATGCCCCCTTCTGCTTGCTCGGTTGAACCCATCTCCCAATCTTCCTCATCTCTGTCACTTGGATGAAGGGTTGGTGGGTGGTCTGACAGGTCACCTGAACACAGACAGAGGGAGTTAGGAGGAGTTAGAAGATAGCGATCTAACATGAGCTCTTTCACCTAAACATTTCTCTAACTCTCCTTCCTCCACCACTGTGTCCTGAGCTTATTACCTTCACTTTGGGATCTGGAGGCACTGAGGAGGCTCTTGTTGGGTGGGTCTATCTTCAAAGCTTCTTTAATCAGCCGCAGAGATGCTGGTTGGTAGCCCTCAGATTGACTGAACTGTATTGACAAGTACAAAAGAAATACAAATTCAACATCTTAAACCAGGTAAAATACAACTTATTAGAGCATAAATAAATACTTTTCTTAAAAAAATTGGCTTTGAAATTGACTTGCAACACTAATGACAGTTAAATTTGAAGCCCTTAGATGTATAAAAGACGTTCCACCCTTCTTTTTTTACTTAAAGGGATATTCCGGCGTAAAATTAAGGGTCAAACACACCATAACACCGTGTAAGATACACACCTCCTTGAGAGATGAATGTTGCCGACCGCTTGCTTCTCTGGTTATACCAACTTTAGTGATGACCGCAGGATAGCAATACACAGCGGTCTGAGGAGCCATAAACAAACCTCAACCAAAACGCCACTCTATAACCACAAATAATGCTCAGAACAGCACCTAACTTCATCAATAGTACATATAGGGTCCCAGCCATAGCATTAGCCACCAAATATCTTTTAAGCTTTGCCTGATTTCTTTAGCAAAGAGACTAAACACAACTCGCCTACTCTCTTCCAGCAGCCGCTTGTTTGTAGTGAGACCTAGGGCCAGTCCATTATGGACTACAGCGGAGTTTCGCAGCTCAAGGAAGAACATTTATGGAAATGCAATCAGACCGAAACGCAAAAGCAGAAGAACTACTGCGTCTGCAGTGCAAAATGATTAATATGATGATTATTACTTCAAGAAAAAGATAAGAAATGATTAATTTTATGCCGGGATATTCCTTTAAAGTGAGGCCAGTTATGTCTGAACTGAAAAATAATCTGTTTTGAAAAGAGCTGAGAGTAGAAGTCATCTGAAAATTAGGGTCAAATCTCAACTGGGTCTGAGCAGCTACAAATACTGTTTACGCCCCCTGCTGGCTTGTAAGAAGAATGCAGGTTAAGACACTGTGACGGCTTGACTTTGAAACCAAAAGACTACAGCCACTTGTTACATACAGCCTACAGCAAGTTATATACATAAGTAGTATATATGGCCTTGCTACTACACATGTTGCTTAACCAGTTACTCGTCTTTATAACTGTTATATAAACCATCTGAGACACTTGGCAACTACTTGACAGAGAGGAGACCAAAACTCCACGTTTCATGTATTCAAATACAACAGAGGAGCGCAAAGTTTAGCCATGCTCTGGGCCTCAGTCGTGTTATGGAATACCAAACAGCTCTTCACGTCCACCAGTAGTATTTCTGCCTAAAGCATGCAGCACTTGAGATGTGGAGAGTCCTACTCCACAGGCTCCTCTGGAAGCTAAATATCAAATCAATACGTTTGCCTTTATCCACTTCATCTCTGCAGTGTTTTGATGGATGAAAAACAAAAGCAAAACTCTCTACGTCTCTCAGTCTAATCTCTCTTTTTTTTCTTCGCTCATTTTCACTCTAGATGAGGCTGCTGAGCAGTGCAGAGATGCTGTGCCACTTTCTCCTCCTACTCCTCCTCCTCTGAGAAAGCCTGTCTCCCTCACCTCCTCTTTGATGTTGGCCGTCTCCTCCCCCTCACCGCTGAGGCTGCCCTCCCCTTCCTCGTCCTCCACCATCCCTCCTTCATCCTCTTCATCCCCAGGGAACTGGATAAGGTACATCTCCCTGGCCTCCTTCCCCCCTCTTCCTCCTGCTACCATCCCCACAGCTCCTCCACCTCCTCCTCCGCCTCCACCACCACCACCCGCGCAGCTACCTCCTCCTTCCTCCCACACACCTCCAGGCCAGCCTTTGCCATAGGCTGCTGCTGGGCCCTTCTTTGACTTGCCTCCTGTGGAGAAGAGAAGAAGACGAAGGAAGGGTGGGAGGAAGGTGAGAGAGGGAGGAGAAAATGCGTGTGTGTGGGTCAGGGGGGGGCATGGAGAGACAGGAAAGAGAAGGAGTGAAATATGAGGGGGAGGAAAATAAGTGGGAGGAGATGATTGGGAGACCAAGAGAAAGAGATGAGAGAGCAAAGAGGGTGGAGGGAGAGAGAGATGAGGAGGAGTTGATTGGAGCATCAGAGAGGATAAGGGGGAGAGAGGAGGTTTGGGGGGGGGGGGTGAGCATGATGAATGAGTGAGGAGAGAGGGGGCGTAGAAGGACAAGAGAGCGAGAGAGCGGGAAGGAGAGGAAAACACGTGAAAGGGAGGAAAAAAACGGAGGGAGCGGAAGAGGAGCGGGATGAGTGGATATTGCAGGGCCACAGAGGAAGAGGAGGAGTGGGAGCACAAGTTGGAGTGATAGAGTGGAGAGTGGAGAGAGAGAGAGAGAGAGAGAGAGAGAGAGAGAGAGAGAGAGAGAAGTGGAGAGAAAGAGTGTAATTACGGTGGTGGTGGTGGTGGAGAGGAGCAGCAGAGGAGTGGAGGAGGAGGAGGAGGGAGGGGAGGAGGGGGAGTGTGTGTGTGTGCAACGTGATGAAGGAGAGCACAGAGCAGGAGGAGGTGGGGGCAGGGAGAGAGGAAGGAGGCGAGGGCGTGAAGAAGAGAGGAGCGGGAAGGGGAGGAGGAAGAGTTGGAGTGACACAGACAGACAGGCAGAGAGAAGTGAAGGAGAGGAGGTGGGGGGAGGGAGAGGAGCAAGACAGGAAGGGAGGGAGGGAGAGAGTGTGCAGAGGCACAGAGGAGTGGGAGGGACAGAATGCAGTGGAGAGAGAGAGAGAGAGAGGAGAGGGGGAGGTGAAGGACAGAGGGAGCGAACATGAAGAGGAGGCGGAGGAGGAAGGGAGGAGGGAGGAAGGGGAGGAGGGAGGGAGAGATCAGCTCTTGCCAGATGGTTTCCAACAAAACAAGTGCGTCTTCACATAAGCCCTGACTACACAGCAAAATCGTATTTCTTTCTTCAAAAAACACCTCACACTCATATCCTTCAAATGTTGTGCTGAAGTGCAATTTCATTTAAGACATCTTTAATCTGAAAACAAACTAAATATGATGTCTGACGCTCTGTCTGTGAGGGGGGGGGTTAGCCATCCTAAAAGGAGAGATACTCACGGGCCACTTCAACTTTCCGCTTGTGCCGCCCCCCAGCTCCTTCCTCCCCCGCTGACAGCCCGGCGTTGCGGCGGTTGGACGCCCAGCCCAGCCCATACTTGCGCTCCGTCCTCAGCTTGTTCTCGGTGAGCCTCAGCCGCAATTTGAGAGCCTCGTTCTCCCTCCTGTTGAGAGACAGCTCCACCAGGTAGTCGTTCACGGTCTCCTGAAAGAGTTTGGTGATCTCGCACACCGAGGCTCGGATCAGACTGTCCATGACGGCCGTCAGATGCGTCTCAAACGTGGACACCGATTCCTCCATCATCGTGGCGACAGGTTCAAATAGGACCTGATGAGGGTTTCACATGAGCATTTCGTGATCAGAAGTTGTATTCAACAACCTGAATACTGATCTGTTGAATCAAGAGAGGTCGCTATTATTATCTACATTATCCACAACAGCATGTTAGCTGCAAAAATATAATTATTAGCTGAAATAAACCCATTAAGATATCTCAAATGTGACAGGGATATGTAAACCGATTGAGTTACATTATGGTTATTCCAATCTGTTACATTCTTCTATACAACACCGCCGTTTCCCTCAAAAGTAAAACGTTTGCTTTCTGGTTTACCAAAAAATTCACAGTCTGCATCAGATAAGCTTGTTTTCTTAACTTACAACTCAATAATGTTTTAGTGGAGCAGCAGCAGCAGCAGCAGTAACCACTCCGTGACGACAGAAAGTGACCGAGCTAGCAGCCTGGCTAATTTAGCTTTGTATACGCACCGTTTTAACGAATGAAATCAAGTGGAGGATCTCAGGCGTGAAACTGCAACAGACTTTGAGATTTCACGGATCGTGAACGGGTTGCTTCGATGTTCATACCCACGGAGACACGGCGACAAAGGAAAGCACCATCCAACTTCTGCCCTCTCTCTCCCACACTACCACTGTTTTCCTCTTCGCCTCCTTCAGCACTGCTTAATGATGCCTGAGAACACTGCGCATGCCCAGTACCGTAATTACCCTACACCCATGAGCAGCCGCACCCTGGATTTAGGTACATCATGTTATGTATTGCTTTTACATCTAAATTTAACATCAACATTTTTATATATGTATCAGATACGTACTTTTTGGAAATGGTAAAATATACTTATCAAATACTTGGTTGGTTGGTTTGCTTGTGCCATGAAAATTGTCCTCCCAGATAGAAGGGGCGCTGTGGTAAATGGTAACTCTTAACCCGCCAGAGGAAAAAAGCACTTTTGGTTTGTGACATATTAAAACTTCTTCTCTGCCGGCATTGAGAAGGACAAGGTATCTCTTTCCTTTGGGTCTCTGCTCATGTAGGGGTCAGAGGGAATGAAAAAGTTAACTTGTTGGCAAAAACTGTGATGAAATCACAGAAGATAGACATTGTAGTAACACTTTCCCAAACAGAAGTTAAATATATTATAAAGAGCCAAACTTTAAAAATATGGAAAGAATACTGGAATATATCTGACACAGGGCAGACTTGATAAATAGCATACCATAGGGCAGTACACTTAAAACATCATGACTTATAAACAAGTTCATTTTTACAAACCTGTTTGCAAAAGCAACACAGCTAAACACTCTCATCTCCTAGTCCCAGAAGCTTTGAGTTGAACTGAATCCTGAACCGTTCATCTGTGTATCAGTTCAGGAGGTCAGAGTCGCAGGCTCCTCCCGCCAAATGATTGATTCGGTGAACAAATGTTTTGAACGAATATTTTTAGTGAACTGATTCCAGTGATTCAGTTCATCTAAAGGAACTGCTGTGCCCATCACTGTTAGGGTCAGCATCTTAAAAATTATTCAAGGCATTGATGAGGGAGATTGGCTTCCTGTACAGAGTTAAACTTTGGACCTTAGCGAGTAGATACATGTATGGGCATATATCTTTTTTTCCTGCTTAATTTCCCGTGCAACACTCCAATCCAATAGGTGGCGGTAATGCTTCTTAAGATGGTTGCCAACCTCCATTAAATGAAGAAAAAGCAGAAGTAGCACTTTAGGTTCTTCCGCCTGAAGTGATTGAGGACCGATCGTCTAACCGGCAGTTGAGAAGTGAGGAAAACCAACTCAGGATCAACCATGCCGATGTTTGTGGTGAACACCAATGTGGCCAGAGCCGATGTGCCCGCGGCTCTGTTGACGGAGGCCTCCGCGGAGCTGACTAAGGCTATTGGAAAACCCGAACAGGTAGGCCTTAGGTACACTCACATGCTTAAGATGTTTATTGTTATAAAAATATATCTTCTTGTATGGATTTAATTTACATTACATGAGCTAAAAGTCTAGCCTACGTTCAACATGACCAAAAGTAGGCCTCTTTTTGGTTTCTGAAGGACCATGGTCAGATTGTTGTGCAAATATTTCAACATGGTACTGATTAACTAACTAGCAGGATAGATGCTGTAACTGCGGAAATTTGAGTCTCTTAATTTAATTTGTATTCATGGCATCAAAAAGTCTCCTCAACTTGTCTATGTTAATGTTTTGCACAGTACATTGCAGTGCACATCAACCCTGACCAGATGATGATCTTTGGTGGGAAGGGGGACCCCTGCGCGCTTTGCTCCATCCACAGCATTGGCAGAATCGGTGATGCTCAGAACAAGAAGTACTCGAAACTGGTGTGTGAACTTCTCAACAAACACCTGGGCATCTCTGCAGACAGGTAGCTAAAACACACACATCCCATCACGTAGCCAGCATGTCTTCTGTACTTAATCTAATTAGGAAGAGTTAGGTGCTGACCGGAAGACACAGACTTAGATACCCTTAATCTCACATGCAGTACTTTGCTTTCTCTCAAAGCTCTGGCTCATAAAGTTATTTCTCTTTCTCTTTTTCAGAATTTATATTAATTTTACTGACATGCCTGCTGGAAATGTGGGCTGGAACAACACAACCTTTGGTTGAGAGGGAACGAGGTGCAGCTCTGATGAAAGACCATTCCAAAAAGTACGTTATGAATTTAGTCAAGATACCTAGATGTGCGATAGCAAGTAACTGCATGATTACTGTAAAAGCACTTAGCAGCACATGCTTTGCACTAGTTATTTTTTAAGTCATTAGTTGATGAAAATAAATGAAATAAACCATAATGTGAAACAGTCTGTTTTTTTATTGTTTTACCCAGAAAACACACACCATACTTAAATGCAGAGTTTTACATATTGTAAGCATGTAAAAAAGTGGTTGAATGGAATAAGAACATATTTGATTGTATCATTTACACCTAGACAAATCTGTAAATTATCAAAATGAATTTATAAATTATTTATTACAACTAACTGAAAACTTACCACCCTGAAAGCTTATCAACCTTGTCCCCACATGTCAGTTGTGAAGCATCAACATGCCTGACATTCATAAACATAGCAGGAAATGTACTTTTTGTACTCAAAGCTTAAGCTTGCAGCTGATTTCATGAAAATTTAGGAGATCCTAGTGAGCTTTTTAGCTGAAAAAAATAGCTATTAACTACTCGTGCACATTGTAACAACCCGTGCACATGTTTATATTATCAGTATTATCACGCATCGCATTGGGAGTAGGATTATTAACAATATTAAGACACTTGGGAAGTTGCTGGAAAGCAGAAAGCACCATGAAGCAGCTCCTGTAAGAGCAGAAAGATTGCACTGGTAGCCCGATTGTTACCTTCTCTGGTCAAATATTTGTTTGCTATGACTTCTAGCTGATTTTTTACCAGGAGGCTGGCAGGAAAAAGTCAGGCTGTGTGTGCTCACAGATGCATTTCACTCCCGCAAAAAACTTGAGGTCATATCCAGGCATTTTGTTTATGAGTAAAAGCAGATGTAAAAAAAAAAGTAAGGCTGCAGGGTGAGGATGCATACCATGGAAGCCAACAATTGGAAGAAGAAGACAACCATTCACCTGGTGGAGCATTGAATTGAGTTCAAGCAACATAGCCCGCAGATGAAATGAACAGATCATGAATGGTGTCCAGTTGGAATTAACACCAATGCTAATGCCATATGGAAAAATCCCAAATGAGAGCTCTAGCTATCTGTATGTTATGAGAGGTAAACCTTGTATAGCTAGTGGAAGGGGCATAATTGGGATGTAAAAGTAGATGTTCAGTGGATGTAAATTAGTCACCAGGGTGAAGCACTGCATTGCTGTGTGCATCAGCATGCTAAACTTGTACTTTCTCATACACTTGTTCAGAGCATGAATCTCCAATATACATGTCAATCTGGGCCATACACCTGAAATTGAAACTACTCTTGAACTCACTACAAGGTGATTTCCTCTTGCAAACTGTGAGCAATCACAGCCTGAGCAAACAACTGTAATATCCTGTCTAAACAGGCAGCGTGGATGCAAACTTGAGTCTATCATATACAGTGACTGCCCTTATTACCCAATCAGACACTCCCCATGCTCAAACAATACTTCAAAACTTTCCAATATTCATCAAACAAAAAGCTATTAAAACCACAGTTATGCACTGTATATCATATTTTACCAAATTGAACTAATAAAAATTCATTGTTTTCTATCGGAATACTGTGACCCCCTGGCATTATATTGTTCTTCATTCTGTATTTTGCATAATTACTTGAATATTTAATTATTTTGTAATTCCTGACGTATCCATAAAGTCTGGACAAAAATTAGCACAAGACCCTGACAACCATTAAAATAATCATGACTACCAGTATTAGGCAAAGTAGGGGACAGCTGTGGTGTGGTGGCTGATTTTGACCTCCTCAACACTTATGGACCTTGAGTCTATCAATAAATAATCTCTCTCTCTCTCTCTCAATTCAATTTCAATGAGTTTTATTGGCATGACTGTTACAACAATATTGCCAAAGCGTTTTAAACACGATAATAATAATAATAATAATAATGTCAGTATCATCGTGTTTGCAGAAAAAAACTCCGAAGCAGCTGCTCTCTCTCTCTCTCTCTCTCTCTCTCGATGCACTGTCGAGCATACATACACAATACTGCGGGTGGCGGCGCTGTGAAGATGATGGCTGTCAGTCGCCATGAAGTCTAGCAGGAGAAGAAGAAAAACGAACGCGACAGGGGCGTTGACGTAGGACGTTGTTCTTCCCATGGTTCTTACCCGCGTAAACCGCTCAGTAAAAATGGCGGACACTCGGTCCATGGTAGACATTTGCTAACAACACCAAGAGCATCGATTAAATGTTCAACTTCACGTTTTAAAAGAAGAAAAACCATAGCGTAACGGGAGTGTCGTTACTATCGTTATTCCTTCGAAAGGTGTCTGGAGAAGTTGTCCTCGTATCGAACGGAAAATAGCATTTTTTCCACTCAGTCGGTAAGTGTCCCTCAATGCCTCATGTTTGTTTCATGAAGCTTTTGACCCGCGTTTTCAGCACAAAACCTCAAATAAATGCAGGAATCTGAATCAGGAAGAGACCAATTTTGTTCCGTGTCGCCTTAAGCGAAAATAACGACATCTCTAAACTGTTTAGTCATTCTCAAAGGCGAGCTTTCCGACGTGTTCCGGGGTTTCGTTTCAAAGCGTGACTCTGCTAACGAAGTGAAAACAGCGTTTAAAACACAGAAAGAGTCCTCACGTACGAACCCTGTCCCCCCCCCAAAAAAATGTCCAAATATACCCCTGTAATATGCCCTTTAAGCAAAACTAGAGGCGAAATTGTTTATTTTTATTGTCGTGACTAAGATAACCCTGCTGTTAGGCTGAAGTGGACTCTTGTACAGAACTACATTTGATGTTGTTATGTACAAGTTTAAAGTATAAATACAGCATAATATCATATCTTCACACAATTGAAAGAATAGTAGAGCATTCTTGAAACTTTAAATAATTCACTTAAGTACGTATTCTTTTTTTCTGATACTCTCATACAGTTACTTGATGCAAGAGTATGTACAACTGTGTGATCTAATGCAAGGGAATATGACAGATCTACCGTGAATTTTACTGCCATATTGTGACTGATAAATTGCCTTTATTGTATTCCTGCCAGTCTCTTAAAGCTGCAATCATAGACCTACTCCATCAGTATTACTGCATACCATGTGGTCATTAGACAGCAGAGTGCATTAATCAGAAGGTGAGCCTTGCTCGTCCTGAAGTGATTCCTCTTCATCTAAAAAAGAAATGCTTTGCCCTTAGATATGCTATGTAGCCATCCCTAACATGGTCTTTCATTTATGTCTCCATAGGTGTGAAGTGGGAGGCTAAAATCACTCAAGACTTTTTTGACAAAGACATCTGTGAGCCACTGCCAGCCACCTTCAAAGATGTCAGACCATATGATGAAAGAATTTGGGGCCCTGCTGAATACAACCCTGGAGGCTGTCCTGAAAAGGGCTACCTTTGAAATAATGAAGATCTTTGAGTACAGCTTACATGACCACCAGTTGGAGCTAGGCCGAAAAGGAGAAGAGATCGTCCAACTGAAAGTGAAGCTACAAAGAGCAGAGCTCAAGCTGAGAGATGCTGTCGGTACAGAAGATGGAGGAGCAGAGATGAATAATCAGATGATTGAAGCTCAAAGAGAGCCTGAAGAAGATACCACAGATCAAAAGCCTTTGGTTCCTGAGATTGACTTTGAAGGTATGGTATCTTGAGTGAGGTCAAGGATTTTGAAGATATTTTTTGATCAAAACCTGTTAATTTCCTGCCTTTCAAGTATCCCAGACCAAGTATTCACCTTTTAGAAATGCTATGATGTAGTAATTACAACTACTAGAATCCCTGTTGTGTGTTTTACAAGATTATCTTGATCATATTTGTGATGTTTTGTCTGGTCTCATGCAGTACCTGATGACTGGTGTGCTCCAGTGGGCGAGGATCCTACAAATCCATATGATGGCGTGTGTCCCAGTGTGAGATTACGCAGGCTGTCTATTCCTCTTAAGCATGTCCCAATAATCAAGCAAGAGGTACATAACAGTGGGAGAAATAAAGATGTGATTTCACTCCTGTTTAGCATAATAAATGACTGGCAGTCAAAGTTGCTGATGAAAACCTGCCAGTTCATTTTGTAGGTAATGTTTTGCGGCTTTGTAACAACAACACATATTTGTTTTAGAGTCTTTAGACCAATTCAGACTTGAGACATTAAGTGCTGCGACTGAACAATATGTTTTATCAATAGAACTGCGCTGTGAACATGTTCAGTCGTAATGTTGCATTGCATATGATGTCTTTCATTTGACCTAAAACACTAAATGACAGTGGGTTCTAATAAATAACGTATGCATTTTTAGGTGGCTCAGCAAAACATTGACACCCAAAAGGAAGAAAAGGGTGTCAGGAGATCCAAGAGAGGTGAGGACTAGTCTTTTGATCTTCTGCAACTTCTGCAAGTCTGTGCTCTGTTGGGTTCGCAATAGGCAGATGCCTTTAAAACGTGTCATTTAAACATGACAACAAAATAGCCAAAATATTACACATTTAGCTTATTGGTTAGCAGCTAGCTGCTTTAAGCTTCAGATTTGGTATAAAATATGAATGGGTAATTAGAAATGGTTCAAGATGTGTATGTCTTCAACATGTCCACTTCAAAAAAATAATTTTAAATGATTTAAAAAAAAAAGAATGATAAATTGCATAAAAAGTTGTAAACATACCTGATCTGAGATGTGTGTTCCTAATGTGCCTCGGTGATCTGGTGGCTGGCACAACAGCTTTAACCTACCCAACAGTACAGGTGAGCCTCTTGTGGAGAATAGGGCAGTCAGGAGATAGGCATTCACTAAGAATAAAGCCTGTTTGTGTATTTGATTTTGTGCAGAGCCACCCTGTGGGGTGCCTGATCAAAAGAAAGAAAGAAATTGCCTTATGCTGATTGGTGTGCACAGATTGAAATCCGGACTCATGGATTTGCAGGTGGCTACATTTTTTTGTATAGCGGTTATGTAAACAAGCTATTGTTTTACCTATAGACCAGTCATCTCTGACTGCTCCATTGAAACATCCCACCTGTGCTGCTGCATTGACATTAGACTACATCAGTCACATACTTACCTGTGTACATTGTGGGACAGCTAGGCTATAAAATGTTGGAAAATAAACTGATAGACAAGTCAAACAAAGGTGAGGCCACTCATCTTTTTATTTGTTTTACACAAAGATTTTTGTGCTGCAGTTAAGTTACTAAAGTGAACTACCTGTCTTAACAACTGTCACAAATATGTTAAATCAGTGTAATCTCTTAAAATTCCAACATCTTGCATAGCCTGCTTTTACAAACACTTCAGACATCAAAGTCTGGTTTACTGTGTTATATGTCCGAACATTTGTGATTTTTTCTTAATCTGAACTCTTCATTATCGCTGGTTTACAGTTATGCACCTCACTGTTTTTTGTTCACAGGTTCTTTATCAAACAATGGGAATAATCAAGCCCAGCACGAGAGTTTGACAACACTTCGCCAAAGCGGTCAGCATAAACAAGTCAGAGGTGACATCAATATATTGCTGCATGAAAATGCTGTACGTGGAGCAGGTCTCAGAAGGAGAGAAAAAAATTCAATGGGAAATGAGCAAGACGATAGACAGAGTGAAAGACAGGACAGAGAAAGTGAAGCAAGCAACATCAAGCCTGCGGAACCAGAGACAACTGAAAAGGACAGCAAAAAAAAGGCATACACATGCAAGTTTTGTAAGAAGGCGTTTGATTGCACGTTTGGGTTAAGTGTGCACGTACGTTCTCACAAGTGGTGCCAGGGGTGCAAAAAAGAATTCCCTTTCCCAAGTATGCTTACAACCCATAAATCACACTGTAGAAAACTACAGAAAAAATTCTCAAAAAAAGCCCCCTCCTCAGCTGCTCCAGAACCAACACCAAGCAACAATAAGGTAACAGGTAAGGAAGACAGTATGGCAGAACCCAGTCAGTCATCTATCCACAAAGCTCAACCCACCAAAAAATTCTCCTGTGCATTTTGCGGCAAATTGTGTTGCTCAGGTTCCAGCCTTCAAGATCATATGCGCATTCATACTGGGGAAAAGCCATTTACTTGTAGGGTTTGCTTAAAAAAATTCAGAAGTAAACAGGCGCTGAAACTCCACGTGATGAGATTACACAAAGACCAGCTGAACTCTGGAGACACAAATGGTGGCTTTGCATGGACCGAACCTTTAGAGGCAACTAAAGACTCAGTTTCCAACTCAGACGATAAAAGACCACATCAAGTTAAAAAGCAGACAGACGGGTGGCAAGCATGTGGCACACGCGCCACAAAGGGTTATAGCTGCAACTTGTGTTCAAAGTTGACAAAAAACAGGCACCTTTTGATCGAGCATTATCGTGTCCACACAAGAGAGAAGCCCTATGAGTGTCCAGGGTGTCACAGTCGGTTTCGTTTCCGCGGGCAGTTCACTGGACATACTAAAAAATGTGCCCAATATAACTTCCAGGGTGATCAAGTAAAGTTACAGTGGGATGAAGTTAAAATCGAGTTTGATCAAGAAAAGTTTAAGTGTGATGTATGTGGAAAGAAATTCTTAAAAAGAAACGTGTTTAAGAGGCACATGTCTACACATAACAGAGATTGGCATATTTCTTGCAAGGTTTGTGGGAAAGGTTTCATAGCTGAAGCATTCCTCAAGAAGCACATGGAGCGTTTTCATGAGAGCGTTAGTGTAACGGCATGTGCAGAGTAGGTGCTGTGGGACAATTCATGTCAGGTGAAACACTTGCAGAGGCAGTGTTGGAATCAACTTTATTGTGTTGATAATACTTCGATGGTAACAATGGTTGCCATGGTAAGTTACTTATGTAAATTTTTCCCAAGCATTGATTCTTTTTCATCAAAAGTCGTTAACTGGTTATCTGATGTGCAGAGTTCTGAAACGAGCCAGAATTAAACAAGACATAGTTCAAGTTGCAGCTGTTTGAAATGGCCGGCTCTTAATTTTCTTCCACTGATCCATATGAGCATGATGGACTAGGTGTGGTTTCCTTACTCTGTAATATATGTTTTACAACAGTGTTGCAAGACATACATATTCATAATAAAGTCTGCATTTGATATCTGGACTTACATTTTTGTTATTAATTTCCAGCAACCCGTGTTGTATATGAGGTAAAGAAACATTTTTAGTTAATGGAAACATATGTGTGGTCTTCTTCTAGTTCAGCGTTGCAAAACTAGTAGGGGAGAGTGGGGTAAGTTGAGCCAAAGGGTAAGTTGAGCCACCCCCGTTGCTTGAAGATGGTAAAAGAAATTGATCATGTGACCAAATATTTAGGATTCATGGAGTCTGAAGGTTAGAAGATCATGGGTGAAGGGGTTAGACATTTATTTACAGAAAAAAAAAAAAAAAGTTTACTCTTGAAAGTGAATTTAGTCTGTCATAAGTTTTATTAGAATTGTGTTCAGACCAAAAAAGATCATTTTAAATTTGTTTTATACATCAATTGTGGTATCTATGAGCTACAACATGAGGTTAAAAACCTAGCATAAAAGTCCACCATTTTAGCTCATGTTAAAATGACTTTTTACAAAACGGCTTTTTAGCAGTTATATGCAATAATAATAATAATAATAAATAATTAAAACACAAAAAAACAGTAATAAAACACGCACACAAAAAAAACATAAAACACATGATTATACCAGTTGAATAGCATATAATAGATAAAAAATACACATGAATGTGAAATAGTGACTCTTATTTTGGGAGAGAGAAGGTGAGGGAGGGCTGGGGTGGAGAGTCGGGGGGGTAGTAGGGATACGGCTCAATTTACCCCGCTCCTATGATCAACTTACCCCATACACGGGGTAAGTTGACCATAGGAGACCACTTTTTTGGCATGCTATATTATCAAGACAGTTATGTTTACAGCCGTTCTGTTTGTTTGCCGGGATGAACAACATCTTGAAATATTTGCATATAGATACATTAGTTAGAGACAAAACTATGATTGGCTCATCTTACCCCACTTTCCCCTATATCATTCTTTATCGAGTGAAACCCATGGTCACTGAATCCATCAGTCTTGTTCTCGCGAGATTTTCAGCGATTGGCGCATCATTATTGCCAACCAGCTAGCAATACGACTGGGCGCCGCGTCTTTGAATAACTCCAGTGTTACCGTGGATTCAACCTCATCGAGAGAGCGACTGTGCCACACTTATCTACCGGCTGACGACTCTTTATTCGACCTCCATCTTTGGTTATTAATTTAGCATTCACCCGTGTATCCTCACAGGCTAAATGCTAGTTGCTACGCTTCATTTGCACCCTTGTTTACACATTAGACCACATTGCAAGTAACTGTAAACACGTCGTCGAACAGAGCATCGACTGCCTTGTTAGCTCACGACCTATTTTCTTAAAACCAACAAGATGTTTATTGTTTATGTTTTATATCTTTAACATACAAACAGGGTTTTAGCCTTAACCGCGTCGCTTGTCATGTCTGTACACCGCGTTACCATGACAGATAAAGCACTGAAACACTTTAAAACAACTGATAACTAATGTGATATTACAATGTTGTGTTGTATCATACGCTATTTTTTGCTGTGATAGATGTTAAGTCGAAATGACTAAGCTTGTGTTGCTTAGCATGGCAGCATCTCATGGCACTTCATAGCTGCCACAGCAGAGGACACCTCAGCAGCATCATCCCCCATCTGTCTTTACAGGACAGCAACAGGAGAAGACCGCGGTTTAGACCAACCTTCCACATTAAAACACCACCAACGCAAAGGACAATGGAATCTGCGAGGAGTGCTTTCCACGCTCAGCTGGCTACAGTCATGGACTCGCTGCTGGCAGCCGCCGTGTGTGAGATAGCCAAGATTTTTGAGAGCAGCCTGTGTGAACAGCAGGCGGAGCTCGCACAGAAAACAGAGGAGATCTCCGTCCTCCGAGACAAACTGGAGAAGGTGGAGAGGAGGCCGAAGATGAAGGGTGGTGGAGGGTGCGAGGAAGGAGAGTTGTTCCCCGGAGACAAGGAGGGAAGCTCCAGACAGCAGGGCCTGACACCACCAGGTTGTAGGCCTACAGCTTATACTTCATAAAAGTAGATCTGCATGATTCTGCATCTACAAACACTGTCTTTTCAGGGATGCACAACATTGATATTTCGCCAGTATCCCCGTGTAATGACACTTAGTTTGGTTAATAGGGGAGAGTGGGGTAAGTTGAGCCACCCCCTGTTGCTTGGAAATGGTAAAAGAAATTGATCATGTGACCAAATATTTAGGAGATGGACATCAGTTCATGGAGTCTTCAAGGTTAGAAGAACATGAGTGAAGGGGTTAGACATTTATTTACAAAAAAACATTTTTCTCTCTTGAAAGTGAATTTAGTCTGTCATAAGTTTTATCAGAATTGTGTTCAGACCAAAAAAGATCATTTTAAATTTGTTTTATACATTAATTGGGAATGTGAGGAAGTGACTGTTATTTAGGGAGAGAGAAGGTGAGGGAGGGCTGGGTTGGACAGTGAGGGGGTAGTAGGGATACGACTCAACTTACCCCACTCCTGTTGTCAGCTTACACCATACACAGGGTAAGTTGACCATAGGAGACCACTTTTTTTGGCATGCTATATTATCAAGACTGTTACGTTTACACTCATTCTGTTTGTTTGCAGGGATGAACAACATCTTGAAATATATGCAGATACACTAGTTAGAGACAAAACTATGATTGTCTTGAAGTAGTGATCCCAAATATGAAAAATGGCTCATCTTACCCCACTCTTCCCTACTGATACTGATGTGTATTCACCTTTTTTATTGTTAACTACACATTTCTTTTGGACTTGAATTAATCTGTGACTGTCACTGTGACAGCCTACTTTAGAATCAGACATTAAGACATGCATTTGTCTTGAACAATGGCAGCTTCTTAGATACAGAATTAAATTGGTTGTGTTATAGGAGTGTTGTTTTTCTTCTCCTCACATCACCAATCTTCTTACATAAATTCCAAATAGCTTTTTGCCACTTGCTTCAAATACTTCCAATACTTTGATACAGCTGGCATGTAGAAGCCATCTGTTGGCACTCTTACACTGTCATCTTTTGTATACAATCGATGGTGTCATCTTATGGGCTGTACTTGTGGACAGAAACGTCCATATCTAAAAATTGAAATATTTAGATGTTAAGATTTAAATGCTAAAAGGGATTGTGCTGACAATATTGTGCATGCCTATTATTTAACTACCAGCTCTTTCAATATATATCCAAAAGGTAACCTTATCTTGCATCAGAATGATTCATTCTGTCTGTATTGTATGATTGAAGACCTATTTTAATCGTAACTGACCACCTGTATTTCCTTTGCGTAGGACTTAATGTGGAAAAGGACTCATCGACTCATCCAGAACCAGTAGAAGGACTCAGTCAGAGCCTCTGTGGGCTAAAAGAGGAGGTTACAGGCCAAGATGGAGCTGTAGTCAAACATGAGGTCAGACCCTGTCCTACTGCTTTCTTTGTTCAAAGCTAAGCTAAAGCAATTAATTCTTGTAGACTTGATTATTCGATATTTTATTTCCACACCTTAGAGACTTGTTTCCTCTTCTTGTTTCTTCTACTCCTCAGCATGGTGGATCAAGGCCAACTCTGGGGTCTGTCACTGTGCAACAATCTGAGGAAAGCCTTTCTGCGATGGACCAGAGGCAGATAGATGCCCTGTCTGCCACACAAGCCAAGGCCAAATGTAAATATGCTTCACACACTACTTCTGCTGTAGACTATTTCACTATTTTAAAGCAAAGTTGACATTAAATTCTTCTAAATGTCGGGGTATTACATTGTAGTTTGTAAGATGGAAGTGCATCAGTTGTTTTTCCTCTCCTTATCTCTCTGCAGTGTCTCACTGGGAACAGGGCGCTCGCAGCGCAGACCACAGACCCCTTCAGGACCAAGTTTCCTCCCCTTTTCTCTCAATCTCCCAGAGTGGTCGATGCTCCCCCAGGGTTGACCCAAGCTTAGCTCCACAAGGGGAGTGGTTACCAGGCCTTGATACCTCCCGAAGTGAGGCAACTGGTCTGGAGAGTGTGCAGGCAGATGGCACAGGCTGCTCTGGCACAGCCAGCAGCAGCACCAGCATGGATGCACACGGCTACAGACCCAGTTTTGGCTCTGATGAGACCAGTAATGAAGGTGATGAAAGCTCCTTCCCTTTCCTGGACCAGGAACCTGAGAACCAGAACTCCAATCAGCCCTCAGTGCAGGGTCATGGTGAGGGGATACGAGGGGCTCGGCAGGTTCAACCACATTCGCCCTCTGGTGAATCACCATGGAGACAGAGAGATGACAGGGTTGTGAGAAGCCCCACAAGTCACGTTCGGAGGGTAACAACTTTTGCCAGTAGAGATCCTCTGCGACTGCAGTCCAATTCACAGTTGCTTACACTACGACACACAAACACCCTGAGCCACCCTGCTGTTGCTGGTGGGGGGAATGGGCGACCCTACACCTGTCCGTACTGCACCAAGTGTTTTACCTACCCGTCCCACCAGCGCAGACACCTTTTACGGCACACAGGAGTCAGACTGCATCCCTGTCAGTTTTGTGAAAAGAGCTTCCTCACTCCCTCCGAGCTAACTGTGCACACACGCACACACACAGGAGAACGGCCTTTCGGGTGCTCTCAGTGCGGGAAGCGTTTTGCCCGCAGTGGGAACTTGAGAGCCCATCAACGGGATGTCCACATGGGGAAGAGACCCTTTGCCTGCACAGAATGTGGGAAAAGGTTTGCTCATAGAGGGAACCTCAGGGTGCACAATCACAGAGTGCATCAGGGTGATCCATATTACATAGACGATCAACAGGAGCCAGACATGGGTCCGAATCCCATCTGAAGGATTGAAAAATGATCCGGCTTGCTAAATTTAATTTACAAAATCCACCCTTGGACGTCAGCCTGGGCTTGTGTTTGTTGTGCCACACAGAAACTTAATGGAGAACACTTCAAACAACAAGAAATAAACAATGTGGCGTTATTCCTTGTTTTTTATTTTAAATTGGATTTGGGGCGACAGTTTCATTCACCATTCAAAGTTTATTGTTTGCTGAATTAATGAGTTACATGGCCAAGTAGTTTTAAAACAAGTGTCTTATTTATTTATTTATTTTATACTCTGGAAACTGGGCTCTGAATTTGACATCTTTGTAAATGACTAAGAGCCTTCGGTTTTGATTTTAAAAAATCTCCCAAGGATGAACTCATATTCATGATGTTTTTTTATATCAGTGGAACAAGAACACTTTTTTTGTCAAAGTCAAAGAACTACAAAATAAAACAGCCAGTTAAGACAGTTTACATGGCATTAGATTTAGACATGTGGCATGCAGAGTTAGGACTTCCCCATGTGCAGCCCATCTTCTTCAATTTCTGTTATGTGTTGTAAAATGGAAAAGTGTCAATGCAACAAGAACTGGACTGTGTTGTTTACCATCTTTACCATCTTGTATTTTCAAAGTGAAATTAAATCAAAATTATTCTTCTCATAACACACACAAGTGCATCGCCAATGTATCTTCTGTGGTTGCACCACTCTTTGCCAGGCTCCAGGGGGCGATGTCTTCTTGATACAGATTTAGAGACATACTTGCAACAGCACTTCGAATACACTTTTAATACAAACACCCCTCTCAGCATGTTTTGCTGTGGCCTATATTTTCAATCATGTTTTTTTTTTCTTTTTTTTTTCTTTTTTTTACTGATGTTTGCATTTGTGTCATCAAGTCACATCTCTCATTGTCATGGTCTCTTAGCATGTGCCTAGGAGGCAAAAATCAAATACAAGTCCTTGGTCTGTTGCGATGAAAAGACGGGTGCCCTTGCCTGTTTTTGTCAAATCAAGACTCTGTCATAGTAACAAGGTTTTGGTATGAAATTTCATCTCTGTAACTCTCCCTCCACTACAGCTGAACAAGGAAACAAGGCAAACTCTTGGATATGACTTGTACTGGGAGCTTGATGTTAGGTGAGAGTGTTCAGAGAAAGACCTTTACATTTACACAGCCTTGAAAACAGCATTGTGTGGAGGTTGATCAGGCACTCACTTCCTCTCTCACAGTTTCAGCTGCCGAGGTCTGGCCAAGCTGCGCCTGTGTATTCCCCAGGCTGCTGAGTCCTTGTTTTGCTCACTAAAGGATTACATTCTGTGACCCTGTCCTACCCTCTGGTGACCTTCCCTCCCCCAAGGGTCACCTGTATGTCTGTCCCATTCAGGATTTTACATTCACTGTAATAGAAACATTTCCAGAATATACATCCTAATGGCAAACCCCACATGGTCATCTGTGAGAAAGGCAAACATTTAAGAAAGGTATGCATGTTTTGTTCATAGTTTAAGTATAAGGTCAGGGAGTGTGTGTATAGTGACTAGGAACGAAAACAAAGTCACTGAGAGGCTAAGTGAGGGAGCTTCCGCATTGGTGACTCGCTACACAAACCACAAGCCATTTCCGTGTTTTCCGATCGAGTTCACATTTATTTCCAACGCCGCACAAACAGACAGACAGGGCAAGGCAAGGCAAGATGATCTATGGGCTTAGTTTGACGTTTAAATCAAGCGGTCAACAAAAAATACGCTCTCCCTACTCACCCCCTCTCCATGCAGCCGCCGCAGCACCCAGGTGACTATATGTCCATTCATTCAATCATTCAATCATCGCGCCTTGACCACACCCCCTCGTGACGTGCATGAAAGGTGCAGCCCAGACAGTTGATGTCAACACACACAAACCTAACCACTTCTGCATATGGCACCTACAACCCAGCCCCTAATTATTACCATTATAATAATTACACTATGACAAATAAATGAACCACGAAATCCACCAATGTTCTTGTAATAGTCCATCAATACAGTTCGTCAATGTGCTCTTCTTCCTGGAACACAAGTCAAGTCTAGCCAAGTTCAAAAGTTCAAAAGTTCAGACACACAGCTTCACGGAGGAAAGTCATGTCGTGCTGTCGGTCAGTAAAGTCAATCAAACTATCCTTCCAGAACGGAAGAGTCAGGCATCCGATTCCTGCAGAAGACAGACTTTGGTTATGGGCCTTTCCAAGGAGCTGGTCTTGGTCTTGATCTGCAGCCGTCGCACAAATCCTCTTCTGTCTGGGAAGGTTTGGATAACCCTTCCCATGACCCACGAGTTCCGTGGTGCTGTTTCATCCACAATAAGCACAACGTCCCCTTCTACAAAGTTGCGCTTGATACCAGTCCACTTCTGACGTTCCTGCAACTGTGGCAAATACTCCTTAGTCCATCGCTTCCAAAATAAATCAGACATGTACTGGACCTGCCTCCAGCGTCGATGAGCGTAGATGTCGTCTCTTTGAAACTGCCCAGGTGGCAGGGAAGGAGAGGTTTTCAACAGCAAGAGATGGTTAGGCGTCAGAGCTTCGAGGTCGTTAGGGTCGGTTGAGGCCTTAGTAATTGGACGGCCGTTAATGACTGCTTCCACCTCACAGAGGACAGTGTGTAATCCCTCCTCATCCAGATTTTGAACTTTCAAGATGGAGTTCAAGACCTTGCGCACTGATCTGATCAACCTTTCCCAGGCACCACCATGGTGCGATCCAGCTGGGGGGTTAAAAATCCATTTCACCTCCTTCTGAAGAAGAACACCATTTATCTGAGCTTGATTCCAACCTCTGATAGCCTCTCTCAGCTCACGCTCTCCTCCAATAAAGTTCGTTCCATTGTCTGATCGAATTTCTTGGACTTGGCCACGTCTTGCCATGAATCGTCGTAGTGCATTGATAAAGGCGTCTGTATCCAGCGAAGGAGCCACTTCGATATGAACAGCCCGTATTGCCAAACAGGTGAACATGACTCCATATCTCTTTACAATGCTCCTCCGGCTCTTAACCTCGAATGGTCCAAAGTAGTCCACACCGACTCTGGTGAATGGAGGTTTGTCTGGGCAGACCCTGTCAACAGGAAGATCAGCCATCAGCTGACACCCTGGGGCAGCTTGCAACCTGCGGCAGACAACACACTTTGACAAAATTCTCCTTATGGCTGTGCTGACCCCAGGAATCCAGTATCTTTCAGGTAGTTTGGACAACATGTAGTTGCGTCCTCCATGACCAACTTGTTGATGTATGTGTCTCAGGAGAACGTCTGAAATGTGGAGCTCTTTGGTCAGAATGGCAGGGTGTTTTGCGTCTTCAGGTAAGGCTGCTCGGCTCAACCGACCACCAACCCTCAGGATACCATCCTCCAACACAGGAGCGAGCTTAAAGATGTGACTTCTCCTTTTCACACTTTCGCCCTTCTGCAAACTAAAGAGTTCATCAGGAAACCTCTTCCTCTGACAAAACCTGACGATTTCCTTTTCAGCTACCTGCAACTCGTCTACCGTGAGGAAACCTCTCGGTGCCAGGTCTTTGAACCCTCCTTTTCCAAGCTCCGAGGACGGTCTTTGTTGTTTCCCTGACTCCGACTGAGTGGACGCAGAGTCAGTCCATGTCCTCTTCTGGCTGAGACCCCGCAGCATGTTTTTTAGCCTGAGAAACCAAGCCACAGCCCTTCTCAGATGGGTCCAAGAGGAAAAATGATGGATTAGTTGAGTGGTTGCATCCACATCCTCTGAGGCCTGCACTGCATTCACTGCCACACTGGCCTTGACTTCTGGATCGTTCAGCAGGAGTTCGCCCAAGCAATCTGGACTCACAGGCCAGTCTCGTTCAGGTTGCAGGAGATATGCAGGTCCTGACAACCACGCCTTGTTCCTCAGGAACATGTCAACCCTCAGTCCCCTGGAGGCCACATCTGCAGGATTGCTTAGGGTGTTTACATACTTCCACTGCGATGGATCTGACACTTTGAGTATTTCTGCTACCCTGTTGGCGACAAAGGTACGGAACCTGGAAGTCTCATTCCTGATGTACTTCAGCACAGAGGTGCTGTCAGTCCAAAACGTTGACTCTATTAATGACATGTGCAACTCCTTTTTCCAAAAGGTGTCCAGACGGCTTGCCATTGTAGCAGCTGTGAGCTCCATGCGGGGTATTGAGACTGGCTTCAAAGGAGACACCCTGGACTTTCCCATGACAAAGCTGCTGTGCATCTGGGAACATGCATTCCGCAGGAGAAGGTAGGTCACTACACCATAACCATTATTACTTGCATCTGTAAAATGGTGCAGTTGCGCCACAGTGACCTCACCAAAGTCTGGGGGTTTAAGGCACCGCGAAACCTGGAAGTGCTCTAACTGATGGAGCTCCTCTAACCAGCTCGTCCATTCCTGTGCAGCTGATGGTGGTATAGGGTCATCCCAACCGAGTCTTTGCCTACACAGCTCCTGCAGGATGATCTTGGCAGAAAGAACAATGGGACTCAAGATTCCTAGAGGATCATATACTGAACTGATGACAGAGAGGATCCCCCTCCTTGTCAGGGGCCTGTCCTGCACCAGGATTCTAAACTTGAAGACATCAGACTGGATGCACCATTGCACTCCGAGCACCCTCTCCACTGGTAGCAGGTCATGGTCCAAATCCAAGTCCTTCATGCCCTTAGCTCTTTGGTCCCCTGGAATTGCTGCCATCACTGCACGGCTATTGCTCATCCATTTGGTCAACTTAAAGCCTCCTTTGGCACATACAGAGACCAGGTCATGATACAGTGCCACTGCTTCTTCCTCACTGGCCGTCGATACCAGACAATCGTCCACATAAAAGCAGTGCAGAATCCTCTCAATGGTCTCTCGGCAGAACTGTTCTTCATTGTCCTTAGCACATTTCCTCAATGCAAAGTTAGCACAACTTGGTGAGGACGTTGCACCAAAAAGATGTACCATCATTCTAAAGTCTACCAGATCTTGGGTGCAGTCACCGTTGGGCCACCAGAGAAACCTCAGTAGATCAGCGTCTTCCCTTGGCACCTTTACTTGGTGAAACATGGACTCTATGTCTGCCATGATCACTACCGGTTCTTTCCGGAATCTGGCCAGGACGCCAATCAGCGAGCTAGTGAGATCCGGCCCTTGCAGCAGTTGAGCGTTGAGAGATGCTGACTGGAAAGTGGCAGCACAGTCAAAAACCACACGGATTTTTCCTTTTTGAGGGTGATACACACCATGGTGTGGGATATACCACAATCTTCCATCAGTACGTGCCAGCTCATCTGAAGGTACTTGCTCTGCGTATCCCTTGGTGACCATATCATTCATGAAATCAGTATACTGCTGATGAAATAACGAGTCCCTTTTGAACCTCCTCTTCAGGTTTAGAGCACGCTGCTCGGCAACCTTCTTGTTGTTTGGCATGGTCACGGAGCTTCGCAGGGGCAATGCAATCTGGTAATGACCATCTACAAGCTTGGCTGAATCCTGGACCAACTTCATGAACTTTTGGTCCTCTCTTGACTGGCCAGGTTGCTCATCGTAGCCACATTCTGGGAAATCTGTTCTGAACTGCTGCTGCCAGAGCTCCTCCAAGTTCAGGACTGAAATTCTGTTAACGGTCGCAACATCCATTCCATCACCACTGTCTCCCCCCAGTGGCCCATTAACAGTCCAACCCAAGATAGTCTTGATGGCATACGGTCCATTGTCCACACTACGAATGACTTGTAATGGTTCCAGTGCCCTTGGTACATTTGTTCCAATCAACAGCTCAACTTCGGAGTCGATATCAGGTAAGTGAACATCTCTCAAGTATGCCCACCTCTCGAGATCCTTTTGACGTGGAATATTTCCTCTATGCACCGGCATGCACTCCTGTGTATAGGTGTTGGGCAAATCACAGTGCGTCTCTCCGTCCAAACCGGCCACCTCCAGTCCCGTGACCACACAGCTGTTAACGACCTT